CCGGTGCCAGCGCAGCCCCCCCGATCCGGGCAGAGCCCCCCGGCCCTGCTGGAGACCCACGCGGCCCAGTTGGGAGCACGGCATGAGGGGGAGGCGGAGTTGGGGGGCCCCGGGCTCGCCCCCCGCCTGCCCCCCCAGGTGAGACCCCCGGGCAGCCCCCCAGGGTTTGGGGGGGTCCCTTTGGGGGTCCCCTCTGGAGTGGGGGGGGCTGTTTTGGGGAGTTTGGGGCTGGTTTGGGGATTTTTTTGGGGTTGTTTTGGGGATGTTTCGGGGAGTTTGGGAGCTGTTTTGGGGCTGTTTCAGGAATTTTTGGGGATTGTTTTGGGGATTTTTGGGGTTTGCATGGGGGGTTTGTTTCGAGGATTTTTGGGGGCTGTTTCAGGGATTATTGGGGGTTGTTTTGGGGATTGCAAGGGGGGCTGGTTTGGGGATTTTTTGGGGCCATTTTGGACCTTTTTGGGGGCTGTTTTGGGGATTTTTGGGGATTGTTTTAGGGATTTTTGGGGGTTGTTTCTAGGGATTTGTGGGGGCTGTTTTAGGGATTTTTGGGGGTTGTTTCTAGGGACTTGTGGGAGCTGTTTTGGGGATTTTTGGGGGCTGTTTCAAAGATTTTTTGGGGGGTTGTTCTGTGGATTTTTGGGGGCTCTTTTAGGGATTGCATGGGGGGATGTTTTGGGGACTTTGGGGGGCTGTGTTGGGGATTTTTTGGGGGGTTGTTTTAGGGATTTTTGGGGATGTTTTGGGGACTTTGGGGGGCCGGTTTGGGGAATTTTGGGGGCTGTTTCAGGGAATTTTGGGGGCTGTTTGGGGGGTCCCTCCAGCTCTGCTCCCCCTTTTTCTGCCCCCCAGGAGTACCTGGAGCGGAAGCGGCTGCGGGCGCGGCTGCGGGCGCTGGAGTCCCTGCGCCAGGCGTGTCCCCCCCACCCCCAGGGACCCCCCCAGGGACCCCCCCTGGACCCTGCCTGGCTCCAGGGGGCTTTTGGGGCTGGGGGGGTTGGGGGGGCCCTGCCCAAGGGGTCCCGCTTCACCCGCACCCAGCACCTGACCCACCAACAGGTGGGGGGGGCTACACCTGGGGCTGGATTTGGGGGGCTGTGGGTTGGATTTGGGGGATGGGGGTGGATTTGGGGGGCTGAGGGTTATTTTGAGGGGCTGGGGGTTGGATTTGGGGGGCTGAGGGTTATTTTGAGGGGCTGGGTGTTGGATTTGGGGGGCTGGGGGCTGGGGGTGGTTTTGGAGGGCTGGGGGCTGTTTTGGCCCCTGCCCAGGCTCTGACCCACTCGGGGGTCTCATCCCCAGGACCCCCAGGTGCTGCTGCAGCAGATCCAGGCGGCTGCTGAGACCCTGCAGCCCCCGGAGGGCCCCGAGGAGGTGAGAGGGGGGTGGTGGTCACTCTGCCCTGTGGTCACTCTGGTCACTCCGGTGGTCACCCCGGTGGTCACTCTGTTCCTGTGGTCACTGTGGTCACTCACTGTGGTCACTCTGGTCACTCACGGGTCACTCGGGTCCCTCCGGCCGCAGGGCTCCCGGGCGGCGGCGCTGGAGGCGGCTCTGGCCGGGCTGGAGGCCGAACTGGAGCGGTGCCGGGGGCGGCTCCGGGGGGCACAGCTCAGCCTCAGCCAGGTGGGCACGGGGGGTTTGGGGGGTTTTGGGGGGCACAGGGCTGTTTTGGGGGCCACAGGGGATGTTTTGGGGGCCACAGGGGGGGTTTTGGGGTGCCCTGGCTGACCCTCCATGCCCAGGGAGGGGCACAAGGGGTTTTTGGGGTGCACAGGGGGTGTTTTGGAGGGGTTTTGGGGGGCACAGGGAGTTTTTTGGGTGGCACATGGGAGGTTTTGGGTGGCACAGGGAGGTTTTTGGGGTGCATAGCGGGGTTTTTGGGGCACATAGAGAGGTTTTTGGGGTGCCCATGGAGGTTTTTGGGGTACCCTGACCGTTCACCCCAATTCCCAGGTGGAGGCCGAGGTGCAGCAGGGCCAGGGGGCTCTCGGGGGTCTCCAGGACTCGCTGCGGCTCCGGGCCCGGGCGCTGGAGCTGCTGCCGGACGCGCAGAACAACCTGGCCAAGCTGCAGGTGGGGGGCCGGGGGGGGCGATTTGGGGGTCCCAGCAAATCCGGGGAGGGGTTTTTGGGGGGGCGGGTGGGGGTGGGGAAGGGTCTCAGGGGGTTTGGGAGGTGGGGGGTCAGTTTGGGGGTGTCAGAGATTTCGGGTGTGAGCAGTTTGGGGGGGTCTCAGTGGTTTGGGGGGTCAGTCTGGGGGTGTCAGGAGTTTTGGGGGGGGGGATTAGGGGGTGTCAGCAGTTTTGGGGTGGCATTTTGGGGGGTGTCAGAGATTTGGGGGGGTGTCATCATTTGGGGGGGGTCAGTCTGGGGGTGTCAGCAGCTTGGGGGTGTCAGTGTTTGGGGGGTCAGTCTGGGGGTGTCATTGGTTGGGGGGTGTCATTGGTTTGGGGGAGTCAGTCTGGGGGTGTCAGCGGTTTGGGGGGGTCCCTGGCACTGCCCACAGCTGGTGGTGGAGTCCAGCAGCCGCCGCATCGTCAGCCTGGCCGGGCAGTGGGAGCGGCACCGGGGGCCCCTCCTGGCCGAGTACCGGCAGCTGCGAGCCCTGCGGGACTCTGCCCAGGTACCGGGGCCTCCCCTCCCCTTCCCTCCCCTTCCCCCTCCCCTCCCCACACAATTTGGGGGTCCCCTGGTTGGTTTTGGGGTCCCTGTGGCTCCTGAGCTCCCTTCGCTGTGGCTTTGGGGTGCCCAAATTTGGCTTTGGGGGTTCCTGGGGTCCCCGTGTCCCTCCCAGGGGTCTCGGAGGTCTCTTCTCGGTAGGTTTGGGGTGCCTGCAGTCCATTTCCTGTGGGTTTTGGGGTCCCATGGGCTCCTGGATAGGTTTTGGGGTTTCTCGGGGTTTTGGAGTCTCGTCCCAGGAGGTTTTGGGGTCCCTGTGGGCTTTGGGGGTCCCCAAATCTTCACCTCATTTATTCTGGGATCCCTCCCTGGCGAATTTGAGTCTGGGGGATTCTGGGGTGTCCCGTTCCTGCTGTTGGCTGGCTTTGGGGGTTCCCTGTGTCCCCCCAGGACTGGAGGTGACTTTTGGGGGGACCCCCATCCCTGTACCCCCTCCCCAGCGAGAATCGTCACGGCGCCTGGCGGAGACTCGGGCGCTGCTCCAGCGCAGCCGCGCGGCCGCCGAGGAGGCGCGGCGCAAAGAGAGCCTGCACGGCCAGCTGGTGGGACTGGGGGGCTTTGGGGGGCTTTGGGGGGGTGGGAGGGACCTCGAGGTGTTTGGGGGGGCTCGGGAGGGACCTTGAGGTGTTTTGGGGGGGTCTCAGAGAGGTTTGGGAGAGACCTCGAGGTGTTTTGGGGGGTTTGGGAGGGACCTTGAGGTGTTTTGGGGGGGCGCAGGAGGAATTGGGGGGCCCCTTGAGGTGTTTTCGGGGTCTCAGGTGTCATGGGGAGGGACCTTGAGGTGTTCTGGGGGTTCCTGGGGAGGTTTGAGGGCGCCCAGGGTGTTTTTGGGGTGTTTTGGGCTGGTTTTGGGTGCCCAGGGTGTTTTTGGGGTGTTTTGGGGTGTTTTGGGCTGTTCGGGGTGATTTTTGGGGTGTTTCGGGGTGATTTTTGGGGGGTTCAGCCCCGCTGACCCTGCCCGCAGGTGGCCGAGCTGGCGGCGCTGCCCCGCGACGTTTCCCGTGCTGTTTACACCCAGCGCATCCTGGAGATCGTCGGCAACATCCGCAAGCAGAAGGAGGAGATCGGCAAGGTGGGGGAATTTTGGGGGGCTGCGTGCACCTCTAAATGATTTGGGGGGGTTTTTGGGGGGTCCTGACCTCGCCTGGGGACCCCCCTGCCCCCCCAGATCCTGGAGGACACGCGGGCGCTGCAGAAGGAGATCAATGCTCTGGTGGGGAAGCTGGAGAGGACCTTCAGCGTCACCGACGAGCTGCTCTTCAAGGTGGGGGGCTGGGGGGGCACCCCAAAAACGGGCACCCCAAAAAAGGGGGTCACGGTGGAATTTTGGGGGGGCTGTGGTTGGGGGAGGGGTCCGTTCAGTGGTACGCCCTGGATGGGATGTCCCTGAAGGGATGAGGGGCTGGGAGCCCCCCAAAGTGTCACCTGTGCCCCCCAAATTGTCACATGGGACCCCTAAACTCTCCCTGTGCCCCCAAACTCTCCCTGTGCCCCCCAAATTGTCCCTGTACCCCCAAATTGTCCCTGTGCCCCCCAATGTCCCTGCACCCCCAAACTCTCCCTGCACCCCCAAACTCTCCCCGTGCCCCCCAGGACGCCAAGCGGGACGAGGTGGTGAGAAAAGCCTACAAGTACCTGGCAGCTCTGCACGAGGTAACAGGGCTGGGGGAACAGGGGGGCTGGAATTTGGGGGGGGGGTCCCCAAAAACCCCTCTCTTTAACCACCCCATCCCCCAGAACTGTGCCCAGCTGATCCGGACCATCGAGGACACCGGGACCATCCAGAGGGAGATCCGGGACCTGGAGGAGCAGGTGGGGGTTTGGGGGGCTTGGTTTTGGGGGGCTGGGTGGGTTTTGGGGGGAAGAATGAATTTCTGGTGCCTCTGGACCCCCCCCACATCTCCTCTTTGTGCCTCTTCTCAAATCTTTCCTCCTGATTTTTACTCCCCCCTGCCCCATTTTTTACTCCCCCCATTTCCCCCCCCTCAATTTTCCGCCCCATTTTTATCCCACTCATTTTTCCCTCCCATTTTCCCCCCCCAATTTTCCCCCTCATTTTGCCCCCCAAATTTCCCCCCCAACCCAATTCTGGCCCCCCCAGATCGAGGGGGAGACCAGTGCCAAGCTCCCGGCCAGCCTGGAGCGGATCCTCAGCGACTGCCGGGCGCTGCGGGAGGAGAACGCGCTGCTGGCCGCTCGTGCCCGCCACGCCTGACCCCAAAACCGGGGGGGACCCGCACCCCAAAACCCCCCTGGGGGGATCCCCAAACGCAGAGGGGTGTGGGGGTGCCCGTGTAGCCCCCCCAAAACGCCCCCACAGTGGGAGGGAGAACAGTTCCTTTATGGTTTCAATAAATCCCGGTGCAGCGGTTTGGGGGTGTCGTGTTGCTCGTGGGTGGGGAGGATTTGGGGGTGTCTTGGAGGTGATTTTGGGGTGGTCTTGGGGTGGTTTTGGGGTTCCTCATCAGCTCCGGGGGGGCATAAAGTACTTGAGGTCACAGTCCCTGTGGAGGTTAGAGGAGCATCCCGGGGTTAGCGGGGTGGTTTGGGGGAGTTACGCCCCCCGTGGGTTTTTGGGGTGCTCTGGGGGTGTTTTGGGGTGTCCGGGGAGGGGTTTTTTGGGGTACCTGGGGTAGAGCTGGCCCCGTTTGCGCCGGAACTCGGCTTCGTCCACGGTCCAGACGGCGCCACGGGCGGCCTCCACCCGCACAAAGCACTTGTGCAGGCTCAGGTTGTGGCGCACGGCGTTCTGGGGTGGGGGACACCCCAAAATCGGGGTGAGACACCCCAAAGTCGGAGTGAGACTCCAGAATTGGGGGAGCTGGACAACACCCTCCACATTCCCTGAGGGATTTTGGGGGGGTCAAGGGAGGGTTTAGGGGTTTTGAGGGCACTGGGGAAGAGGTGGAGGTGTCTGAGCTGTTGTGGGTAGGGAGGGATGGTTGGAGAGGTGCTGGGAGATTTTGGGGTTCCTCCCCCCTTTTTTTGGGGGGTGGGGGGAGTCCAGGGCTGCATTGGGGTTGCAAAGAGCAGGTTTGAGGGTCCCACCGGTGGAGTGGTAATATTTTGGGGTGCTGGGGGAGGTTGGGGTGTCCTCAGTGGTGGTGATGGAGAGTGGGGGGGGGTCTCTGCTGGGGAGGAGTTGGGGGGACCCCCAGAATGGGGGTGCAGGGAGGGTTGGAGGTGTCCAAGGATGTTTGGGGGTCCTGGGGGGTGTTTGGGGGTCCTGGGGTGGGTTCGGGGTTCCTGAGGTTGTTTCTTTCAGGGGTCCCGGGGCTGTTTTTGGGAATACTAGGGTAGGTTTTTGGGGTCCAGGGGCTTTTTCTGGGGGTCCCGGGGGTGGTTTTTGGGTTCTCGGGGCTGTTTTTGGGGTTCTCGGGGCTGGTTTTGGGGGTCCCGGGGCTGGTTTTGGGGGTCCCGGGGCTGGATTTGGGGTCCCGGGGCTGGTTTTGGGGGTCCCGGGGGTGGTTTTGGGGTTCCGGGGATGGTTTTGTGGTTCCCGGGGCTGGTTTTGAGGGTCCCGGGGCTGGTTTTGGGGGTCCCGGGGGTGGTTTTGTGGTTCCCGGGGGTGGTTTTGGGGGTCCCGGGGCTGGTTTTGGGGGTCCCGGGGCTGGTTTTGGGGGGTCCCCACCTTCCAGGTGCGGGTGTTGTGCCGGAAGAAGCCGAACCTGCGGCTGAACCAATGGTAAATCTCCGCCAGGGGGCGCTGCCGCTGCGGGGACTCCAGGATGGCCTGGGGGGAGCGGGGTGGCGGGGACATGGGGGATATTGGGGACACTGGGAGACATTGAAGGACATTGGGGACATTGAGGGACTTGGGGGGTATTGGGGACATTGGGGACATGGGGGACATTGGGGACATTGGGGACACTGGGGACATTGGGGACATGGGGGGACATTGGGGACATGGGGACATTGGGGGACATTGGGGACATTGAGGGACTTGGGGACATTGGGGACATGGGGGGACATTGGGGACACTGGGGACATTGAGGGACTTGGGGACATGGGGGACATGAAGGACATTGAAGGACTTTGGGGACATGGGGGGACTTGGGGACATGGGGGGACTTGGGGACATTTGGGACATGGGGGACACTGGGGACATGGAGGGTCTTGGGGGACATTGAAGGTCTTGGGGACATGGGGGGCCACTGGGGACACTGGGAGACATTGAGGGACTTGGGGACATTGCAGACATTGGGGACACTGAAGGACTTTGGGGACATTGGGGGATATGGGAGGACATGGAGGACATGGGGACATTGAGGGACTTGGGGGGTATTGGGGACTTTGGGGACATGAGGGACTTTGGGGACATGGGGGACATTGGGGACATGGGGGACATCGGGGACATGTGGGGCACGAGGTGACCTTGGTGACATTGCAGGGACAGGAGAGGGTTGGGGACAAACTTTTGGGGATGACTTTGGGGACAGTTTAGGATGGTTTGGGGGGCAGCACGTGGGGACACTTTTTGGGGAGGGGGGGCTCTGGGGACACACTTGGGGTCACCGCAGGGGGCACAGCAGGATTGGGGACATTACGAGGTGACTTTGGGGGGCACCAGGTGGGCTTTGGGGACAGTTTGGGGAGGGGGGGACAGTTTGGGGGGGCTCCAGGATGGGGGATATGTGAGCGGGGGGAAGCTGTGGGGGCAATCCCTCGAGGGGAGGATTTGGGGAGGTCTTAGGGGGGATTTGGGGGTGTCAGGGACACGGGGGGGCTGTGGGGAGCCCAGGGGGGTTTTGGGGTTCGGGGGGGGGGCACTGACCCAGCGGATGAGCGTGGCGTAGGTGTAGGGGGGCCGCGCCGTGCTGAGCCGGTAATACTCCAATTCTGGGGGGGCCATGGTGATGGGGGGGGGTCAGCCAGACCCAGACCCCCCCCCTGTTATTTAGGGGGTGACCCCACACCCCCCAAACCCGTCGCTCACCTGGGTAGAGCCCCCCACGCTCCCAGGGGTGCCCTGGGGGGGGGCAGCAGCATCTCGGGGTCCCCCTCTGCCCCGGGGGGGGCTGCAGGACCCCAAATCGGGGGGAGCCCGGCCTGGCCCTTCCCGGGGAGCCCCTGGAGAGGGGGAGGGGGGGCACACAGGTGAGGGGTGAGGGGACCCCAACAGCCCCCCCCGGTGGTTTTTTTGGGGTGCTTCCCCCCCTTACCGTGCTGGGGGGGCCCCTCCGGAGGAGCTGCGCCTGCAACAGCCCCAGGCGGTGCCGCTCGCGGGCCAGCTGTGGGGGGGGGACAGGTTTGGGGGGTCACACGCGGGTTTGGGGGACACGGGGCTGGTTTTGGGGGTCCTGGGGCTGTTTTGGGGGGACACGGGGCTGTTTTTGGGGGTCCCGGGGCTGGTTTTGGGGTTCCAGGGCTGGTTTTGAGGGTCCTGGGGCTGGTTTTGGGGGTCCTGGGGTCCCAGAGCATTTGTGGGGGGGTGGGTCAGGGTTTGGGGGGCTCAGGGGGGGATTTTGGGGGTCCCCTCACCTGCTGCTCCAGCTCCTGGATCCTCTCCAGCTGCCGCAGGCACTGAGCCACCTCCCCCGGCTCACGGCGGGGGGGTCTGGGGGTGATTTTTGGGGGGTGGGGGCGTGAGAATGGGGGTTTGGGATTTTGGGATCCCCCAAAATCCCCCCAAACCCCCCCACTCACCTGGGGGGCTGCGCAGCGCCGGGGGTCGGCGCGGGGGGGTCGCTGCCGGCGGGGGTTGGGGAGGGGTCCCTGTCGCGGCCAGGGGGGTCTTTGGGCCCCCATTCCAAGCCGGGGAGACCTGGAGGAATTTTGGGGAGTTGGTGGGGGGGTTCCCAAAAAGGAGAAGACCCCCCTGATGAGGGGAAAGGTAGATTTTGGGTTGGGGGGGGTCTCACCGTGCGCTGGAGGCAGCCGAGTTCTCATCACCAACACCCCGGGGTGCAGGAGCGGGGGGCACGACCCCCCCTCGGGTGGCACCTGTGGGTTTTGGGGGGGTGGGTGGGTTTTGGGGAGCAGGAGGTGACCCCCCTCTCCCCATCCCCCCCCCTCCCAGCCCCCCAAGATGGGGGTCCCGGGCTCTGTCCGTACCGGGGTGACGCGGGGGTCCGCTCGGGTCAGCACCGTGGGCCGCTCCGGGGGGCTGCGGGGGGGGCGCCGCTGCCTGGGGGGGGGGGCAGGGGGTGAGACCCCTCCCCACGAGGGTCCCCCACAGCCCCCCCAGAGTGACACATGCGTGTGCCGCGCCTGCACACGCGTGGGGCGCGGTTACCCCCTCCCAGTACCTCCCAGTGCTCCCAGTACGGGGTGAGCTTGTTCCCGTCTTCCACTGGTACTGCTCGTCCCAGTCACCGTCACCCGGCCCAGTCCCTCCCGTTGTCATCCCAGTCATCCCCAGTCATTCCCAGTTTGTCCAGTCCTTCCCAGTCCCTCCCAGTCATTCCCAGTCCCTCCCAGTCCCACCCAGATTGCTCCCAATCCCTCCCAGTCCCTCCCAGTGCCCTCCAGTGTGCTCCCAGTCCCTCCCAGTCCCTTCCAGTGGGCTCCCAGTCCCTTCCAGTGTGCTCCCAGTGCCTCCCAGACCCTCCCAGTGGCTTCCAGCATGCTCCCAGTGCCTCCCAGTCTCTCTCAGTGTGCTCCCAGACCCTCCCTGCGTGCTCCCAGTGCCTCCCAGTCCCTTCCCAGTGCCCTCCAGTGTGCTCCCAGTGCCTCCCAGTCCCTTCCAGAGTGCTCCCAGTGCATCCCAGTCCCTCCCAGTGTGCTCCCAGTGCCTCCCAGTGTGCTCCCAGTGCCTCCCAGTGTGCTCCCAGTGCCTCCCAGTGTGCTCCCAGTGCCTCCCAGTCCCTCCCAGTGCCTCCCAGTCCCTCCCAGTGTGCTCCCAGTCCTTCCCAGTCCCACCCAGTGTGCTCCCAGTCCCTCCCAGTGTGCTCCCAGTCCTTCCCAGTCCCTCCCAGTGTGCCCCCAGTGCCTCCCAGTCCCTCCCAGTGGCTCCCAGTGCCCCCAGCTCACGGGTCCCGGGTGCCTGCCATGGCTCTGGGCGACACCGGGCGCTTCCACCTCCCATTTATAGACGGGAAACCACAGCCCTGAGTCACGGCGGGGGCGGGGGGCCGGCATGGGCCCCCCCAGACCCAAACTGGTGCCCTGAGACAGTCAGGGCACACACCCCAAAATGCAGAGAAATGCCCCAAAACAGCAGAGAAATGCCCTGAAATGCGTGGGATGAACACGAAGAAATGGCACAAATTGAGAGGGCAGAGACGCCCCAAAGCCATCACAGCAAGAAACCCCAAAAAGCAGGGAAATGACCCTAAAAAAACCAGACAGAAACACCCCAAATTGACCAGAGATGTTGGGAAATGTCTCAAAATGTCTGGGCAGAGACACCTCAAAACAAGCAGGGAGAAACTCCTCAAAACCCGCAGAAAATGCCCCAAAATGGCGACAGCCTCAGCTGGGCAGAGACACCCCAAAATGCAGAGAAATGGCCCCAAATGGTGAGGCACAAACACCCCAAACCAGCCCTAAAATGCCAAGAAATGCCCCAAAACAACTGAGCAGAAACGCCTCAAATGCCCAGAGACGTCGCAAAATGAGGAAAGCCCCAAAACAACGGCACAGACACCCCAAAATGGCCAGAGCCGTCCCAAAATGAGACAAAATGGCCAAGGACACCCTAAAATGAGGCAAAATGCCCCAAAACAGCCAGGCAGAAACACCCTAAAAATGGTCATAAAGAGGAAATTCAAAATGTGGAGAGACACCCCAAAACAGTTGGGCAGAGACGCCCCAAAATGTCTGAACAGGGAGTCCCCAAAATGAGGAGAAACACTCCAAACCAGCCAGGCAAAAAAAACCCTAAAAAGCAGAGATTCACCCCAAAATGGCCAGGCAGAAACGCTCCAAATCGAGCAGGCTGAGATGCACCAAAATGAGGAGAAACACTCGCAAATAAACACGGTAGAGACACCTCAAAATGCCCCAAAATTCAATAAAACACCCCAAAACTGCTGGGCAAGGATACCCCTAAACCAACCAAGCAGAAATCCCCCCAAAAACGACGCCTTGAAGAATTTGGGGGTGAACTGGTGTTCCCCACCCCCCCCCCCACATCCCATCCCCCACAAACGCCACCGAAACGCCCGAAATGCCCCAAAATGACGCTGTCGGAAAAAGCAGCTTGAACACCTCCTCCAGATGGCCCCAAATCGTTCAGGTACCCCCAAATCCTCAAAAAACCCGCTCAGGTTTTTTTAGAACTCCCCCTTTTTAAAAACTCCCCCCGGCACCTCCAAATTTTGGAGGCTTTTTCCACCTGCAGGCCCTGAATTTTGCCCCTTTTTCCCCCCACCCCAAAATCCGCTCGGTTCCAAGTCAGTTTTTTGACGTTTCTCAACCCCAAATCGACCGGGTTTTACCCCAAAGCGGTTCTGGGTGTACCACCCGGGACCCCTCCCCATTTTTAGGGGGGGTTGGGGGTTTTTCCACCCCCTGGGACTTCCCCAGCTCGAAGGGAGGTGAAACTGCGCCGGAGCCGGCAGGAAATAACAGAGGGGGTGCGGTGGATTTTTGGACGGGGGTGGAGCAGAGCCGGTGCCTGGTGCCCCCCCCCACACCGGGACCCCAGCCCACCCCCCTGTGTTCAGCAGGACCCTCGTGCCAAGGCCCTGGCACGCTGCCCCCTCCTCTAGGGGGGTGTTAGGGCACAGCCCCCCCAATTCTGGACCCCCCCACCCCGCCCAAAATCTGCTCACCTGGCTGAACCCCGTGTGTTACCCGCCCTGGCACCCCGCTTTTTATGGGGTGATGTCAGAGAACCCTCCCACACCTGGGGGGGTCCCAAATCTTCCGCCCCCTCCCACCTCCCCATGGGTTCCCAAACTTTCACTCGGGCCGAGGCTCCTTTTTTTTTTTGGGGGGGGGGGGATGATGAAGGGAACGCCGATACCGCACCCAAGGGTGCGATCGTGTGGGGATCTCGGAGAGGGGAGTCTTTAACACCCCTTCAAAGCCCCCACTCCCCTGTGAGCCCCCCAAAAACCCATGGGAGACGTTTAGGGGTGCTAATGCTCCCCCTCAAGGGAAGCAGATACTGGGGGGACCCTTCTTTGCTCCTCCTGTGAGCCCCCCAAAAACCCATGGGAGATGTTTAGGGGTGCTAATGCTTCCCCTTCAAGGGAAGCAGATACTGGGGGGACCCTTCTTTGCTCCTCCAGAGCAGTGAGAACGGGTGGGGGGGACTCATTAACACCCCCTCAACCCTCAAGGAACCCCCTAATCACCAGGACACCCCCAAACTTCCCTGGGGGACCCCGTTTAACTCTCAGCCCTCCCCAAACGTCCGCAGACACTGAGATGGGGGGGATGTCACACACTTCACCCCCAAGAACATCCCTTTAAACCCCACGGGGGTCCCCCTCAATCTCAAAACCCACGAGTGGGGATTGGGGGGGAGGGGGAGCTCCTTTTCACAGCCCCTCCCCCCCGGGGACCCCCAACCCGCCCCCCCTCCCCACCGCACAAGCCCCGCCCCTCCCGCCTGGCCCCGCCCATCCGCCATGGCCCCGCCCCCGGGCTGGCCCCGCCCCGCGCCGCCGCCGCCGGCCCCGCCCCGCCGCCATGGCCCGGGCTCCCGCCTCCGCCCCGGCGCCCCCACCGTGGCCGGACTCCCGGCGTGCCCCGCGCGGGGGGGGCCCCTCCCAGCCCCCCCCGCGCCCCGGGACCCCCCCCCAAACCCCCCCTCCGCACCCCCATGACCCCTCGGCCGCCGGGACCCCCCTCCCGCCCGCTTCCACCCCGTCCCCCGCTCTCCCGGAGGTCGCCGAGCCCCCACCGGGGCTCCCCGAAACGGCCGCGGGCCCCCCCGGGGACCCCGAGAGTCCCGCGCCCCCCGGGGTGGGCGGGGGGTCCCGGCGGGTTCTTTTCGCCGACGCTCTGGGGCTGCCCCTGACCCGCCTGCGGCAATACCGGCCCTGGGACCCCCGGGGGAGGGGGGCACCGGCGGGGGGGGGGCCCCCGGTAGGGGGGGAGGGGGGCGCGGTGGGAGAGCCGCCCCCCCCCGGGATCTGGATGAGGCCTGGGAAGGGCAGGTAAGAGACGGGGGGAGGGGAAATCTGCATGGGGGACCCCCAAAATGGGGTCAACCCCCGACCTCCCCCCCCCCCGCATGTGCCCCCCGAAATTGAGGGGGGGGCTGTGGCGCATGTCTGGGTTCCCCCCGGACCCCCAAATGTGGGTCACACTCTGGGGGGGTGCAGATGCTGTTCCCCCACCCCTAATTTGGGGATCCTGGTCGGTGACCCCCCCACACCCGTGTCCCCCCCAAAAGGCCACAGGAGGCGGAGGATGTGCAGCCCCCACCCCCCGAGCACAGCACAGGTAAGTATCGCTCCCCCAAATTTGGGGGTGCACCCCAATTACTGGGGCACCCTCCAATTTTGGGGATCCCCCCGAACTTTGGGGGGGGGGGTCCCTCATCCCCTCCCCTTCCCCCTCGCACAGAGCCTGACCCTGCCCCAACGCCCCCCCCGGATGCGGAGCAGCCCCCAGCACAGGTGAGACAACACCCCCTCCTCCCCCCCAAAACTGGGGTGCCCCCCTCCCCAAGGATGGGGGTACCCCAAATCCCCAAATTCTGCCCCCACCCCCCCACTTAGGGCGCCGAGGACGAGGCGGTGGCGCGGGAGCTGGAGCAGCTCTACCTGTCCCACCTGCGCCGGCTGCGGGGGGACCCCGGCCACAGCGACGACCCCCCCCCGAGAAACGGGGACCCCCCGTTCCCCGAGCGAGCCCCCAACACCTCTCTGGCCAACGAGATGGCCCTGCGCTACGAGGGCGGGGGTCGCTGCAGCCCCCCGGTGCTGCTGGGGAGGGGGGGGCCGGTGGAGGGGGCGCTGGTGGTGCCGGCGCGGCCCCCCCGGGGCAGGGGCAGCAGTTTGGGGGGGGCCCTCAGGGGGTGCGGGGTGGTTTTGGCTTTGGCCGTGCTGGTCCCGGTGGCCTGGGGGGACGGGGGGGGCCCCACGGCCGCGCTGGCCCTGGGGCTTTACCTGGCGCTGGCCTGGCTCACGTGAGGGGGGTTTGGGGGGGGGAGCCCCAAATTGTCACCACCCAAAAAATTGTCACCTCCCAAAAAGTCACAGCACATCACCCCCCCCCCATTTTACCTTTGGAAACGTGGGACACCCCTAAATCAGTGGGGGGAAGGGGGGCACTGAGTTGCGGCGTGGGGAGATGGAAGGGCACCCCCAAATGAAAGGGGCACCCCCAAATGAAAGGGGCACCCCCAAATGGAAGGGGACCCTCAAATTTCCCCCCCCCCCCTTCCTCAGGGGTGGAGGCACTGTCACTTTGTGGGACCCCCCCCCTCCCAAGTCATGTGCACCCCACCCGGGTTTTGGGGCGCCCCTGTGTACATACAGCCATGGAACGATGGTGTCCCCGAGTTCTTGTCGTGGGGGTTGAATTTTGGGGCGGGGGGGGGTAAGGGAGGGTTGTGTGTCTGTGTTTAGGGGGTGGGGGCCGGGTCCCCCCCCTCTGCTGTCGCTGTCGCAGCCATTTCCTGCCCTCGGGGAAGGTCCCAGCAAAGGTCACGGCCCGCGGTGACAAACAGCCCCCCCAGGCCCCCGGGGATGGGGCAGGCTCACCTGTGGCTGTCGTGTCGTGGGCGCCATGTCGTGACAGAAGGGTCTGTCACCCCCTGGGGGCAGCCGGGGGGGGTCCCGAGTGTCCTTGAAGCAGCTGGGGGGGGCCGGGTCCTGAGCCCCTTTGGAGAATTGGGGTGTCCTGAGTGTCCTGGGAGCAGTTGGGGTGGGGTCTTGAGCCCCCTTGAAGAACTGGGGTGGTCCTGAGTATCCTGGAACATTTGGGGAGGGGGTCTTGAGTATCCTGAGAGCAGCTGGGGTGGGGGTCTTGAGCCCCCTTGAAGAACTGGGGTGGTCCTGAGTATCCTGGGAGCAACTGGGGGGGTCTTGATCCCCACAGGATGAAGTGGGGAGTGGTCCTAAGGCCCCCTGGAAGCATTTGGGGGGTCCCGAGTGTCCTGGGAGCATCTGGGGGGTGGTCCTGAGCCTCCTGGAGGTGGCCGGGAGGGGGTCCCCAGCCCCCAGTGAAGCTGCTGAGAGCATTCTCGGTCCTCGGGGAGGGTCCTGGATCCAGCCGAAGGAGGGTCCTGTGCCCTCAGGTGACATTGGGGTGGTTCCATCTCCTCAGGACTCACTGTGGGGAGCGTCCCAGTGGTTCTGGTGACAGGGGAACACTCCCAGCAGGGAGTGACAGCAGCGGTGTCACATTTGTGGTGGAGGGGTGGCATCCTCCCTGGGGGTGCTGCTCCCTCCGCAGTCCCTGAGCCCACTGGGTGACAGTGTTGTGTGCGTGGGAGGGGGTCCCAGCCCTCCTGGAGCCACAGTGTGGGTGGTGGTCCTGTCCCTCAGCCCCTCAGGTGACAGCAGGGTGGCGGAAAACACAGCCCTTCTGAAGTCACTATTGGGGGGGTCTCAGACCCTCTGGACTCACTGTGGAGGTATCCTTGGTCATCTCCGGATGTTCTGCTCCCCTTGTAGTCCCTCAGTCCTTTGGGTGACATCGTGTTGGGGGTCACAGCTCCTCTGGACTCAATGTGGGGGTGTCCTCATCATCCTTGGTCGTCTCCAGATGTTCTGCTCCCTTTGTAGTCCCTCAGTCCTTTGGGTGACATCGTGTGGGGGGTCGTGGCTCCTCTGGAGTCACAGAAGGGGACCTGCCAGCACCCAGGGGTCCTCAGCCCCTCAGGGAATGGTGGGGGGGCGGCAGCAGCCCCTCTGAAGTCACTGCAGGAGCGTCCCAGCTCTCTAATATACACTGGAAGGGGGAGGAAATCCTGTCCCATCCAAGGGTGTCCTGCCCACCCTCACGGCCCCTCAGCCCCTGAGGATGGGGTCCCAGTCCCTCAGGTGACAGTGCTGGCGGGACCCGTCCCCTCACGCACCCTCAGCCCCTGAGGAGGGGGTCCCAGTCCCTCAGGTGACAGTGCTGGCGGGATCAAGGAGGGTCCCGCTGCCCTCAGCCCCTGAGGAAGGGGTCCCAGTCCCTCAGGTGACAGTGCAGGCGGGACCCGTCCCCTCAGGCGCCCTCAGCCCCTCACGGCGGGAGGGGGGCGTGGCCTCTCCCTCACGGCGGGGCTCTCGCGCCGCCCGCACGTGCGCTCCTCGCGCTGCGCATGAGCGCTGCTCCCCGGCCCCGCCCACCGCGCTCCCGGAGCCCGCCAAAGCGCCGCGCTCCTATTGGCCGCCCTTTTCCCGCCCGCCCCGCGTGACCGTGGCGTCGCCATGGCAACCGGCCAATGGGGCAGCGCGCGAGTGACGAGAGGGTGGGCGGGGCTTCGGCGGCGGCGGCGGCGCGCGCGGTTTTTCGGCCCTGGCGGGCGCCGGAGCCGCCGCCATGAGCGGGGCCCGGGCCGGGGCAGACCGGCCGCCCCCGGCCAAGCTCCGCCGTCTGGATGAGCCCAGCGGTAAGGGCCCTGCCGCCGCCGTTACCCGCGGGGAGGCGGTGCGTTCCCCCACCCCCGCCGGAGGTCGTGGTGAGGGCCGCAGAGCGCGCGCGCGGGGCGACGGGGCCGGGCATGCGCAGGGCGGCGGCGGGGACCCGCCCGCGCCCCCTGGCGGCCGCCCGGAGATTAGCGCGGGTTTGGCCCGGGAGGGGCCGGAGACCCCCGGGGAGGGCGCGGCGGGACCGGAGAGCACCGGAGAGGTCCCGGCGGGACCGGAGAGCACCGGAGAGGTCCCGGCCAGCCTGGAGACCACCGAGGAAACCAAGGGGAGACCGGAGACCATCGACAGATGCAAAGGGAGCCCGGAGAGCGCAAGTAGCGACTGCTTGGAGCAGAAAAAAGGGGGTTTGGAGACCACCGGAGAGGTCACAGAGGGGATGGAGAGCACCGGTGAGGCCACGGGGGACCTGGGAATTGCTGCCACGCACTCCTTGGAGCAGAACAAGGGTGTCCTGAAGACTCCCGTGGAATCCGAGGGAAGCCTGGAGAGCACCAGCAAAGCCAGCGGTGATCTGGAGAGCAGCAGGGAAGGCACAGGGAGCCTTGGGAGCAGCAATGGGCGCAAAGGGAGCCTGGAGACAGCCGTCACCCGCTGCTTGGAGCAAGGCAGAAGGAGCAAGGCGGGCCTGGAGACCACCGCCAAGGTCCTGGGGAGCATGGAGAGCGATGCTTCTCCTGGTGGGGAGCTGAAAAGCACCAGCAGGCGCAAGGCGAAGACCCCCGCGAGGCCCAGGCTGAGCGCAGAGACTGCCGGCAGCTTGGAGCGGGAGAGAAGCGGGAACGGGGATCTGGACACCAGCAGGGAGGTCTTGGCTGGCTTGGAGGCCACCAGAGAAGACACGGAGAGCCTGGAGACCACCATCGCTGGCTGCGTGAAGCGGGACAGAGAGCAGAAAGGAGGCGTGGAGTTCACCACGGAGCCCGAGGAGGGCCCGGAGCCCACAGCCTGCGTGGGGCAGAGCCGAGGCGGCCCCGGGCTCCCGGATCTCGTGGGGGTCCCGGAGCCCGCGGGGGTCCCGGTCCCCAAGGAGCACGTGGCCGAGGAGAGCGCGGTGATCTCGCTGGATGAAGACGAGGAGGAGGAGGAGGAGGAGCGGGACGAAGGGCCTGCGCGGTACCTGGCGGCGCTGGAGGCCGTGCAGCTGGAGCTGGAGGCCGTGGAGGAGGAGGCGGCTCGAGCCTTTCGCCGCCTCCGCACCCGCTTCTGCCTCCGCCGCCGGCCCCACCTGCAGCGGCGCAACCGCCTCATCCAGCACATCCCCGGCTTCTGGGTCACCGCCGTATCCTTGGGGGCTGCATTTTTGGGGTGGGGGGCTCACGGGAACCTCCAGATCCGTCTTTCCTTGACGCCCCCGTGCCCCAGTTCCTGAACCACCCGCAGCTCTCGGCCATGATCAGCGACCGCGACGAGGATGCGCTGAGCTACATGACGAGTTTGCAGGTGCCTGGAGGGTTTTGGGGGGAAGATTTGGGGTTGTGTGCCCCCCCTAAGGTAACACACCTTGGCCCACAGGTGGAGGAGTTCGGCCAGAGCCGCCCCGGGTGCCGCATCCGCTTCTTCTTCAGCGTCAACCCCTATTTCCAGAACGACGTCGTGGCCAAGGAGTTCGTGCGCGGCCCCTCCGGTGGGTCTTTGGGCTGGGGGGGGGCACCCCCAAATTCCTACAGCCCAAGGAGGGGTTTGGGGGCTCCAGAGTGACCCCCTGGTGTGTTGTCCCTCCTCCCAGGTCACCTGGTGTCCCACTCGACCCCCATCCGGTGGTGGCAGGGGCAGGACCCCCGGACTCGCCCTCACAAGGGCCCCCCAGCCCCCCGCAGCTTCTTCGCGTGGTTTGGGGACCACAGCTTCCCTGCGGGGGACCGTGTGGCCGAGGTGAGCCCAGTGCTCCCAGTTCCGCCTCCCAGTGCTCCCAGTTCCGCCTCCCAGTGCTCCCAGTTACCCCCCCTGACCTCCCATCTCCTCCCCTCCAGATCATCAAGGAGGAGCTTTGGCCCAACCCGCTCCAGTTCTACCTGCTGGGGGAAGGCGCCGAGGGACCCCCCGACAGGTGAGCTGCACCCCGGGGGGGTTTGGGGGGCACCAGGGGAGGGGACCCCAAACCTTCACACCCCCCCACGAACGCCCCCTCCCCAGTGAGAGCGGCGAGGACTGCGTGGTGATCCTGGATGACGACGAGGACGTGCAGGAGATCCCGGATGATGGGGACGGTAAGCGACCGACTCCCCCCTCGACCCTGGGGGGGACCCCCAAAAGTGGGGGGACCTCAAAACTCCTCACCTGAGGAAATGGGGGGGCTGAGACCCCCCCCCAGATTCCTCTTGGGAGTAGGGGCTGATTTTGTGCCCCCCAATCCCCCCTCTGCAGGCAGTGGCGTGGAAGAGATCCCAACAGAGGAGCCCCCCAACCCCCCCGTGGGACAGAAAGACCCCAGCAGGGGCAGAATTTAATTGGGGGGGGGGAATTGGGGGTGCTGCACATCTCCACCCCTCCAGCGTTGCGGGTAATGAGGGGCTGGGGGCCCCCAACACAGCTCAGGGTGCTCGAAGGCCTTTCACCCCCCTGCCCCCCAAACCTTTCATGACTCCCCCCCCACTCTGGGGACCCCCAATCTCCCCAGCTCCATCACCTGGGGGGTGCGGGGCTCCCCCTAAATCCCTTCCCCCTACCCACACACCTCACACAAGGGGAGAAACACAACCATTTCCTGACCATTTTTGTACATTTTGGGTTAAAAACTTGTAAAATTTTCTTTTTATATCTTAAAAATATATTATAATAAAGAGAAATTTTAACAGATTCACAGAGACCTCCCTTGAACCCCCAAGGGAGCTGGGGAGGATTTCAGAGTTTAAAATTTTCATATTTTACTCCCCTGAGTCATTCCCCTCCTCACCTGCTGCTGGTGTTGGGGTGAGGGGATCCCTAAAATCCCTCCCAGGGCAGATTCCGCCTCAGACCGCCCCCCCCTCCTCCGGTGCCGGTTTCCCCCACAACACGTGGCTTCACTCCCGTTACCGGTGCTCCACGACCCCCCCGCAATTCCCGGTATCTCCGAGAACCTGCGGTGCAAATCTCCCCCATCATCCCCACCGGTCCCGGTGTCCCCCCACCGCCATTTCCATCCCGTTCCCGGTGCTCCCCCCACCATTTCCATCCCGTTCCCGGTGCCTCCATCTCCGGTTCCCGCTGTCCCAGCCCCACTCCCGCTGTCCCAGCCCCGCTCCCGCTGTCCCGGTCCCAGCCCCGTTCCCGCTGCCCCAGCCCCGTTCCCGCTGTCCCGGTCCCGTTCCCGCTGTCCCGGTCCCGTTCCCGCTGTCCCGGCCCCGCTCCGGTCCCGTTCCCGCTGTCCCAGCCCCGTTCCCGGCCCCGTTCCCGCTGTCCCGGCCCCGCTCCGGTCCCGGTCCCGTTCCCGCTGTCCCAGCCGCACTCCCAGCCCCGTTCCAGCTGTCCCGGCCCCGCTCCGGTCCCGGTCCCGGTCCCGGTCCCGTTCCCGCCTCACAGCGCCGCCTGCTCCTCCCGCCCACCCGCACGGGGGCGCCACAACCGCGCGTCTCCACCAATCAGCGGGCGGATCCTGCTGCGCCCCGCGCCTCCACCAATCAGCAGGTGGGGGGGGATAATCAGCATAGACCACGCCCCCACCCTTTGGGGAGGCGTGGCCAACCCAAGCCCCGCCCACACCGCCTTGGGGGTGGGGGGAGGGGGCGAACCCCCCCCCAAAATCCCCGATCACCCCCAAACCAGGGGCGCAGACAGAGACAGAGCCTGGCTGGGCACAGAGGGGCTTTACTGCCCCCCACCAGCACCACGGGGTCCCGGGGGGCTCCCAGAGGCTTTGGGACCCCCGGGATTTTGGGGGGGGGGGAGGTGGGGGGGGGTCCCAGAGATTTTTTGTTTTTTGGGGTGGGGGTCCCTATGAGGCGGAGTCGGAGGCCTCGGAGCTGTCCTTGACGTCGGTGCTCTCGGTGGTCTCGCTGACCTCGCTGACGTCTTTGCTGTCGCCCCCCCCGTCCTCTGGGTGGGGGGGTCCCGTGGGGGGGGGGTGCGAGGGGGTCCCCCCCGAGCCGCAGACCCCATCCCCACTTCGGGGGGGCTCGGCGGGGGCCAGGGGCCGGCCCCGCTCCTTCTGCTCCACCTGCTTCCTCAGCTGGGGGGGCACAAGGTGGGGTTACACCGGGGGGTTTCCCCTGGGACCCCCCCAGGAGGGTTTTTGGGGGTCCCGGGGTGGGGTCGGGGGTCCCGCACCTCATCCGCCATTTGCGTCAGGTCCCGTTTCATGGCGTAGGCGTCCTCCCCGTCCGCGTAGTACTTGGGCTCCACCTCGCTGATCCTGGGGGACATTTGGGGGTTCAGGGGGTGGGGGGTGACAAACCCACCCCCCCCGAAACCCCCGAACCCCAAATTTCCTCCTGCAGCCCCCCACAAACCCCCCAGGCCGGTCAGACTCACTGGAAGTTGAGCGTGTTGGAGTAGAGGTGCAGCGCTGCGCGGTTGCTGCGAGGAGAAACGGGGTGGGGGTTAATTTGGGGGGGTTTGGGGTGATTTTAGGGGGGATTTGGGGGTTATTTGGGGGTGATTTTGGGGGAATTTGGGGGTGATTTTGGGGGTTATTTTAGGGGGGATTTGGGGGTTATTTGGGGGTGATTTGTGGGTGATTTTGGGGGTTATTTTGGGGGGAATTTGGGGGTGATTTTGAGGGGAATTGGGATTTATTTCGGGGGGATTTGGGGGTGATTTTGGGGGAATTGGGGGTTATTTCAGGGGGGATTTGGGGGTTATTTTAGGGGGGATTTTGGGGTTATTTTGGGGGGGATTTTGAGGTTATTTTGGGGGGATTTGGGGGTGATTTTGGGGGAATTTGGGGGTGATTTTGGGGGTCTCACCTCTTGCGGACGTGCAGGGAGACGTATTTGGCGTTGAAGTTCTCGATCATGGCCCGGGACGCCTGGTCCATCAGCTTCTGCGCCAGCCCCAGGCGCCGGTGCGAGCGTTTCACTGCCTGGGGGGGCCCAAAACGGGCTGGGACACCCCAAAAACCCCCAGGGACCCCAAAAAACCCCCCAGGGACCCCAAAAAATCCCCACGGGGCACAGCAAACCCCCAGGGCACCCCTGAACCAGCCTGGGTCCTGTTCTAAGAACCCCCCAAGTGCTCAGAGCCCCCCAAAGAGCCTCAAGGGTCCCTCCCAACCCCTCAGGTGACCCCAAAACCCTCAGGTGACCTCAAAGACCCTCAAGGAGAGCCCCCCAAACCCTCAGGTGACCCCAAAACTGTCAAGGAGCCCCCCCAAACCCCTCTGAGCCCCCCCAGACCCCTCAAGGAGCCCCCCCAGGCTCACCAGGGACGTGATGTGTCCGTGGGGGACGTCATCGGGATCTTCCTCCCTGCAGGGGAGGTCGGGGTGGGGTGAGACCCCCCAAATCCTTTCGGGGGACCCTCAGGACCCCCCCCAGAGCCCAGGATTGGGGGGAGGGGGGAAGGAACCCCCAGACTCACATCTTGGCCAGGACGTATCCCACGATCTTTCCGTTCTCGTCCTCGGCGATGTACGAGAGCTGAGGGGGGGAGGGGGGGGTCAGGTGAGCTTGAGGGGGGCCAGGTGAGCCCAGGTGAGTTGGGGGGGGTCAGGTGAGCTTGAGGGGGGCCAGGTGAGCTTTGGGGGTGTCCAGGTGAGTCTGGGGGGGGTCAGGTGAGCATGGGGGGGGATTCCAGGGGTTCCTGGGAGGGGTCCAGGTGAATCTGGGGGGTGTCAGGTCTGCATGGGGGTGGGAAAGGTGAGTCTGGGGGGTTCCAGGTGTGTTTGAGCGGGAGACTGAGGGGCACCGGGGGGGTTCAATCCCGGTGTCCCAGGACCGGGGAGGGTTTCAGGTGTTCCAGGGCCACACCTGAGGCCAGGAGAGGCCGTGGTAGAAGTAATATTTCATCTGGTAGTTCTCGGGCAGGCAGAGCAGGTTGCAGTGCTGCATGTTCATCAGGTCCTCGGGCTGCGGGAGGAACCGGCACCGGAACCGGCACCGGGGGATCAGCCCGGAACCGGCTCTGGGGCTCCCCAACACCCCTCAGAGCCCCCCACCCACCTCCGAGCCCCCAGGAGGTACCGAGATCCGGTACCGCCGCTCAGAGCTTCCGGTGTTCCCCTCAGACCCTCCCCGGGCCCGGTGTTCCCCTCAGAGCCCTCCCCGGGCCCGGTGTCACCGTCAGATCCCTCCCCGGTGCCCGGCTCTTGCTCGCCGAGCCCCGGCTGAGGCTCCCTGCCCCCCCGGGCCGCCCACCCGCGCGTTCCGGATGTTCATGGCTGCGGCCGTTCGCTCCCGGTGGCGTTTCCCGGTCCCGGTCCCGGCTCCGCTCCCGGTCCCCTCACGAGCCGCTTCCGCCGGAAATTCCTCTTTGTCCAATCAGCGCTGAGCCCGCCCATTAGCATCCCGGTGTATTGACAGGCGCGACGACCAATCAGCGTGCGAAGAGATGCGACAAACCCCGCCCCCTATCCGCCCTTTGTCTTCAGCCAATCAGAGGCGAGTTCCGCGCGTGCCCCGGCGCGGGCGGGGTTTGCTCTCTCCCACCCCCCTCACCGACCAATCACGTCCGGCCGCGCTGAGGATTGACAGCTGCACGAGCAAATGGGGAGAGGCGGGAGGCGGGGCATGGCAGCGCTCGGAGCCGCGTGGGCGAACACGCTTTATTGCCGTGGGGGAGGGGCGGGGGGGGTCCCCACGCGCGGGGGGGGCTCGGCATGAACCCCCCACACCTGAGCTCGGTGCCCTTCGTGGCGTTTCCCAACTTCCTGAGCGGCCTCATGGCCACGGTCCTGGCGATTTGTCCCCAAATCCCGGCGTGGCCCCACTGGCGGTGGGGGTCGTGTCCACTCAGGAGGGGTCGTGTCCACTCAGGAGGGTTGTACCCACTCAGGAGGGAGTGTCCCCACTCCTACAGTGTCCCCCAGTCCTTGTTCCCGCAGCGTTCCCCTCTTGCAGCGTCCCTGGAGAGCGTCCGGCCGTCCCCGCTCCGTGCCCCCCCACCCGTGACCGCTCCCCGGGTGGGTCCCCTCGGCTCTCAGGGCTGCATTCGCAGGGCCCCGTCCAGCCTCACCACCTCCCCGTTGATCATGGGGTTCTCCGCCAGGGCCTGCACCAGGTGGGCGTACTCAGCGGGATCCCCCAGGCGCGAGGGGAACGGCACCTGCTGCCCCAAAAACTTCCGCACCTTCTCGGGCAGCGCGGCCAGCAGCGGCGTGGAGAACAGACCTGGGGAACCCCAAAAAGCACCGTGAGAACTCGGGGGACACTCCCCATGCCCACCTCCCAGCGATCCGCCTCACCTGGCGCGATGGTGACCACGCGGATGCCCAGCGGCGCCAGGTCGCGGGCGATGGGCAGCGTCATGCCCACGATGCCGCCCTTGGAGGCCGAGTAGGCGGCTTGGCCCACCTGGGGAGGTCGTGGGGTTGTTTTGGGGGGCTCTGAGCCCCCCAATGGTCGCTACAAGGGTCAAGGGGGTGCTGACCTGCCCCTCGAAGGCGGCCACGCTGGCGGTGTTGACCAGGAGGCCGCGGTGGCCGTCGGCGTCGGGCGCGTTGCGGCTCATGAGCTGCGCGCTCAGGCGGATCACGTTGAAGGTGCCCACCAGGTTCACCTGGGCCGGATTTGGGGAGGGGGCTGTGGGTACCACCCCCCAAAAACCGCTGGTACCTCCAGGGTGTCCCCCCGTGCTGGGCTGGGGGCACCCCAAAGGTCTGTGGACACAGCACTGACCAGTTCATCCATACCACTGACCAGTTCAGCCACCCCATTGACCACAGACCCCCCATCCCGCTGTCCAGCCCCCCACGCCGCTGTCCAGCCCCCCACGCCCCCACTCACGTTGATGACCCTCTGGAAGTCCTCCAGCTCGTGCACTTTGTCCTTTTTGCCGTTGTAGGTCTTGACGGCGATGCCGACGCCGGCGCAGTTCACCACCAGGTCCAGGCGCCCGAATTTCTCCCGGGTCAGGGCCAGCGCCGCCCCCACCTCCTCGGGGGATGTCACCTGGGGGCCACCGGGGCGGGGTCACCGCCCGTGGGGTCACGGTGGTCCCGGTTTGAGGGGGGTGTCACCAATGTGAGGGTCACGGTGGTCCCGGTTTCCCGGGGGGTGTCCCCACTGCCCCGGTGTCCCGGGAGGTGTCCCCACGGCCCCGGTGTCCCGGGGGGTGTCCCCACGGCCCCGGTGTCCCGGAGGTGTCCCCGCGGTCCCGGTGTCCCGGGGGGTGTCCCCACGGCCCCGGTGTCCCGGGTCTGTCCCCACCGCGCTGACGGTACCGAAGCCCCCCGGTGCTCACGTCGGCGGCGGCGAAGGCGCAGCTCTCCCCGAGCTCCCGGGCCAGCTGCGCCCCGCCGGACCGGGGCAGGTCCAGCAGCACCGCCCGCGCCCCGCGCTCCACCAGCCGCTCCACCGTGGCCCGGCCCAGCCCGGAGCCGCCGCCGGTCACCAGCGCCACCATCCCCTGGGGGGACAGAGGGGTCAGCGGGGAGGGGAGACCCCCCCCAAATAATGAAACACCCCCGGGGAACGGGGAGGGGGGTCCCGGTACCTTCACGCTGCGAATCGCCGCCATCGCCGCCGTCCGGTGAATGCAGCGGGGGCGGAACCGGGAGGAACCGGGGGAGGGACCGGGAGGGAGGGGAGGGACCGGGGGAGGACCGGGGGGGACACCGGGGGACGGGGAGGGACCGACAGGGGGATCCCGGGGGGTGTCCGAGGCACCGGGGGGGGGTCAGGGGTGTCCGGAAGGGTCCCATAAGCGGGGGATGGGGGGAATGGGGGGTCCCGATCTCCTTTTCCTCCTCATCCCGGGGATTGTGAACCCCAAAACTGGGACCCCCGCAAAGGGCCAAGAGTGAGACATTTAACGGGAGGGGCACCAAGACCCCCCCCAAAAAAGAAAGGGGGTGAGGACCCTGAGGCGACAAAATCCGCTCCCCACGGGGGGGGAGGTTTGGATCCCCCTCCCCAAATACGAGACCCGGGGAGGGGGATGGGGGTCACCGGGGTCGGGTCGCCACGGGGGGGGCCCCGCTGGTCCCCCCCACTTTGTCCCCTCCCAGCCCGGCCAGCGGCCAGGGTGTAAAGTTACCGGCGACCTTCCCGGGGGGCACCGCCAGCACCCGCCGGGGCCCCCCGAAATGGAGGAGAAATCCCCCAAAATCCCAGGTGCGAGGGGCAGGGGGTCCGTTTTTGGGTGGGTGGGCGGGGGGGGGACACAGAGGTGCTGTGAGGGGGAAAATCCCCCCCCTAAACCCACCCCATAGAGGGATTTCCCTTTTTAGGGCAGGTTTTTTTAACCAAAATTGGGGTGCAGGAGGGATTTGGGGGTACAAAAAGCGATTGGGGAGGTCTGGGGGGGGGGTTGAATTTGAGGGGGGGGCACAGAGGTGCTGTGAGGGGGAAAATCCCCCCCAAACCCACCCCATAGAGGGATTTCCCTTTTCAGGACACTTTTTCTACCCAAAATTGGGGTGCAGGCGGAATTTGGGGGTACAAAATTGATTTTTTGGGGGGTAAAAGTGTTGTTCCCCCTCTGAAATGCCCCCCCAGCCTGCGTGCCTCAGTTTACCAACTGCCCCACCATGGTGATCCTGGTGGGGTTACCCGCCCGAGGCAAGACCTACATCTCCCGAAAACTCACCCGTTACCTCAACTGGATCGGCACCCCGACTCGCGGTCAGTGATTTTGGGGGGTGGGCAGAGGCACCCCAAAATATTTTGGGGTGTCTTAACCCCCCCACCCACCCCACAGTGTTCAACGTGGGTGAGTACCGCAGAGAAGCCGTCCCCAACTATAAAAATTACGAATTTTTCCGCCACGATAACCCCGAGGGGGTGGAAATCCGCAGGTTAGATTTCGGGAAAAAGGGGGTTGGGATTTTTTGGGGTGTATTTGAGGCAGTTGCACCCCAAAAAAATTTTTAGGCACTGTGCTCTGGCCGCCCTGAAGGATGTTCGTGCTTACCTGAGCTCTGAGGAGGGGCAGGTGGCGGTAAGAGACCCCCCAAAATCCCCCCAAAAATAAAAATGAACCCCTGCACGGGCAAACTTCACCCCAAATATTTTGGGGGGGTTCAAATTTCTCCCCGCACCCCCCAAAAAAAAAAAATAAAAATAAAAAAGGTGTTTGATGCCACCAACACCACGCGGGAACGGCGGGAAGTGATCCTGCAGTTCGCCAAGGAGAACGGGTACAAGGTAGGATTTGGGGGGTCGGCAGGAATTTTGGGGGTCCTGAGGAATTTTGGGGGTCCTGAGGAATTTCGGGGGGGTTTTGAGGAATTCTGGGGGGGTTTTGAGGAGTTTTGGGGGGTTTTTGAGGAGTTTTGGGGTGGCCATGAGGAATTTTGGGGGGGTTTATGGGGGGGGGGATGCTGCTTGGGGTGGGGTCTTGGGGGGGTGGAAAAATTTTGGGGGTGCCCACAGGATGAGGGGGTGACGCTGTTTTGGGGTGTCACAGCACAGGGAGGTGACACTTTTGGGGTGTCACCGGTCCCCCCACCCCAGGTCCTGTTCGTGGAGTCCATCTGTGACGACCCCACCATCATCGAGGAGAACATCAAGGTGAGACCCTGGTGGGGAGGGGACAAATGGGACCCAGAGGTGACAGTGGGGACCTGGAGGTGACAACAAGGACCTGGAAGTGACAACAAGGTCCTGGAGGTGACAGCTGGGGTTGGGAGGTGACAACTGGGGCCAGGAGGTGACAACAAGGACCTGGAGGTGACTATTGGGACCCAGAGGTGACAACAGGAACCTGGAGGTGACAACATGGGCTGGGAGGTGACAGCTGAGGCCTAAAGGTGACAACAAGGACATGGAAGTGACAACAGGAACCTGGAGGTGACAACAGGGACCAGGAGGTGACAAGAGGGACCCAGAAGTGACAGCTGGGACCCAGAGGTGACAATTGGGGCTGGAGGTGACAATTGGGACCCAGAGGTGACAGCCAGGGCCAGGTGCACCCCCCAAAACCCCGCTCTCCCCCGACCCCGCAGCAAGTGAAGCTGAGCAGCCCCGACTATAAGGGCCGCGCGCAGGACGAGGCCGTGGCCGATTTCCTGAAGCGCATCGAGTGCTACAAGGCCACCTACGAGCCCCTGGACGATGAGCTGGACAGGTGACCCCCACCCCAAACCCCCCCAGCGCCCCCCAGACCCGCCCTGACCGGGGTGTCCCCCCAAAATCCCGCAGCGCCCTGTCCTACATCAAGATCTTCGACGTGGGCGTGCGGTACCTGGCGAACCGCGTGCAGGGCCACGTGCAGAGCCGCACCGTCTATTACCTGATGAACATCCACGTCACGCCCCGAACCATCTACCTGAGCCGCCACGGCGAGAGCCAGCTCAACCTGCGGGGCCGCATCGGGGGGGACTCGGGGCTGTCCCCACGGGGGCAGCAGGTGGGGCAGAGCGGGACAGGGGTGAAGGGACACACCTGGGGATGTCCCCTCGTGGGTACCAGGTGGGTCAGAGCGGGACAGGGGTGCAGGGACACACCTGGGGATGTCCCCTTGTGGGGTCAGAGCCACCTCAGCCTGCAGGGACACACCTGGGGATGTCCCCTCGGGGGCAGCAGGTGGGTCAGAGCAGGACAGGGGTGCAGGGACACACCTGGGGATGTCCCCTTGTGGGGTCAGAGCGGGACAGGGGTGAAGGGACACACCTGGGGATGTCCCCTCGTGGGATCAGAGCCCCCCAGGTGCACAGGGACACACCTGGGGTTGTCCCCTTGTGGGGTCAGAGCCACCTCAGCCTGCAGGGACACACCTGGGGCTGTCCCCCCGTGGGATCAGAGCCCCCCAGGTGTGCAGGGACACCTCCCACCTGTCCCAGTACGCGCAGGCGCTGGCCCGGTTCATCGGCAGCCAGGACATCGGCGAGCTGAAGGTGTGGACCAGCCACATGAGGAGAACCATCGAGACGGCCGAGGCGCTGGGCGTGCCCTACGAGCAGTGGAAGGCCCTCAATGAGATCGACGCCGTGAGCCACACCCCGTTTTTTTGGGATTTTTAGGGGTGGGGACACCCCAAATTAACCCCTCAAAGCCCCCCAACGCTGCTGTCCCTCCCACAGGGGGTCTGCGAGGAGATGACCTACGAGGAGATCCAGGAGCGCTACCCCAAGGAGTTGGCGCTGCGGGACCAGGACAAGTATCGCTACCGCTACCCCAAGGGCGAGGTAACCCCCGAAAATCCCCCAAAATCCCCCAAAAATGGGGGGCAGAGGTTTGGGACACCCCCTAAAGCCTCTCGGCAGTCCTACGAGGACCTGGTGCAGCGGCTGGAGCCGGTGATCATGGAGCTGGAGCGGCAGGAGAACGTCCTGGTCATCTGCCACCAGGCTGTCATGCGCTGCCTGCTGGCATATTTCCTGGACAAGAGCGCAGGTGACAGCGGGGGACGGCTGGGGACAGCTGGGGACAGCTGGGGGACAGCCAGGGATGGTTGGGGACACACCTGGGGACGGCTGGGGACAGCTGGGGACAGTTTGGGACAGTTGGGAACAGTTGAGGACAGCTGGGGACACACCTGGGGACATTTGGGGACAGCCCAGAGCGGCCGTGCCCACCTCAGCTCTCCGGAACCCCTCCCCAGATGAGCTGCCCTACCTCAAGTGTCCCCTGCACACGGTGCTGAAGCTGACCCCCGTGGCCTACGGTGAGTGGGGTCACCCCAAAAAGGGACTGTCCCCCCCAGAGCGGGGCCAGAAATTGGGGATCAATCCCCTAAAAAGGGGAATTGTGTCCCTCACAGAATTTGGGACAAAGTGCCCCAAAAAGGGACTGTCCCCCCCAGAGTGCTTCCCCAAAATGGGGACAATTCCCTCCAAAAAGGGGATTTGTGTCCCTCCTAAAATTTGGGACAAAGTGCCCCAAAAATTGGACTGTCCCCCAAGACTGGCTCCAGAGAATGGGGACAAATCTCCCTAAAAAGGGGACAATTCTCCCTAGAGGAGACCCAGCAGAAAATGGGGAGAAACACCCCAAAATAACCCAAGAATAACCCCAATATCCCACCTGAAAAGGGGGACAATCCCCCCCAAAAAGTGATTGTTCCTCGTGTCTCACCCCCAAAATTGGGACAATACCCCCAAAAAGGGATTGTTCCCCATGTCCCACTCCAAATTTGGGACAATCCCCCCCAAAAAGTGATTGTTCCCCATGTCCCACCCCAAAATTGGGACAATCCCCCCCGAAAAGGGACTGTTCCCCATGTCCCACCCCAAAATTGGGACAATTCCCCCCAAAAAGGGATTGTTCCCCATGTCTCACCCCAAAATTGGGACAATCTCCCCCAAGAAGGGACTGTTCCCCATGTCCCACCCCAAAATTGGGACAATCCCCCCCAAAAAGGGACTGTTCCCCGTGTCCCACCCCAAAATTGGGACAATTCCCCCCAAAAAGGGATTGTTCCCCATGTCTCACCCCAAAATTGGGACAATCCCCCCCAAAAAGGGACTGTTCCCTGTGTCCCACCCCAAAATTGGGACAATCCCCCCAAAAACCGCTCCCTTCTTCCCCTGGACCAGGCTGTGAGGTCGAGCCCATCTTCCTCAACATCGAGGCAGTGAACACCCACCGGGCACGACCCCAGGTCAGAGCCCCCATCCCCAAATCCACCCCAAAAAACGGGTGCAGAGCTCATTAACCCCCCCAAATAACTGAGGGGGGTGTTGAATTTTGGGGAGATTCCCCCAAAACCCCCGTTTTCACCCCACAGAATGTCAACATCAATCGCACCGCAGCCGATGCCCTCAACACGGTCCCCGAGCACTTCTGAGGGGTCCCTTGGGGAAAAGGGGAGCCCCCACCCCAAAATTAAACCTTGCACAACCAAGCACCGAGCCTGAAAATTGGGGGGGCTGCAAACCAATGGGCTGCCTTTATTTTTTTTTGGGGGGGTCGGGTCAGGTTGTGGCCTTGTTGGCCTCGCTGTACTGGCTCGCCCAAAATTTGGGGTCCTTGCCCTGCATCTGAATGGAAGAAAAACAGGGGAGGGGGCATCAAATTGAGCCCTGGGAGCCCCCCAAAAATCAGAGATGCCCCCCAAAAGCACGGCCTCACCTTGGCCACGAAGTTCAGCACGTCCTTCTTGGAGGTTTCCTTCTCTGCCCGCGGCCCCCACTGGTACTTGAATTCGGGGGGGTCCGTCAGGGGGATGGCCGTGGTCTCCAGGTACCTGCACAGGGCTGGTGGTGACCCCTCCCCGCAGGTTTTGGGGTGCACAGGGGTTGTTTTGGGGGCTGTCCAGCGTTGCCCTGACCCCGTGAGGGACCCCTGGAGCCACGGGGCGCGGGGCTGCGGGTGTTGCTCTGCGGTGTGGTATAAACAGCCCGGCTGAGGCTGGCGCCGAGGCCGCTCTGGGCACACCGACCATGGGGACCCCCCGTTTGCACCCCAAATTCCACCCCGGCGGCCTCCCACTCACTTCTGCCGCACAAACTCCTCCGCCACCAGCTTGCGGACGTCCCCGAAGACGCTGTGCTGCTTCCTGAGGAGGGGGGCTAGTGAGGGGTGGCACTGAGCAGCCCACCCCTCCCGGGGGTCCCCACCCGTGTCCTACCCGGGGTAGACACGGAGCAAGTGCAGGAACTCCCACAGAGCACCTGGGAAGAAAAAGGGGGTGTCAGTGAGTGGGGTGCAAAGGGAAAAGTGGGGGACGGGGTGGGGGTTTGGGGGAGAACTCACTGTCTTTGACCGAGTTGCCCTTCATGAAGATGAAGCTGAGGATGACTAAGAGGAGACCCATCTTCTCCTTCTCCTTGTCCCTGAGGCACACACCGGGGTGTCAGCCCTGTGGGACTGGTGTCCCCCCTAAAACTGGGGACAAAGTGCCCCAAAAAGGGACCGTCTCCCCAGAAACCCTCCCCAAAATGGGGACAATTTCCCCTAAAAAGGAAACCTATGTCCCTCCTAAAATTGGGGACAAAGTGTCCCAAATAGGGACTGTCCCCCAAGAAACCCTCCCCAAAATGGAGACAATTTCCCCTAAAAAGGGGAATTGTGTCCCTCCTAAAATTGGGGGGAAAGTGCCCCAAAAAGGGACTGTCCCCCCAGAAACCCTCCCCAAAATGGGGACAATTTCCCCTAAAAAGGAAACTTGTGTCCCTCCTAAAATTGGGGGGAAAGTGTCCCAAAAAGGGACTGTCCCCCAAGAAACCCTCCCCAAAATGAGGACAATTCCCCCCAGAGGAGACCCAGCATAAAATGGGGACAAACACCCCAAGAGACCCTAAGAATAACCCCAGTATCCCACCTGAAAAGGGGGAGAATCCCCCCCAAAAATGGACTGTTCCCCATATCCCACCCAAAAATAGAGACAATCCCCCCAAAAATGGACTGTTCCCCCTGTGTCTCACCCAAAAATGGGTACAATCCCCCCAAAAAGGGACTGTTCCCCAAATCCACCCCAAATTTGGGGACAATCCCCCCAAAAAGGGACTGCTCCCCGTGTCAGCCGTGTGGGACACGCTGACGGGGTTCCCCACACCTGGAATCACCCAGGGGTGCACCCAGGGGTGCTGCATCCCCTCACCTGCACAGCTGCTCGCCCTCGGCACAGGGCAGGTTATTGATGAGGATGTAGATGTGGCGTTTGGCGTCGATCTCCACCAGCTGCAGCCCAAAAACCTGCGGGAGGACGAGGGTTAATCCAAGGGTTAACCCCCCCAAAACCTTCCCTTTCCCTCCTGCCCCCACCTCCTGCAGGGTCCTGTCCGCCCTCCTGATGATTTCCGAGTAGGCATCCCTGTATTCCCGGATTATGTTCTTCAGGATGTCTGTGGAAAACAGGCAGGGAACGCTGAGAGAGGTTGGAGCTCTGAGCCAGCAAGGATTTAGGGGTTTAAACACCGTGGAAACGCACCTGCCCTCTTGATAGGAATCTTCTTCTGGTCCTTGACGAGCAGGAACTGCACCAGCTCACTCACCTGTGGGGAAGGAGCAGGGAAGGCCGAGGGCGGGCTGATATCAAAAGGATGCAGAGACGGGACTCCGGCAGCGGGAAGAGAGGGGATCACCGCAATCCACCTTCTGGTTCAGCTGCTCCTGGGAGCGCCGCTCCACCTGCGTCGGGATGGAATCATCCTCCCCGTCGAGCAGCTGAGGGGAAACGACAGGAAAAGCGGGGGAAGTTGATGGCAGAGAATGGGAGCAGCCATGAGAGTAAATGAGGGGGGAACGGGGGTGTGGGGGAGCAGCCCCTCACCTGAGAGCAGCCGAGCCCTTTGCTGCGCTTCCGCTGGGACATTCCTCACAGCAGCTCTGAGAGGAAAATAAGCACCGGCTGGGCTAAAACCTCCACCAGAGCACCCCTAAGGCCGCCCCGCGCGTTCCACCCTCAGCAAGGCCGCAGAAACCCCATCCAAGGCCCGGACAACGACCCGAGACACGAACCGCCACCGACGGCGCTCCGCCCGCGACTGCGCCGGCCCCGCCCACACCCTCCGACCCCACCCGCACCAGCCCCGCGTCCCATTGGTCCAGCCGCCACTCGCCCCGCCTACCATCCCAACCCCGCGTCGCGATTGGCCAAGAGCCCGAGTTCGCCCCGCCCCCCGGCTCGCGCCGGGCGAGCCTCGCGCTCCTCCCCCCGCCCCCCCCACCTGAGGGGGCGAAAAAGGCGGGAAAAGAGCGGCGCGCGCGGCCCCCACCCCGCTAGGCCACGCCTACTTCCGGGTAGGCCGCGTCCGGTTGCCGTGGTAACCTTTTTTAAACCGGAAAAGACGAGCGGAAGCGGAAGAGGCGCCATGAAGCTGCTGACCCACAACCTGCTGAGCTCCCACGTGCCGGGGCTGCGGCCCGGGGGCGGTTTCCCGCTGCGCATCGAGGTGGGGGCTCGGGGGGGACCCCGGGCACCGGGAACGGCCGGGGGGACGCTGCCAGTCCCGCCCCCCGCCGTTAGCGCTGTCCCCGGTACCGTTACCGGTGCCCCCGTTACCGTTACCGGTACCCCCGTTACCGGTTCCCAGCTTCCTCCCCGTTCCCCTGACACTGCCGGGGCTCCGCTCTCTGTCTCCTTGTTCACCTCCCATCACCTCCGTTACCTCCCCCGTTACCCCCGGTAACTCCTCCGTTAACTCCCGGTAATTTCTCCCGTTGCCCTCAATAAATCTCCCGTTAAACCTCCCGTTATCGGCCTCGTTCCCCGCTTGTTAATCCTGTTTATCCTCTCCCGTTATCCCAGTTCCCCCCCGTTATCCCAGTCCCCGTTATCCCAGTTTCCTCCCGTTATCCCAGTTCCCGTTATCCCAGTTCCCTCCCGTTAACGCCCCGCTCCCCCCGGTTCGCTCTTCCTCCCCGCTAACCCCCGTTAATTCCCCGTTACCCTCATTTCCCACCGCTCATTCCCGCCGTTAATCCCCGCCCGAACCCCGTTGTTCCCTCCCGTTAACGCCCCCGTTATCCCCCGTTCCCCCCGGCCCGGTGCCCCCCGGTGACGGCCCCGGTGCCCGCAGGCCGCCGAGGTTCGGGTCCGCCCGGTGCCGTTCAACGCCGCCTTCGTGTCCCGCCTGGTGCCGCGGCTGCGCTGGGACGCGCTGCGGGAGGCGGCGGAGAGCGTGAGCGGGGACCGGGAACGGGAACGGGAACCGGGAACCGGGAACGGGAACCGGGAACGGGAACCGGGGACGGGGACGGGAACCGGGAACCGGGAACGGGAAACGGGGACGGGAAACGGGGACGGGAACCGGGGACGGGAACGGGGAACCGGGAACCGGGGATGGGAACGGGGACGGGAAACGGGGACGGGAACCGGGGACGGGAACGGGGAACCGGGAACCGGGGATGGGAACGGGGACGGGAACGGGAACTGGGAACGGGAAACGGGAACGGGAAACGGGAACCGGGGACGGGAACCGGGAACGGGAACGGGAACCGGGATCGGGAACGGGAACCGGGAACGGGAAACGGGGAATGGGGGAAATGGGGACCGGGAACGGGAATAGGGGGGAAATGGGAACCGGGAACGGGGACGGGAACGGGAACCGGAACCGGGAACGGGGAAACGGGGAACGGGGAACGGGAAACGGGGACGGGAACGGGGAACCGGGAACGGGGAACCGGGAACGGGAACCGGGAACGGGGGGGAAACGGGGAGGGGAACCGGGAATCGGTAACCGAGGAGGCTCTGGGAACCGGAGGGGACAGACACCGGGAATGGAGCAGCACCGGGAACCGGGGGGAGGTCGTTTTGTGGGGGATTTGGGTGATCCTGGGAGATTTTGGGGGTCTGGGGGGAGCTTGGAGGCGATTTTGAGGGTCCTGGAGGGGATTTTGGGGGGTTTGAGAGCGATTTTGGGGGTCTGGCGGCTCCTGGGGAAGGGGATTTTGGGGTCTGAGGGGGATTTGGGGAATTTAGGGGAATTTGGGGGGGATTTGGGTGTAGTTTTGGGGGTCTGGGGGGGATTTTGGAGGGAGTTTGGGGGCAGTTTTGGGGGTCTGGGGGGGATTTTGGGGGGAGTTTGGGGCAGTTTTGGGCTCCTGGGGGGGGGATTTAGGGGAAATTTGGGGGCAGTTTTGGGGTCCTGGGGGGGATTTTGGGGGGAGTTGGGGCAGTTTTGGGGGTCTGGGATTCCCCTCTGACCCCTCCCCCTCCCCACTTTGTGCCCTCCAAAGTTGGGGCGCCCCTCGGAGCTGCCCCCCGAGCCCACCCCCGGCTACGAGGACGACGAGGAATTCCTGCGTCGCCTCCACCACGTCCTGCTCGAGGTCAGGACCCCCAAAACCCCTTTGGGGGGAGGTTCCTAAATTTTGGGGACCCCCCCTGACCCCCAAATTTCCCCCCCAAACCGCAGGTGGAGGTGCTGGAGGGGTCCCTGCAGTGCCCGGACTCGGGGCGGCGCTTCCCCATCTCCAGGGGGGTCCCAAATCTGCTCCTGACCGAGGATGAAGCCTGAGGGGGGCGTTGGGACCCCCAAATCCGTTTGGGGGGGTCCCCAAAATGGGGCTGAGCCCCTCGCATCGAGGCAGGATCGGCGGGAAAACCCCGAATTCCCACGGTTGTACCCCAAAATCGGGGCTGAGATTTCAGCCATGTTAAAGCGGTGGTGGGCGTGGTTTGAGCAGCCTCATTTGCATATGGGTGTGGCCACCGCAATGCCCCTCCCCTATGCAAATTGAGAATGTGCTTATTTGCATTTTGAGCGGGAATTGTTTTGTTTGCATAACGGGAGAGGAATTTTCCCTTTTTTCCTCCCAAATTCTCTTTTCTTCTCTCTAAACTTCTTCCTTCCCAAACTTCCCAGTTTTGCCATAAATCCTTTTATTTCCTTGGAATGTCAGCGTTATTTTTTCCCCAAACCTTCTTTTTATCTCAAAATCCTCCAATTTTGCCCTCCTTTGTCCCGCTTCCCTCCCTTGTTCCCCAAAATCCGGATTTTACCCCAAAACCTCAACTTTTTGCCTTCAGTTTTTTATATTTTTCCATCAAATCCGTTTTTGTGCCCTAAGCCCCTCCTTTTCCCCCCAATCTTTCTATTCCAAAACTCTTGTTTTCCTCATGTTCTGGCTTGTTGTATTTGTAATTTTCCCCATCAATTTAATAAAAACTTCTCTTTTTTTGCCCGATATTGGGCCAAAATCGCCTCTTTTGCTCTCTTTGAGGATCCTCTCGGGAAAATCCTTCGGGATGGAGGGAACGGGGCGGTGTGAGGAGGGAATTTTGGGACAACATGGAGGCGTCCACATGAGCGGGGAAACCTCAGAGTGCCTCGGAGCCGCTGTTTGGGAATTCGGGAATCTCGGGGATGAACCCGGAGGTGTCCCTGGGGTCCCCTGGAGCCTTTTCCAGGTGTCCCTGGGGTCCCCTGGAGCCTTTTCCAGGTGTCCCGGCTCACCTGGGAGGACCCGGCGGGCCCTTGGAGGACCCGGCTCGTCTCTATGGTCGGGGAGCGCCGCGCGTCTCGATGGTTCCGCGCGGGGCGCCGCCGGATGTGACGTCAGCGCGCAGCGGCTGAGGCGGGAGCGGCGGTTGGAGCGGCCCGAGGGGACGGTGAGGGGGGGAGGGGGACCGGGAGGGGACAAAGGGGACAGGGAGGGGACAGAGGGGACCGGGAGGGGACGGGGAGGGCACCGGGAGGGGCGGGAAGGGCCGGGAAGGGAGGAAGGGGAGGGGCGAGATGGGCCCGAGGGGCGGGACGGGGCGGGCGAGTCTGTGAGGGGAGGGAGGGCCGGGGGTGGCCTCTCAGTGTTCCCCCGGTGTCCCCTTAGTGCCAACTCAGTGTCCCCTTAGTGTCCCCTCCGTGTCCCCTCATTGTCCCCTTAGTGCCACCTCAGTGTCCCCTCAGTGCCACCTCTGTCCCCTCAGTGTCCCCTCAGTGTCCCTCCATTGTCCCCTCATTGTCCTCTTAGTGCCACCTCAGTGTCCCCTCAGTGCCACCTCACTGTCCCCTCAGTGTTCCCTCATTGTCCCCTCATTGTCCCCTCACTGTCCCCTCAGTGCCACCTCAGTGTCCCCTTAGTGCCACCTCAGTGTCCCCCCCATTGTCCCCCCATTGTCCCCTCATTATCCCCTCAGTGTCCCCTCAGTGTCCCCCCAGTGTCTCCTCACTGTTCCCTCAGTGCCACCTCAGTGTCCCCTCATTGTCCCCTCACTGTCCCCTCAGTGCCACCTCAGTGTCCCCTCAGCATCCCCTGAGTATCCCCTGGGTGTCCCCTGAGCATCTCTGGTGTCCCCATGTCCCCTCAATGTCCCCTCAGTGTCCCCATGTCTCGGTGTCCCCTCCATGTCCCCTGAGTGTCCCCTCCGTGTCCCCTGACTGTCCCCAGGCGCCATGTCCTCGACGTCACAGAAGCACCGGGACTTCGTGGCGGAGCCGATGGGGGAGAAGCCCGTGGGGAGCCTGGCGGGGATCGGGGACGTGCTGGGCAGGAAACTGGAGGAGAAGGGCTTCGACAAGGTGGGCTGGCACCCTGGGGACATTGGGGACATTGGGGACAGCGAGGGACAGCAGGGGACACCTGGGGACATTGGGAACAGTTTGGGACACTGAGGGACACTGAGGGACACTGGAGACACCTGGGGACACCTGGGGACATCTGGGGACACTTTGGGACACTGAGGGACCTTGGAGACAGCAGGGAACGGGTTTGGACAAGTGGGGACACTGAGGAAGGGCTCGGGGACATTTGGGGACAGCCTTGGGGACAATCAGGGGTGATGTGGGGACAAGGGGAGGGGGCACAGGGGGGACACGGAGTGAGGGAGGTGTGGGGACAACAGCGACATGTCACTGTCACCAGCGGGGTGTGGGGACACAGGGAGGGTGACAGTGACCCTTGGCAGTGTCCCCACACCCCGGTGACACCGCTGTCCCCCCCATTATCCCCCCGGCAGGCGTACGTGGTGCTGGGGCAGTTCCTGGTGCTGCGCAAGGACGAGGAGCTGTTCCGGGAGTGGCTGAAGGAGACGTGCGGGGCCAACGCCAAACAGAGCCGCGACTGCTCGGGCTGCCTGCGCGAGTGGTGCGACGCCTTCCTCTGAGCCCCTCCCCAAAAACGGCACCCCGAAACCCTCCCTGCACCCTGAAACCCCCCCAGCCCCTCCCTGCACCCCCCAGCCCCTCCCTGCACCCCACAGCCCCTCCCTGCACCCCACATCCCATCCCTGCACCCCAAAATCCCCCAAACTCCGGCGAGTTCCGGCTGCCGGGCGCTCCTTGGAGGGGCTGGGGGCTCCCCAAAATCATCCTGGGGGACCCCCAAAGTTCCTCAAGGACCCCAACACCAGCTGTGGGGACCCCAAAACTCACCCAGGGACCCCAACACCAGCTGTGGGGACCCCAAAACCACCTCTGGGGATTCCAGAACCACCCCAGGGACCCCCAGACCATCTCTGTGGAGCTCAAAACCCACTCAGAGACCCCAAAACCATCTCTGGGGATCCCAAAATTCACCCAGAGACCCCAAAACCACCTCTGGGGATCCCAAAATTTGCCCAGAGATCCCAAAACCACCTCTGGGGATCCCAAAATCAGCTCTGGGGACCCCAAAACCACCCCAGGGACCCCAAAACCGCCTCTGGGGACCCCAAAACTTCCCCAATCTTCCCCGACCCCCTTCCCCCACACCTATGGGACCCCCAAGCCGGTGCTGCCACCCCCAAAACCCATCCCGGGCGGGGTCCCACGGTGCCCCCATCACCCCAAAATCACCTGGGGGGGGCTGAGGGGGTCCCCACCTCCCCCTCCCCCCCCCACCGGGTGGGATTTTGGGGTGTCGCCCCGGCAGGGAGGTTCGTGTTCATTTGGGGTGCCCCTCCCCCCGCCATTAGTGTTACTTTGGGGTGCCCCCACCCCACCCCACCCCCCTGCATGGGGGGGGGTCTGTGTTGTTTCGGGGGTGCCCCCCCGAGTTTGTTTCTAAACTGATTTTCTAAACAATAAAGGTTTTGCTGTGCTGCAGCTGCGCATGTCCTGGGAGCAGAATTTTGGGGTTTGGGGGCAGAATTTTGGGGTGTTGGGGGCAGAATTTTGGTGTTGAGGGGAGGACATGGGGGTTGGGGTCAGAATTTGGGGGTTGGGGTCAGAATTTGGGGGTTGGGGGCAGAATTTTGGGGTTGGGAGCCAAAATTTGGGGGGCCCGGAGAAGATCTGGGCCCGGGGTCCTCCAGAGCAGACGAGTTTGACCTCCGAGCGGCCAGAGCGGAGTCCTCCAGAGCAGACGAGTCGCCGCTCGCAGAGCAGCGAGCGCGGCCGGAGCGGCCCCGCGGGGCGGTCACTTCCGGGTGGCGGCGGCAGTGGCGGGAGGGTTCGAACATGGCCGCGGCCGCCGCCGCCGCCATCTCCTCCGCCTCCTCCGCCTCCGCCGCCTCCGCCGCCTCCTCCCGGCGCCGCCGCCGCCCCCGCGGCCACCCCAACCCGCTGTTCGCCCGCTGGCTCCGGGAGTGGCGGGACGAGGCGCAGGGCACCTGGGCGAGGGGCACCTATGAAAGGGTGGGTGTGTGTGGGGGGGGCCGGTTGGATTTTGGGGTCCCCAGGTGTGTTTTGGGGTCCCCAGGTGTGTTTTGGGGTCCCCAGGTGTGTTTTGGGTTGCCCAGGGAGCCGATTTTGGGGTTCCCGGGTGGGGGTTTAGGGGTCTCCAGGTGAGTTTTGGTGGCTCTGGGTGGCTCTGGGGTCTCTGGGTAGGGGATTTTGGGGTGCCCAGGTGTGTTTAGGGGTCCTCGGATGGATTTTGGGGTCCCCAGGTGTGTTTTGGGGTCCCCACGTGGGTGATTTTTGGGTCCCCAGGTGTATTTTAGGCTCCCCAGGTGTACCCCAGGTGTATTTTGGGTACCCCCAAGTGTGTTTCAGGTGTACCCAGGTGTATTTTGGGTACCCTCAGGTGTATTTTGGGTTCCCCAGGTGTATCCCAGGTGTATTTTGGGTTCCCCAGGTGTACCCACGTGTGTTTTAGGCTCCCCAGGTGTACCCAGGTGTGTTTAGGGTTCCCCAGGTGTACCCAGGTGTGTCTCAGGTGTATTTTGGGTTCCCCAGGTGTACCCAGGTGTATCCCAGGTGTATCTGAGGCCCCCCAGGTGTGTCTCAGGTGTATTTTGGGTTCCCCAGGTGTGTCTCAGGTGTGTGTCAGGTGTACCCAGGTGTACCCAGGTGCGTTTCCCCCCAGGCCCTGCGCTCGCTCTCCCGGTTCCCGCTCCCGCTCCCTTCCGGCCGCGCCGCCGCCATCTTGCAGCACTTTGGCCCCGCCCTCTGCGCCCGCCTCGACCAACGGCTGCGCCAGCACCGCCGCGGTGGGCGGGGCCTGGATGGGTGGGGCCGGTGGGTGGGTGGGGCCTAAATGGGTGGGGCCGGTGGGTGGGTGTGGCCTAAATGGGTGGGACAGTGGGTGGGCGTGGACTATGAGGGTGTGGCATTGATAGAGGGGGTGGGGTTTCGGTGGTGGGTGTGGCCTGATTGATCTGTTTTGCATACTATTTTGCATCTCATTTGCATGCCGCAGAGCAGGGCCTCCCCGCCACGCCCCCTCGGCAGGAGCGGCCCCCAGCCCCGCCCCCAGCCCCGCCCACAGTGAGTCCTTCCCTCACCCCTCCCCCACCCCACCCCCCCACCGAGGGGGGGAGGGGCAGCAGAGGCCACGCCCCCAATCTCTGCCCCTCCCCCCATCTCCAGCGCCGCCCTCGCCCTCCAGTGCCCCCCGGGCAGGTGCCCCCGCAGCGCCCTCTGGCGGAGCAGGACGAGAACTGCGCCCCCTCCCCCCCCTTGTGAGCGCTGGGGGGTTGGGGACACTTTGGGGGGGTTGGGGATACTTTGGGGACACTTTGGGGGCGTTGGGGACACTTTGGGGACACTTTGGGGGGGTTGGGGACACTTTGGGGGAGTTTGGGGACACTTTGTGGGGTTTGGAGACACTTGGGGACACTTTGTGGGGTTTGGAGACACTTGGGGACACTTTGGGGACATTTGGGGGGGTTTGGGGACACTTTGGGGGAGTTTGGGGACACTTTGGGGGATTTGGGAACACTTTAGGGGTTTGGGGACACTTTGGGGACATTTCGGGACATTTTGGGGGATTTGGGGACATATTGAGGGGGTCGGGAACATTTAGGGGATTTGAGGACACTTTGGGGGTTTGAGGACACTTTGGAGGAGTTTGGGGACACTTTGGGGACATTTTGGGGAGGTTGGGGACACTTTGGGGTGTTTGGGACACTTGGGGACACTTTGTGGGGGGTCTCAGCCCTCGGGGACACCGGAGGTGACTTTGGGGTCCCCCAGGGGTGACCCCGAGCAGGAGTTGGAGCTGAGGCCCGGCCAGTTCGACATCGTCCTGTGTGCCGACGTCACCGAGGCCAACGGGTGCCCGTCCCTGTCCCCCCTGTCCCCTCGTGTCCCCACCCCTGGGACGTGTCCCCAGTGTCCCCATGTCCCCATAACATGTCCCCAACATCCCCAATGTCCCCGGTGTCCCCAATGTCCCCCAACGTTCCCACACCCGTGACTTGTTCCCCAATGTCCCCAATGTTCCCCCATGACCCCATGACGTGTCCCCGTGACCCTATAACATGTCCCCAATGTCCCTGTTTCCCCAATGTCCCCATACCAGTGATGTGTCCCCACTGTCCCCGCTGTCCCCACCCCGGTGACGTGTCCCCGTGTCCCCACCCCGGTGACACCCCGCACTGTCCCCAGCCCATCCGGGGGTCTCCCGGCCCTGCTGCGCTCTCGGGGGGTCCCGGTGCTGCTGCGGCGCCTCCCGGTGGGCGACTTCCTGTGGGTGGCGCGCGAGAAGGACCCGCCCACAGGTGGGTGGGGCCTGTGTGACCACACCCCAATGGCTGGGTGTGGCCGATGGGGCGTGGCCTGAATGGGTGGGGCACTTTAGTGGGTGTGGTCATCACTAATGGGTGTTGGTCATGCGGTGACCCCGCCCTCTGGGTGGGTGGAGCCATGTGCTGACCACGCCCTCAGATTGGGTGTGGTCAGAGGGGCGTGGCCAACTCCAGACTCCGCCCATTAATGTGGGTGGGTGTGGCACTGTGGGTGGGACCAATGTGGGTGTGATCAGAGTGGGCGTGACCCCGCTGGCCACGCCCCCAGGCCACGCCCCGCGGGAGTTGGCGCTGGAGGTGGTGGTGGAGCGGAAATCGGCGGCGGATTTGGGGAACAGCATCCGGGACGGGCGGTACCGCGAGCAGAAGGTGGGGCCGGGCACGGGGGGCACTGGGACGGACTGGGAGCGGGTCTGGGGGCACTGGGAGGGACTGGGAGGGGCTTGGGGGGCACTGGGAATGAATGGGGTAAACTGGGAGGGACTGGGGGGTAACTGGGACAGACTGGGGTGCACTGGGAGGGACTGGGGGGTAACTGGGATGGACTGGGGGGCACTGGGAAGGACTGGGGGATAACTGGGAAGGACTGGGGGAACTGGGAGGTAACTGGAGGTAACTGGGATGGACTGGGATGGACTGGGGGTAACTGGGATGAACTGGGAGCTAACTGGGCCACACTGGGAGGTAACTGGGATGAACTGGGATGAACTGGGCGCTAACTGGGATGAACTGGGAGGTAGCTGGGATGAACTGGGCGCTAACTGGGATGAACTGGGATGAACTGGGCCGCACTGGTGTGCCGCAGTTCCGGCTGTGCCGCTCGGGGCTGCGCTGTCCCGTTCTCCTCCTGGAGGAGCCGCGGGAGGGGGAGGCGCTGCCCCTCCCCCTGCCCACCCTGCGCCAGGCGGCCGCCAACAGCCAGGTACCCCCAGACCCCTCCCCAAATTCCAGAGAGACCCCTCCCCTAAATCCAGGTACCCCCTGAGACCCCTCCCCAAATTCCACCGAGACCCCTCCCCTAAATCCAGGTACCCCCCAAGACCCCTCCCCAAATTCCAGAGAGACCCCTCCCCTAAATCCAGGTACCCCCTGAGACCCTTCCCCAAATTCCACCGAGACCCCTCCCCAAATTCCACACAGACCCTTCCCCTAAATCCACAGAGACCCCTGAGACCCCTCCCCTAAATCCACCAAGAACCCTCCCCAAAATCCGGGTCTTGGGGCGGGGGGGGATTTTGGGGGTCCTGAGGGTGTTTTTGGGGGAGGTCCCGGTGGGATTTGGGGGTCCTGGGGGGGAGTTGGGGGGTCCCGGGGGTGTTTTGGAAGGGATTTGTGGGTCCCCGGTAGATTTGGGGGTCCCAGGGAGGATTTTGAGGGTCCCAGGGGTGTTTTGGGGGGGATTTGGGGGTCCCGAGGTTGTTTTGGGGGTCCCGGGGGTATTTCGGGGCTTCCGGGGGTATTTTGAGGGTCCCAGGGGTGTTTGGGGGGGGATTTGGGGGTCCCGGGTGTGTTTTTGGGGGTCCCGGGTGTGTTTTTGGGGGGCTCCCGGGGGTCGCGGGCACTCAGACCCCTCCCCAGGTGGTGGACGGACTCTTCGTGGTGCGCACCAGAGACCCCCAAGACTCGGCCGCGTATTTGGGGGCGTTGGGGGAGCAGCTGAGGAGGAGATTTGGGGTGAGGGGGGTCGGGGGGGGGTTTGTGGGGGGAGGGGGCTGGGGGGGCTGTGGGGGGAGGGGCAGGGGGGAGGTAAAGGGGGGAATTTTGGGGGGGTCACGGGAAGGATTTGGGGGGGGTCACGGGAAGGATTTGGGGGGACATTTGGGGGTGGGGGGGGGTTGGGGACATCAAAGTGACACTGAGGGGTCCCTGACCCATCCCCCCCCCCCCCCAGGGCCGCGTGCTGAGGGCATGGGGGGGGTCCGTGACCGGCCGGGGACCCCCCGAGCCCCCCGGGACCCCCCTGACCCTGCTGCCCTTCCCCAGGCTGCGAGAGGGGGGGGGCAAGAACCAGGTTTGGGGGGGGAGGGAAATGGGGTGGGGAGGGGGAAAAATGGGGTGGGGGAGGGGGAAAATGCGGAGGGGGAGGGGAAAATGGGGAGGGGGAGGGGGAAATGGGGTGGGGAGGGGGAAAAATGGGGAGGGGGAGGGAAAAATTGGGTGGGGGAGGGGGAAATGGGGAAATGGGGAGACCCAGACCCAGCCTGGGGAGGGTCTGTGTCCTTTTTGGGGGGATTTTGGGGTCGGGGGGTGTTTTGGGGTCCCCTCACCCCGATTTTTGTCGCCCCCAGACCCAAACCGTGGGGGCCGTGTTCGCCCGGCAGCTGCTGCAGCTCGGGGGGCTCAGTGGGGGCAGGGCCGGGGTCGTCCTGAGCCGCTTCCCCACCCCCGCCAGGTCTGGGGGGGTCCCCCATGAGGGATCTGGGGGTCCCCAAAAGGGGGAGGGGAAGGGGAGGGTCCCGAAGTTGGGGGATGGGGGCCGGTCGCAGTTTGGGGGTTTTTTGGGGGGGGGTTGGGGTGGGGGTCAGTTCTCGGGGGGTGTTTTTGGGGTTTTTGGGGTGGGGGTCGGGTCTTGGGGGGTTTTTGGGGTGGGGGTCGGGTCTCAGGGGGTTTTTTGGGTGGGTTTTTGGGGTGGGGGTCCCCTGAGTTCTGTCCCCTCCCCCACAGCCTCATGGCCGCCCTGGGTCCCCCCCAGGACCCCCAAAAATGCCGGGAGGTGCTGAGTGGGCTGCGCTGCGGCCCCGCCCAGAGGTGAGACCCCCCCCAAATCCGGGGGACCCCCAATTCCCAGGACCCCCCCCCCCAATTCCTGTGTCCCCAAACTCCTGTCGTCCCCTCCCCCCTCCCCGATTTTGGGTCCCCCCCGGATTTTGGGGGGGCTCACCCCTCTTTTCCCCCCCCACAGGAATTTGGGTCCCTCCCTCAGTGGGGCCCTCGTGAAGCTCTACGGGACCCCGGGGCCACTGTCCTGAGGGGCACCCCATTGTCACCTCATTGTCACCCATTGTCACCCCATTGTCACCTCCTGTCACCCCATTGTCACCTCCTGTCACCCATTGTCACCCCATTGTCACCTCCTGTCACCCCATTGTCACCTCCTGTCACCCCATTGTCACCTCATTGTCACCTCCTGTCACCCCATTGTCACCCCATTGTCACCTCCTGTCACCTCCTGTCACCCCATTGTCACCCCCCAATAAAGCCCCTCCCCCACCACTGGAGTTTTGTTTTGGAGGAAGACGGGAGGGGGAGGGGACAGGGGGTGACACCGGTGACAGTGACAGAGGTGACAGTGACAGCGTGAGGGTGACATGGGGTGGCACCAGTGACAGGACTGGGGTCAGCTTGGGGTCACCAGCTCCCCAAAATGGGGGGCGGGGTCTGTCCTGAGCCCTGCGGTCACTTGGGACCCCCAAAGGGTCCCCAAAAAGGGGGCGGGGTCACCCTGGGGTCATTTTGGGGGGGTTGTCCTGGGACCCCAAAGAAATGGGGGGAGGGTCCCCAAAAAGGGGGCGGGGTCACCCAAAACCTCCCAGGTGGGGGAGGGGCCGCCCTTGGCCGGGTTTGGGATTTTGGGGGCCGGGTTTGGGATTTTGGGGGCCGGGTTTGGGATTTGGGGGGTGGGGCCGAGTTTGGGAGGGGTGGGGGCCACCATTGGGATTTTTTGGGGGGGTGGGGCCGGGATTGGGATTTGGGATTTGGGATTTGGGATTTGCGGGGAGGGTGGGGACGGATTTGAGGTTTGGGGGGGGGTGGGGATGGGGCCGCGTTTGGGGTTTGGGATTTGGGGGCGCGGGGGCGGCGGGGCCGCCCTTGGCCGGGTTTGGGTAATTTGGGATTTGGGATTTGGGATTTGGGGGGGCGGGTCTGGCCGGGAGGAGGAGGAGGAGGAGGAGGAGGAGGAGGAGGAGGAGGAGGAGGTGACAGCGATGCTGGTGGCGCTGGTGGCGCTGGTGGCGGTGGCGGCGGGGGGGGACACGGGGGTCCCGCCGACCCCCCCCCCGTGCCCGTTGGGGTTCGGGCCGGTGGCCGCGGGCGGCTGCGGGGACAGGGACGAATGTCGCACGGCCGCCGTGTGCCACCACATGTGCCTCAACCACCACGGCGGCTTCGCGTGTCACTGTCACCGCGGCTTCGTCCTGCAGCCCGACGGTGTCACCTGCCGCCGCCGCCGCCACCGGGGGCACCCCGGAACCCCCCCCCAGCGCCCCGGGGGACAGCGGGGACACCCCGGGACCCCCCCCCAGCGCCCCGGGACCCCTCCCCAGCGCCCCGGGACCCCTCCCCAGGCGGCACACCCGGAGCTGCCCGGGGGGACCGGGCGCGGTTGGAGCTCCCGGTGGGACCGGCGGCCGGACGGGACCGGCGGAGGTGAAGCCTCGGCCCGGGATTCGGTACCGGAGCGGCACCGGAGCGGCTCGCGGGAGGATTTGGACCGGGATCCCCGCCCGGATTCGGATCCAGGCTCGGTTTGGGATCCTCAGAGGAATTTGGGTCCGGGAAGGCACCGGGAGCAGCGGCCAGGGCGGCACCGGGATTGGGACCGGGATTCGGACCGGGATTGGGACCGGGATCGCCGCCGGGATGTGAACCGGGACTGGGACCGGGATCTGAACCGGGATTCGGACCGGGATTGGGACCGGGATCCCCGCCAGGATGTGAACCGGGACTGGGACCGGGATCTGAACTGGGATTCGGACCGGGATTGGGACCGGGATTCGGACCGGGATCCCCACCAGGATCTGAACCGGGACTGGGACCGGGATTCGGACCGGGATTTGAACCGGGACTGGGACCGGGATTCGGACCGGGATTTGAACCGGGATTTGAACCGGGACTGGGACCGGGATTCGGACCGGGATTCCCAGGAGGATTCGCCCCCGGGATGGCACCGGGGCTTGCACCGGGATGTGCCTGAGGATTCCCACCGGGACGTGCCCCCGGAGCGGCCCCGGGGCTCGCCCGGGGATTGGAACCGGGATCCCCACCGGGATTCCCATCAGGATTTCCGTGAGGACTCCCAGCCCGCCGGGCAGCGGGGTTGGCACCGGGATTTGCACCGGGATTCGCACCGGGACCGGGATCCGGGCTCGGCCCGGCCCCGGGAGCCGCACGGGGATTCCCGGGAGGGTTTGCACCGGGATTGGAACGGGAATTCGCACCGGGACTCGCACAGGGAGCGGGGGCTGGGACCGCCCCGGCTCCGGGGGTGGCACCGGGGGTGGCACCGGGACTCCCCCGAGGGGTCCCACCGGGATTTTCACCGGGATTTTCCCCCTTCCCCCGCGCCCCCCTATAGGAACGAGGACCCCGATCCTTATGGGGACCCCTATGGGGACCCCGACACCTACGGGGACCCCTATGGGGGTCCAGCCCCCCCCTATAGGGCCGAGGACCCCGGGGAGGGGCCGTGGGACCCCGAAACGGAGCCCTGGGACCCCGACATTTATGGGGACCCCTACGGGGACCCCTACGAGGATGAGGACCCCGAAGAGGAGCCCTGGGACCCCTCCCCACCCCCCTCGGACCCCTACAGGGACCCCGAGCCCGGGAGCCTCCGGAGGGGCCGGGACCCCCAAACCCGGCCCTGGGACCCCTATGGGGACCCCCAAACACGGCCCTGGGACCCCCAGAGTGATCCCGGGGACCCCCAAACCCGGCCCTGGGACCCCTATGGGGACCCCTATGGGGATGGCGACCCCCAGAGTGATCCCGGGGACCCCCTAACCCGGCCCTGGGACCCCTATGGGGATGGCGACCCCCAGAGTGAGCCCGGGGACCCCCAAACCCGGCCCTGGGACCCCTATGGGGACCCCTACAGTGATGAGGACCCCCAAGATGACCCCATAGGAGACCCCCATAGGGCCCCCGACCCCAAGGCCGAACTCTGGGACCCCCCGAGGGACCCCCATGGACTCAGCCCCTCCCCCAGCCCCCATGGGAACCCCCAAACCTCCTCCTTCACCCCCCTGGCTTCCCCCCCAGTTGCCCCTCCGGAATCCCAGTTGCCCCCAGTTACCCCAGTAACTGCCCCCTCCAACCCCAGAGCCCCCCAGTTTGTCCCAGTTACCCTCCCAGTTACCCCTCCCAGAACCCAGGACCTCCCAGTTGCCCCCCAGTTTGTCCCAGTTACCCCTCCCAGAACCCAGGACCTCCCAGTTGCCCCCCAAGTTGTCCCAGTTACCCCCCCCAAAGCCAAGGACACCCCAGTTTCCCTCCCAGTTCTCCCAGTTACTCCCCCAGTTACCCTCCCCAGAGTCAAGGACCCCCCAACAACCCCCCCAACTGCCCCCCCTAAATCCCTGTTACCCCCAGTTACCTCCCCTAAATCCCAGTTACCCCCAGTTACCCCTCCAGTTACCCCCCCACAGGCCAAGGACCCCCCAGTTATCCCAGTTACCCCCCCAGCTCCCCCCCCCAGAGTCGGGGACCCCCCAGTTGCCCCAGTGACCCCCCCAGTGACCCCCCCAGTAGCCCCCCCAGTTGCCCCAGTTGCCCCCAGGGCCCCTCCCAGTACCGGGTCGCTGCGGGTCGGGCTGGGCTTGGCGCTGCCGGTGGCACTGGGAGGGGCACTGGTGATACTGGGAGCACTGGGAGGACTGGGAAGACCCCCCCGACCGACCCCCCCGAGCCCCCAGGGCTGAGGGTGCTGCGGTGGGGGGGCAAACTGGGAGGGACCCCCCAAACTGGGAAAGGAACCCCCAAACTGGGATTTTTAACCCCAAACTGGGAATTTTAACCCCAAACTGGGATCGTTCACCCCAAACTGGGAATTTTAACCCCAAACTGGGAATTTTAACCCCAAACTGGGACTGCCCCCCCTCCCCCAGTCCCGCCCTGCCCCCCGGGTGGGGGAGGGGCCGGGGGGGGGCTGAGGGCAATAAAGGGTCGGTGCTGCCCCTCCCCCACCCCGCGCTGAGTCCCGTTGTTTTTTTGGGGGGGGAGAGGGGCGGGCAGGGCCGGCTCCCCTCCCCCTCCCCCTGCCCGTGCCCCTCCCCCTCCCGCTCCAGCTGTTGAGCGGATCCAGCTGTGGGTGGGGGAGGGCGCGGCCCCTGAGTCACCCTCGGGGTCCCCCGGGGGGGGGAGGGGCGGGGAACGCCCGGGAATGGGGGTGCCCCGGGGGGGGGAGGGGCGTGACGTCATCGCTAAGAGGGGGAGGGGGCTACTGGGAGCGTCCCAGTTCGGACCAGGAGAGCCCGGGCGGGACCAGTTCGGACCAGTGTCCCCATCCCAGTTCCCACCAGTTCCCCCGTCCCAGTGCCACCAGTACAAAATGGGCGGGACCAGTTCGGACCAGTGTCCCCGTCCCAGTTCCCACCAGTGTCCCCATCCCAGTCCCACCACTGGTGGGGGCGGAGCGAATGCAAATCGCAGCGCGCATTCACCAATCAGGTCGCGCGCAGGGGCGGGGCGTCCGCGCGGGCGGAGAGGAGGGCGGAGCGATGCAAATTAGTCACGGCCCGCCGCCGAGTGCACCATGGGAGCGAAATTTGGGGAGATTTTCGGGATTTTTGGGTTCGGTGTGTGCAAAGCGCGGGCGGGAGGTGCGGGATGGGGCGGGGAAGGCGGCCGGGAGCGGAGCGGGGCGGGCGGGGGGCGGCGCGGGGTGGCCGTGAGGTGCCGGCGGGCCGGGCGGGGCCGGTGCGGGGCCGGGCCGGGGTCCGGTATCGCTTCTCGGCCTTTTGGCTAAGATCAAGTGTAGTATCTGTTCTTATCAGTTTAATATCTGATACGTCCTCGATGAGAGGACTTCATATTAAACGGATTTTTGGGCTCGGGAGTTGGACCCGGAGCTTGCTCCCTCCGCTCCGCGCATCGTCCCGGTATTGCAGTGCCTCCGGGAACGGTGCACCCCAACGGGGACCTGAAATGGTGAAAAACAGATGGAAAATGGGTCAGATCGCGGTTATATCGCGATAGCGGCCACAGCGTCCCGGTATTGCAGCGCCTCCGGGAACGGTGCACCCCTCCGGGGATCAAACACAGTGAAAACCCGATCCGAAATAGCTGAGCGTGGGTTATATCGCGATTATATCGTGATTGTCCCTTTCTGTCACCCCCCAACCGACCGGGACATCCCGGGGGAACCGAGGGGGTGGCGCTCCACAAACCCCGGGACCCCCGCGTGTTTTGGGGGTGGGGGGAAGTTGGGGGATCCCCCGCCAGACCCATTGGGGACACCGGGGGTGTCACCCCCTGTCACCCTCCCGGCGAGCCCGGGGACACCCCCGGCCCTGGGGGGGATTTGGGGTCCCCCCTGCCCTGGGGGGAATTTGGGGTCCCCTCTGCCCTGGGGAGGATTTGGGGTCCCACCTGATCTCGAAGGGGTCCAAACCCCCCCCCACACACACCCGGGAGAGGTTTTGGGGCGCTCGGAGCCGTTTGGGGGTTCGGGGTTCGAGATTTGGGCTCAGGAGGGGCCGATTTGGGGTTTTTGGGGTCCCGCTCCCCCCCCACCCCCGAGCGCCTCGGCGGGGAGGTGGAACCCCAATGGGGACAGCGGCGGGGGCGGGGCGAATGCAAATGAGCGACCACAAATTACCATAATAACGAGGAGAGGCGGGGCTATGCTAATCAACCGCCGGCAGCAAACGAGGTGGGGCGAATGCAAATAAAGCGGCGCGTTCGGCCAATCACGATCCGAGGCGGGGAAAAAGCGATGGGCGGGGCTATGAAGCAACACCCCGTGTCTATTTGCATAAAAGGGCGTGGCTATGTACATTAATTGAGGTACCACGCGCGCAGTGCGTGCTGGGAGGATTTTTTGGGGAGATTTTCGGGATTTTAGGGGTCGCAGCGTGCGGGACGCGGGCGGGAGGTGCGGGATGGGGCGGGGAAGGCGGCCGGGAGCGGAGCGGGGCGGGCGGGGGGCGGCGCGGGGGTGTCCGTGAGGTGCCGGCGGGCCGGGCGGGGCCGGTGCGGGGCCGGGCCGGGGTCCGGTATCGCTTCTCGGCCTTTTGGCTAAGATCAAGTGTAGTATCTGTTCTTATCAGTTTAATATCTGATACGTCCTCGATGAGAGGACTTCATATTAAACGGATTTTTGGGCTCGGGAGTTGGACCCGGAGCTTGCTCCCTCCGCTCCGCGCATCGTCCCGGTATTGCAGTGCCTCCGGGAACGGTGCACCCCCCCGGGGACCTGAAACGGTGAAAAACAGATGGAAAATGGGTCAGATCGCGGTTATATCGCGATAGCCGCCACAGCGACCCGGTATTGCAGTGCCTCCGGGAACGGTGCACCCCTCCGGGGACCTTATACGGTAAAAAATAGATCAGAAATATCCAAAATACCTCTTCAATGCAAGTACGAACTCTCTGTAAAACTCCCATTCCTGTCTTATGTCCCTCAAAGCTCTTTGTCAGTTTGTGTATTCTTCATTATGAGCCCATCTTTGTCAGTTTGTGTATTCTTCATTATGAACCCATTTAATCTGTTTTTCACCGTTCATGAGTCCCCACTGGGGCTGCACCGTTCCCAGAGGCGCTGCACTACCGATGTGGCTCCTATTGAAAGGTCAATTTTAAGGAATTTTGAGATTTTAGAGGAGCTAAGATCGTAGTTAGAGATAAGCCTTACTTGAGTTAATTAAAATAAATGAGTAGGCCTTGATGGAGTTAGGAGTTAGCTAATAATTGATTGCTCGTCAGCACAAGGTTTGATTAGCTGGGTTTATAATGAAGAATACACAAACTGACAAAGAGCTTTGAGGGACATGAGACAATTTTGGGACTCCTCTGTTCTGAAACGAGCTGAAAACAAGGAATGAGAGTTCTACTGAGAGTTCATTTGTCATGTCTGCATTTTAAAGGTATTCGGATATTTCTGATCTGTTTTTTACTGTATTAGATCCCCGGAGGGGTGCACCGTTCCCGGAGGCACTGCAATACCGGGACGCTGTGGCGGCTATCGCGATATAACCGCGATCTGACCCATTTTCCATCTGTTTTTCACCATTTCAGGTCCCCGGAGGGGTGCACCGTTCCCGTGGGCACTGCAATACCGGGTCGCTGTGGCCGCTATCGCGATATAACCGCGATCTGACCCATTTTCCATCTGTTTTTCACCATTTCAGGTCCCCGGAGGGGTGCACCGTTCCCGGAGGCACTGCAATACCGGGACGATGCGCGGAGCGGAGGGAGCAAGCTCCGGGTCCAACTCCCGAGCCCAAAAATCCGTTTAATATGAAGTCCTCTCATCGAGGACGTATCAGATATTAAACTGATAAGAACAGATACTACACTTGATCTTAGCCAAAAGGCCGAGAAGCGATACCGGACCCCGGCCCGGCCCCGCACCGGCCCCGCCCGGCCCGCCGGGACCTCACGGACAGCCCCGCGCCGCCCCCGGCCCGCCCCGCTCCGCTCCCGGCCGCCTTCCCCGCCTCATCCCGCGCTTTTCTTCCGTGCCTCCCACACACTGAACCTAAAAATCCTGAAAATCTCCCCAAATTTCGGTCCCATGATGCACGCGGCGCACCCCGGTTCATTTACATGCACCGCCGGTTATCTGCATAACCCCGCCCCCGCTCCGCCTCTCTCCAGCCCTTCTAGTTTTCCTTTTTTTTCCTTCTCATCCCGCGCTTTTCTCTCGCTCCGATCCCAGAAATGCGGGATGGCCCAGGCAGCTGAGGGGGAGAAATATTCCCTGTGAGGGGTAAAGGAGGGGAAAATGGAGCCCGTGAGGGTGAGAAATGGGAAATATAAAGTCCGCGACAGGGGAAAAGAGAGCCCGTGAGGAGGATGAGGGTGAAATGGTGACAATAATTAAACGGATCATCATCAAATGATGTCTGTGAGGGGGATGAGGGTGGAAATGGCGCCTGTGAGGGGTCTGAGGGACAGCTGAGGGGAGAATGGAGGCCGTGAGGGAACAAATGGTGTCCCTGAGGGTGATGAGGGGGAAAATGGAACCTGTGAGGGGGATCGGGGAAATACGAAACCTGTGAGGGTGAAATGATGTCTGTGAGGGGGATGAGGGAGGAAATGGCGCCTGTGAGGGGTTTGAGGGGCACCTGAGGGGGAAATGGAACCCATAAGGGGGATGAGGGTGGAAATGGCGCCTGTGAGGGGTCTGAGGGGCAGCTGAGGGGGAAATGGAACATGTGAGAGTGGGGAATTAAATAACTAAAGAGATTATAATCAAATGATATCCATGAAGGGGATAAGGTTGGAAATGGTGCTTGTGAAGGGTTTGAGGGGCACCTGAGGGGGAAATGGGGGAAATGGTGCTTAGCTGGGCACACCTGGGCACAGCTGGGCACAGCTGGGTACACCCGGGCACACCTGGGCACACCTGGGTACACCTGGGCACACCTGGACACAGCTGGGCACACCTGGGCACAGCTGGGTACACCTGGGCACAGCTGGGCACAGCTGGGCACAGCTGGGTACACCTGGGCACACCTGGGTACACCTGGGCACACCTGGGCACACCTGGACACAGCTGGGCACACCTGGGCACAGCTGGGCACAGCTGGGCACACCTGGGCACACCTGGGCTCAGATCCAGGCGCTGTCACCGGGTCCCTGTGGCACTGAGCGGGCTCAAGAGCCGAAGGGGTCCCTGAGGGGGGCAGAATTTGGGGGGGGGGGGGTTTCCATGGAGACCTCCACCACCGGAGGGCGCCCCCACAAAACATGGGGGGGGTCCCTACAGATTATATTGGCCCTGAGGGGATCCCCGCGCTCCCTCTGGGAGGGCGGACACAGCTCCAGACCCCCAGAACCGCGGAGGGAGAAGGTTTGTGCCGCCCTGAGGGGATCTTTAGCCGCATGTACGCGCTCTATGGTCCCGCCGGGGAGGACTGAGCGCTGCGCTCCGCCCGGCCGCTCTGGCCGCCTTGGAGGTCTAAACTTCAGCGCTCTCCCGGCCGCTCTGGCCGCCTTGGAGGACCGAACTCTATGATCCTAAAGCCCGGCGGTGCTCGGGCGTCTCTATGACCCGCCGGGGTAGAGCGGCCACTTCCGGCCCCGCCTGAGGGGGGGGGAGCCGAGCGCCAAGATGGCGCAGGCCCTGTCGGCCGAGGAGTTCCAAAGGATGCAGGTGCGGCCGGGGGGCTCGGGGAGGAGCTGGGGGGGCTCCCGACGGTCTGAGGGGCCTGAGAGGGGTCGTGGGAAAATTATGACGGGGTCTTAAAGGGTCCTCAGGGGGGTTTTGGGGGGATTCGGGGGTGCCCCGGGGGGCTGGGGGAGGTTGTGAGGGGTCCTGAGGGGCTCTGAGGGTGGTCGGGGGGGGTTCTGGGGGACTCTGGGGGTGGTTGGGGGGTCCTGGGGGACTCTGGGGGGTGGTTGGGGGGTCCTGGGGGGCTCTGGGGGGTGGTTGGGGGGTCCTGGGGGACTCTGGGGGTGGTCGGGGGTGATTGGGGGGGTCCTGGGGTGCTCTGGGGGGTGGTTGGGGGGTCCTGGGGGGCTCTGGGAGAGCTGAGGGGGTCCTGGGGTCAGTTTTGGGGGTCCCTGGGTGTGTCAGGCTCGGGGGTCTCGGGGGGTTCTGGGGGGATTTAGGGAAGATCTGGAGGGTCTTGGGGGTCTCGGAGGAAGCAAAGTTATTTTGGGGGGGTCTCGGGGGTCTCTTTGCCCTCCCAAACCCCCCCCCCGGTGCCCCCCAGGCGCAGCTGCTGGAGCTGCGCACCGAGAATTACCGACTGTCGGATGAGCTGCGCAAGAACGGCGCCGGTACGGCGGGGAGGGGGGAAATTTGGCGTTTTTTGGGGGATTTTGCTTTTGGGGGGTCCCGCAGCCCCCCCCTCACGGCTGTGACCCCCCCCCAGAGCTGTCGGGGCTGCGGCAGCGGGTGCAGACGCTGGACAGGGACCTGGCCAAGGCCAACAAGGTGAGGCTGGACCCCCCCAAAAAAACCCAAATTCTCCTCGTGATTCCCCCAAAAAAACCCTCAAATTCTGGACCGCCCAAAAAAACCCCAAATTCCCCTTGCGACCCCCCCCAAAAACCCCCAAATTCTCCTTATGACCCATAAAAAGCCACTCAAATTCTTGACCCCCCCCCAAAAAACCCCCAAATTCTCCTTATGACCCATAAAAAGCCACTCAAATTCTTGACCCCCCCCAAAAAACCCCAAATTATCCTCATGACCCCCCAAAAAAGCCCCAGATTTTCCTCGTGACCCCCCCCAAAAAACCCCTCAGATTCTCGACCCCCCTAAAAACGCCCCCAAATTCTCCTCATGACCCCCCCAAAACCCCCCAAGTTTTCTTGTGTGCCCCCCTAGGACACTCCTGTGACCCCCCCCCATGATTCTCCCCCATTTTACCCTCCCGAAAAACCCCAAATTTCTCTCATGACCCCCCAGGACCCCCCAAAATCCCTCTGAGATTCCCCCCATGATCCCCCAGTCCCCACCTGAGACCCCCAAAATCTCCCTAGGCCACCCCCAGGACCCCCAAATTCCCTCCACGACCCCCCCAGAACCCTCCTGTGACTCCCCCTAACCCCTCCTCCCCTCCTGGGACCCCCAAATTCCCCCCTGGCACCCCCCATGAGCCCCCCAAAACCCCCTGTGACCCCTCCCCTTCTTTTCCAGGCTCTCAGCAAGAGCAAGAAGGCCCAGGTGGGTCCCGGGGGGATTTTGGGGGATCTTAGGGATGTTTTGGAATCTCTGGGTTCATTTTGGGGTGTCTGGGGGGATTCAGGGGGATTTTGGGGGTGTCTGAGGCCATTTTTGGGATGTCTGACCCCAATTTGGGGTGTCTGGCCCCATTTTTGGGGTGTGCAACCCCCTTTTTGTGTGTCCGATCCCATTTTTGGGGTGTGTGAGTCTGTTTTTGGGGAGTGTGACCCCATTTTTGGGGTGTGTGACCCCATTTTTGAGGTGCCTGATCCCATTTTTGGGGTCCCCAGGAGGTGGAGGCCCTGCTGGGGCAGACCTGGGTGCAGCAGGGGGGCTCCTGAGGGTGTTTTGAGATATTTTGGGGGTTTCTGAGGATTTCTGGGTGGGTTCAAGGCATTTTTTAGTGTTTCTGACCCTGTTTTTGGGGTGTCTGAGCCCATTTTTGGGGTCCCCAGGAGGTGGAGGCGCTGCTGGGGGAGACCAGGATGCTGCAGGGGAAGCTGCAGAGCCAAGAGGACGATTTCCGTCTGCAGAACAGCACCCTGCTGAGGGAGCTGGCCAAGGTGGGCCCAAAACCCCCCAAAATCCCCTTAAAATTCCCCAAAACACCCCCTAAAATTCCCCCAAACTTCCTACAAAATCCCTTCCAAAAATCCCCCCCAAAATCCCCCCAAAAATCCCCCCTGATGCCCCCAGCACCCTGCTAAGGGAGCTGGCCAAGGTGGGCCACAAAACCCCCAAAATTCCCCCCCAAATCCCCCCAAAAATCCCCCCAAAATCCCCTCCAAAATACCCCCAAAATACCCCCCCAAATTCCCCCAAAATCCCCTCCAACATCCTCCCAAAACCCCGAAAAATCCCCCCAAAATCCCTCCCAAAATCTCCTCCAAATCCATCCCAAAATCTCCAAAATCCCTCCCAAAATCTCCTCCAAAATCCCTCCCAAAATCTCCTCCAAAATCCCCCCAAAATCCCCCAAAATCACTCCTGGACCTCCAAAATTTCCCCTGGATCCCCAAAATCTCTGGGACCCCTAAAATCCCCCCTAAAATCACCCCCGGACCCCTAAAATCGCTTCCTGGACCCCTTAAATCCCCTCAAAGGGGGGATATTTTTGGGGGATATTTTGGGGGTCCCAGAGGTGATTTTGGGGTGAATTTTGGGGGTCCCAGAGGTGATTTTTGGGGTGATTTTTTGGGGGTCCCAGCTCTGTGCCCAGATCGAGGGGCTCGAGGAGGAGAACCGGCGGCTGCAGGAGGGGGGGGGCGGGGGGAGCCCCCCGAGACCCCCCCGGGGCCCCCCAAGACCCCCCCGGGACCCCCCCGAGCTCGGCCCAGCCCCCCCAGGGCGATGGGGGGGCCCCCGAAGGTGAGGGGGGGTCTGGGAGGGATTTTGGGGGGGGTCTCAGAGGTTTGGGGGGTCGGGGGGGGCTCCTGAGAGGTTTGGGGGGGGCTCTGAGAATTTTGGGGGGGGGGGTACAGTTGGGGTATCCTGTGGGGATTTTGTGGGGGGGGTCTCAGAGGTTTTGGGGGGTCGGGGGGGGCTCCTGAGAGATTTGGGGGGGGGCTCTGAGAATTTGGGGGGTTCAAAGGGGATTTTGGGGCGGTCTTGGGGTTTTTTTTTCTTTTTTGGGGGGGGTTCTGAGAGTGTCCTTGAGAAGAAATTTCGGTTCCCGGAATTTTGGGGGTCCCAGGTGGGATTTTGGGGGGGGGGGATGAATTTTGGGGGTGGGGATTCAGGGTCTCTGATACCCCTCGCAGCCCCCCCAGAGCCCCCCCAAAAAGAAGAGGAAGAGGAGGGGGGAGGGGGGGACGCCCCCCCCAGGGACCCCCCAGCACCCCCTGCCCAGGTAGGGGCGATTTGGGGGGATTTTGGGGGGTTTGGGGGCTTTTTTTTGGGGGATTTTGTTTTTTTTTGTGGGGGGAATTTTGGGGGGTCTGGGTTTTTTTGGGGGTCTGGGTTTTTTTTGGGGGGGGGTTTGTGGGCCTGGGGTATTTTTGGGGGGATTTTGGGGCTTTTTGGGGGGCTGGGGAGTTTTTTTTGGGGGGATTTTGGGGTTTTTTGGGGGGATTTTGGGGGTCTGGGTTTTTTTTTGGATTTTGGGGGATCTGGGAAGGTTTTTTGGGGATTTTGGTTTTTTTTTGGGGGGGGACTTGGGGAGTTTTGGTTTTTTGGGGGGGATTTTGGGGGTTCTGGGTTATTTTGGGGGGATTTTGGGGGGTTCTGGGTTATTTTGGGAGGGGTTCAAGGGAATTTTAGGGGTTGGAATAAATTTGGGGGTCTTTTGAGGGTTTTTTTTGGGGGAGTTGGGGGGCTCTGAGGAGGAGATTTTGGGGGGAAATTTGGGATTTTGGGGGGATTTTGGGGGCTTTGGGGAGGGGGGAGGTGGATTTTGGGGGGGTCTCACGGGGGTCTCTTGCAGGCAGAGGTGGCCCAGCTGCAGGAGGAGGTGGCCAAGGTGAGGGGGGAAAATTTGCATTTTTTTGGGAGGATTTGGGGTTTCTGGGGAGGATTTGGGTTTTTTGGGGAGGATTTGGGGTTTTTTGGGTGAGATTTGGTTTTTTTGGGGAGGATTTGGGGGGGATTATTTTTTTTTTTGGGGACTTGTTTTTCTTTTTGGTGGGATTTGGGGGGAATTTGGGGCATTTTTGGGGGCTCCAGGGGGAAATTTGGCAGTTCCTGGACGTGAATTTTTGGGGATTTTGATCCCAGAGGCATTTGGGATTTTGGGGAGAGTTTTGGGGTCTCCAGGGGAATTCTGGGGAGGAATTTTGTGATTTTGGGGGGGCTCCAAGTGATGCCCCCCCTCAGTTTTGTGCCCCCCACCCCAAATTTCCCAGCTGACGGAGGAGCTGCAGGAACAGCGGGAAAGGTGAGAATTTTGGCAACATTTTGGGGGTTTTTTATGATTTTTTTTGCCCATTCTTCTTCCTTTGCCTCCATTTTTCACAATTTTTCTTCCATGTCCCCCCATTTCCCCATTTTTCTCGTTTTTTTTTATTTTTTCCCCACACCCTCGCAGTTTCTTCTCTTTTTTTGCCTATTTTTCCTCATTTCATCCCAATTTTTAATCCATTTTCCACCATTTTTCTGTATTCCACTCCAATTTCCCCCATTTTTTCTTCTTTCCCCCATTTCCCTCAATTTCCCCCCAATTTTCCCCGTTTTCCCTGTTTTTTCCCCATTTTCTCCCTTTTCCCCCCATTTTCCCCCATTTTTCCCCATTTTTCCCCTTTCCCCCCATTTCCATCAATTTTTCACCCATTTCCCCCGAATTTTTTCCCCATTTTCCCAAATTTTCCCCATTTTCTCTTTTTTCCCCCATTTCTCCCATTTATTTTCCCATTTCCCCCCAATTTCCCCCCTTTTTTGCCCATTTTTACCCATTTTCCCCTGTTTTTTCCCCAGTTTTCTCCGCCTGCAGGAGGAGAAGGAGACGCTGCTCCAGGAGAGCCGGTGGGGGATTTTTGGGGCAATTTTGGGGGAATTCTGGGTCCCAGGAGGATTTTGGGGGGTCCCGGATGGATTTGGGGGTCCCAGTGTTTTTTTGGGGTGATTTTGGGGTGTCCCAGGTGGGGTTTGGGGTGGTTTTGGATGTTTTTGGGTGTCCCTGATGTTTTTGGATGTCCCTGATGTTTTGGGTGTTTTTGGGGAGGGTTTTGGGGTGTTTTGGGCTGGTTTTGGGTGTCCCTGATGTTTTGGGGTGATTTCGGGGTGTTTTTGTCTGTCCCCATGTTTTGGGGTGCTTTTGGGATGTTTTTGGGGTGTTTTTGGGGTGTTTTGGGGATGTTTTGGAGGATATTTTCAGGGTGTTTTGGCTGTCCCCACGTTTTGGGGTGTTTTTGGGGTGGTTTTGGGGATGTTTTTGGGTGTTTTGGGGCTGTTTTTGAGGATGTTTTTGGGATGTTTTGGGGTGTATTTGGTTTTTGCCTATCCCCACATTTCGGGATGTTTTTGGGTGTTTCTGGGGCTGTTTTGGAGGATGTTTTTGGGGTGTTTTTGGTGTCCCCACGTTTCGGGGTGTTTTTGGGTGTTTTTTGGGTGTTTTTGAGGACGTTTTTGGTGCCCCCAGGGCCCGCTGGGACGCGCAGGCGCAGGAGCTGCAGGCTCGGGGCCGGCGGCTGCAGCAGGAGCTGGAGGCGGCCACCAAGGTGGGGCAGGGCCCTATAGGGACCCTATAGGGACCCCCCAGACCCCATAGAGCCCCACAGGGATCCCATAGACCCCATAAAACCCTATAGGGACCCCATAGACCCTACAGAGACCCAACAAACTCTATAGGGACCCCATAGAGCCCCATAGACCTCACAGACCCCACAGAGATCCTACAGACCCTATAGAGACCCTACAGACCCTATAGAACCCCACAGACCCCACAGGGACCCCACAGACCCCATAGAGACCCTACAGAACCCACAGGGATCCTACAGACCTCACAGGGATCCTACAGACCCTATAGAACCCTACAGACCCCATAGGACCCCACAGACCCCATAGGGACCCCACAGACCCCATAGGGACCCTACAGGCCCCATAGAGCCTATAGGGATGCTACAGGCCCCATAGAACCCCATAGAGACCCTATAGAGACCCTACAGAGATCCTGTAGAGACCCCATAGAAACCCCATAGAGACCCCATAGTACCTGATAGGCACCCCATAGGACCCTATAGGGACCCATAGAATCCCATAGAACCCCAAGGAGACCCCATAGGACCCCACAGGACCCCATAGGACCCTATAGGGACCCCATAGAACCCCATAGGGACCCCCCCGGACCCCGTAAATACCCTATACAGACCCCATAGAGACCCCATAGTACCTGATAGGGACACCATAGAACCCCATAGAGACCCCATAGATACCCTATAGGGACCCCATAGGACCCCTCAGTGGCCGTGGGGTGATTTTGGGGTGATTTTGGTTTTTTTTTTTTATTTTTTGGGGAAGGCCCAGGGGGGGCTGCGGGAGCTGAGCGAGGCCCAGGCCCGGGAGCTGCGGGACAGCCGGAGCCAGAGGGAGAGCCTGGAGAGGGAGCTGCAGGTACGGGGGTTTGGGGGGTCCTGGGGGGTTTGGGGGGTCCTGGGGGGGGTTTGGGGGGTCCCGGGGGGGTTTGGGGGGTCCTGGAGGGGTTTGGGGGGTCCTGGAGGGGTTTGGGGTCTTCCTGGGGGGAATCTGGGGGTCCTGGGAGGGATCTGGGGGTGTCCTGTGTGGGTTTTGTGGGGATTTGGGGAGTTCTGGGGGGGTCTTGGAGGAGTTTGGGGTATTTTTGGGGGGATTTGGGAGTTCTGAGGGGGCTTGAGGGAGGATTTGGGGGGATCCTGGAGGAGTTTGGGGTGTTTTTGGGGGAAATTTGGGAGTCCTGGGGGGAATTTGGGGGTTTCCTGTGGGGGTTCTGGAGGAGTTTGGGGGTCCTGGGGGAAATTTTTGGGGGTTTGGGGGGAGTCCTGGAGGAGTCTGGGGTTCCCGGGCAGATTTTGGGGGTCCCAGGGGATTTTTGGGGGGTCCCCAGGCAGATTTTGGGGTGCCCCCAGGTGTGCTCAGGTGAGCGGGAGGAGCTGCGCCAGCGCCTGCACGAGGCCGAGGCCGCCCAGGTGACCCCAAAACCCCCCCCCCGAGACCCCTCCCCACTTTTGGGGTCCCCCCCAGGCATCGGGGACCCCCAAAAACCCCCCCTGTGCCCCCCAGGAGCGGCTGCGGGAGGAGCAGGAGCAGCAGCGGGGGCAGCTCGAGGTCAGTGAGGTTTGGGGGATTTTGGGGGAAATTGGGGGATTTTGGATAAATTTTTGGGGGAAATTTGGGGGGATTTTGGGGTAAATTTTAGGGGATTTTGGGGGAAATTTTGGGGGGATTTTGTGAGAAATTTGGGGGATGGGATGCAAGGAGTTGGGGATTTTGAGGTGTTTTGGGAATTTTTTAGGGGGATTTTGGGGGGAATATCATGACATCTCTGTCTCCGTCACAATTCTTGTCCCTGTCAGTGTGCCAGGACCCCCAAATGTCCCCAAAATGTCCCCAAAATCACAAAACGTTTCCAACTGTCCCAAAAATTCCCCAGTGTGTCCCCAACTCTCCCAAAATTGTCCCCAGGTATCCTCAAATGTCTCCAACTGACCCCAAAGTGTCCCCAAATGACCCCAAATGTCCTCAAAAGTCTCCAGATTATCCAAAAATGTCCCCAGGTTGTCCCCAAATGTCCCCAAACATTTGCAAGTTGTCCCCAAATGTCCTTAAATGTCTCCAAATTATCCCCAGATTGTCCCAAATGTCCCCAATTGTCCCCAAATGTCCCCGAATATCCCTGAATTGTCCCCAAATGTCCCCTCTGTCCCTCAGGAGGAGCTGGGGCAGCTGCGGGCGGCTCTGGGGGAGGAGCAGCGGCTCCGGGAGCTGCACGAGGCCGAAGGACGCGCCCTGAGACAGGTGAGAGCCCAACATCCCCAAAAACTGCCCCAAAATCCCCAAAAACTTCCCCAAAATCCCTTAAAACAGCCCCAAAATCTAAAACAGCCCCAGAAGTGTCCCACAATCCCCCAAACCAACCCCAAAACTGCCCCAAAATCCCCTAAAACAGCCCCAAAAAATCCCCTGAAACCCCTAAAAATCCCCTTAGCCCCCCTAAAACTCCCCAAAACCCCCTCAAATCCCCTAAAAACCTTCCAAAAATCCCCTAAAACTCCCCAAAACCCCCTAAAAATCCCCAAAAATAGCCCCAAAATCCCCTGAAACTCCCCAAAGTCTCCTAAAGCCTTCCAAAAATCCCCTAAAATCTGCTGAACACCCCCAAAATACCCCAAAAATCTCCCGAAACTCTCCAAAAATCCCCAAAACCCGCTGACCCCCAGGAGCTGAAGGACGTGCGGGACGGGCAGCGCATCCTGGAGAAGAAAGGCAGCGCCGCTGTGAGCGACCCCGGCGGGGCTTCGGGGACACCCCGAAAGCTTTGGGGACCCCCCTGAGATTTGGGGGTTCCCCAAACATCCCCCAAAACCCCGAATTTCCCCCCAAACCAGCTGAAGGACCTGCGGAGGCAGCTGCAGCTGGAGCGGCGCCGGGGGGAGCGGCTGCAGGAGCGGCTGCAGGAGCTGCTGGTGCCCAGCAGGACCCGCTCGGGTCAGGGGCACCCCAAATCTGGGGAGGGGGGAACCCCAACATTTGGGGGGTGGGGAACCCCAACATTTGGGGGAGACCACAAAATTTGGGGGGAAGTTTTAAAAATCTGTGCGGGGAGGGTGGTCCCTGGTGGGATTTTGGAGTCCCTGGTGGGATTTTTGGGGTCCCAGATGGGATTTTGGAGTCCCAGATTTGATTTTGGGGTCCCTGATGGATTTTGGGGGTTCCCAGGTGTATTTTGGGGTCCCAGATGGAATTTTGGGGTCCCAGATGGGATTTTGGAGTCCCAGATGGGATTTTGGGGGTTCCCAGGTGTATTTTGGGGTCCCAGATGGAATTTTGGGGTCCCAGATGGGATTTTGGGGTCCCAGATGGAATTTTGGGGTCCCAGATGGGATTTTGGGGGTCCCAGATGGGATTTTGGGGTCCCTGATGGGATTTTGGGGGTCCCAGATGGGATTTTGGGGTCCCTGATGGGATTTTGGGGGTTCCCAGGTGCATTTTGGGGTCCCAGATGGGATTTTGGGGGTTCCCAGGTGTATTTTGGGGTCCCAGATGGGATTTTGGGGGTCCCAGATGGGATTTTGGGGTCCCAGATGGGATTTTGGGGGTTCCCAGGTGCATTTTGGGGTCCCTGACGGGATTTTGGGGTCCCCCAGGGCTGGAGGAGCTGGGATTGGACGGGGGCTCGTCCCCGGGGCGGGGCCCGGGCGGGGACAGCAGCTCCGTGTCCTCATTGGGCCGCGACGGCTCCGCCCCCGGCAGCACCAAGGTGGGCGGGGCCTCGGTGGGGGCGTGTCTTAGGGAAAAAAGGGCGTGGTCTCAGGAAATGAGGCTGGGCTTGGAATGGGTGGGTCTGTGGGTGTGGCTCTGTGGGCGTGGCTTAGTTGGGTGTGGGTTTTGAGAGGGCGTGGTTTAAGAGGGCGTGGTCCAAAAATGTGATGTAAGGGTGGGGTTCATTTAGGGCGTGGCTTAATTGGGGGTAAAAATCTGGGGGTGTGGCTTGGGTGCTAATTGGGGGTGTGGCTTTAAAGGGCGTGGTGGGGGGGTGGCTTAGAAGGGTGTGGCTGGGTGGGTGTGTCTTAGAGCACAGTGGGTGTGGCCTAAACGGGTGTGGCACAATGGGGGTGTGGTTTAAGAGGGCGGGGCTTTAGTGGGCGTGGTCTGACGGGCTCTGGCCCCGCCCCCGGCCCCGCCCCGGCGCAGTCGGGCTCGGGCAGCCCCGGGGGCGGCAGCGCCGGGGGGGTCCCGGCCGGGGGGGGCCTGTCCCCGGCAGAGGTGGCTGAGCTGTTCCAGAGGCTCGCCCAGAGCCAGCAGGAGCGCTGGCTGCTGGAGGAGAAGGTACTGGGAGCACTTGGAGGGACTGGGAGGGAGCTGGGAGGGATTGGGAGGGACTGGGATGGAACTGGGAGGGACTGGGAGGAACTGGAATAAATTGGGAGGGAACTGGGGGGGACTGGGAGGGGCTGGGATAGAACTGGGAGGGATTGGGAGGGACTGGGATGGAACTGGGAGAACTGGGAGGGACTGGGAGGAACTGGAATAAATTGGGAGGGAACTGGGGGGGACTGGGAGGGGCTGGGGCGCCGCTCACCTGGAGCTCCCCGGGCAGGTGAGGCACCTGGAGGTGTCGAGCGCGTCCATGGCCGAGGATCTGTGCAGGAAAAGCGCCATCATCCAGAGCTTCGTCAGGGACAGCCGCACAGGTGAGGGCACCTGGTGGCACCTGGACCACCTGGGCCTCAGGTGTACCTCACCTGTCCCACCTGTCACTGTATCCTCACCTGTCCCCTCACCTGTCCCCTCACCTGTTCCACTTGGGCCTCAGGTGTACCTCACCTGTCCCACCTGTCACTGTATCCTCACCTGTCCCCTCACCTGTCTCACCTGTCACCTGTCCCACACCTGTCCCACACCTGTCCCCTCTCACCTGTCCCTCACCTGTCCGCAGAGGTGGCGGGGCCGGCGCGGCGCGGGGCGGGGCCGGGCCCCGGTGAGGAGGGGCTGCGGGAGATGAACAAGAAGCTGCAGAACCTCCTGGAGGAGCAGCTGACCAAGAACCTGCACCTGGCACAGGTGAGGGGGCGGGGCCTAAAGGGGTGGGGCCTAAAGGGGGTGTGGCTTGTGAAAAAAGGGGTGGGGCCTCTCAAATGCCCGTGGTTTATCAAGATGGGTGTGGTCTGTGGAAAGGGGTGTGGCTAAAGGGGAGGGTGTGGCTTAATGGGGTGTGGCCGCTCTGAGGGCGTGGCCTCGCGCAGTGGGCGTGGTCTGTTCCCATCCTCATTGCCCCTTTTCCAGGACCTGGAGTCGCTGTCGCAGGAGCTGGCGCAGCTCAGGAAGGAACAGGCGACCCCCTCGGGACCCCCCTGAGGGGCGGGGCCGCTCCGGGTGTGGGGGCGCTGCTGCGGGGGAGGCGTTGCCCCTTTAAGACCGGCATTGCCCCTTTAAGACGGGACGGTTCTTTCCATGGCGTTGCCCCTTTAAGGGTGGTTGGGGCTCCTTGGCGGGGGTGTTGCCCCTTTAAGAGCTGGGTCGGTCCCTGCCGCGGCGTTGCCGCTTTAAGGAGGAGGTGGTCCCCACTGTGGCATTACCCGTTTAAGGGGGTCCCGCATGCGCCCCCCTCCCCACTCCAATAAACCCGATGTGAATCGCTGCCTCTGACGTCATTTTGCTGCCTTGGGAAAGGGTGGGAGGACTCGGTGACGTCATTAAAAGGCCTGTCTGCGGAGCCCGCCCCGTTACGTCACTTCCGCGCGCTGCCCCGGATGTTGTTGCCGCGGCGGCGGCCGCAGGACGGGCACGGGCGCGGCGCTGCTCCAGATCCCCTCCCAAGAACCGCGCACCGCCCGGCCGGGGGGCGCGGCGTGACGTCAGCACGGTGACGTAACACCAGCCCCCCGCTTCCCCGGCTCGGGGGGGGCGGCGGCGGCGGCGAAACCCCCCCAGAACCCCCACCCCCCCCCGGGACCCGCCCCAACATGGCGGCGGCGGCGGGGGGCGGGGCCTCGCCGGGGGGCGGGGGCGGGGCCGCGCTGGAGGAGGAGTGCGAGGTTGTGCGCGTGCGCGTCAAGGTAAGGGGCGGGGTTGTGTGGGCGGGGCCTCTCATGGGCGTGGTTATGTCCTGGGTGTGGTTTGGGGGTGGAGTCACGCGCGTGTCCGGCAGCCAATCAGCTCTTAGTGCGTTGCCGCCTTCGGGTGTGGCATCGGCGGGAAATTTTCCCGCCTCTCGTGTCACGTGGGGGCCAGCGGCCAATCAGCGCGGCCGGAGGCACGCGGCGTTGCCGTGGTGACGGGGCTGCGCCGCCATGTTGGATCGCCGTGAGGGGCGGGGGGCTCCGGGACCCTCCGGGACCTTCCCGGGACCCTCCGGGGCCTTCCCGGGACCCTCCCGGACCCCCGGACGCTCCTCCCGCAGAAGAACGAGGGGCAGCAGCCGCCCGAGTTCCGCTCGTTCGCCGTGGACCCGCAGATCACATCGCTGGACGTGCTGCAGCACATCCTGGCCCGGGCGTTCGACCTGCAGGGGTGAGCAGGGCCCCCTTTTCCCCTTTTTGCACCTGGGACCCCCCAGAGCAGCCAGGTGAGCTGAGCTGTGCCCCCTCAGGAAGAAAAGCTTCGTTCTGAGCTTCGCAGCGCAGAACGGGCAGGGCCAGGACACCTTTGTGCCTCTGCTGAGCGATGGCGACCTGGCCAACGCCTTCACCTGCGCCCGGCCCACCCTGAGGCTGCGCCTGGACGTCAGGAACCCCCCTGAGAGTGAGCGGCGCACCTGGGATACACCTGGGGAGGGGAGACACACCTAGGATACACCTGGGACATACCTGGTTGGTGGGGACACACCTGGGATACACCTGAGATATACCTGGGGTAGTCACAGATTTATCTGGACACACCTGGGCCACAGGGGGACACACCTGGCTGGGGCAGGACACACCTGGGGATGCACACCTGGGACACTTGGGGGCCTGGGCTGGGTGTCAGGAGGTGCTGGCTACCTGGGGGAGCCCTGTGGGGCTCAGGTGTGCGAGGTGGGGCTCCGAGGGCTCTCAGGTACCTGTGGCTCAGGTGTGCTGTCCCCAGGCCCGCTGCTGGAGGACTGGGACATCATCAGCCCGCGGGAGGTGGCGGCGGCGGAGCCGGTGCCCGAGCGCCGCTCGCTGCTGGCGGCGGCCCTGCCCTTCACCCAGGCGCTGCTGGCACAGGTGAGCACACCTGGCGCAGGTGAGGCGCACCTGGAGTGCCGCACTTTGCTGGAAGCTCACAGAGAGCTCCAGCTGCTCTCCTGGCCGTCCCAGTGCCCTCCCAGTGCCCTCCCAGTGCCCCCCCAGTGCCCTCCCAGTGCCATCCCAGTGCCCTCCCAGTGCCCTCCCAGTGCCCTCCAGTGCCACCTGTGCTGTCCCCACAGGTGGGCCGGACGCTGGCGCGGGCACAGGCGGCTTTGGCGTGGCCTGAGGGGACCCCGGCCGTGTCCCCGCCCCCTCCCCCGCCCCCACCCTGCGCCCCCCTGAGCGATGCTGACCTGAGGGCGTACCTGGGCCCAGGTGGGCGCCTGCTGCGGCCCCAGGACCTGCGGCTGCACGTCTTCCACGGCGGCGTTGAGCCCGGCCTGCGCAAGGTGAGAGCCCAGAGACACACCTGGGACACACCTGGGGGTTGGGGCTCACACCTTGGATACTTCTAGGGGTGGTTCTGATTGTACCTGGGGTTCTCTGAGCCACACCTTGGGGCCCTGGGGGTTCTCTGATCTCCCCAAGCCTTACCTGGCAGCTGTGATCACACCTGAGTCACACCTGGGGTGTTCTGATCTTGCCTGCTGTCACTTCAGCCTCACTTGGGAGTTCTCAGATCTGTCCTGAACGACACCTGAGAGTTCCTGGTATCCCTTACCCCAGTTCCCCCCATACAGGTGTTCTGGCGTTACCTGTGTAACACGTCCCTGCTCTCACCTGTCCCCATTCCCCCCGTACAGGTGTTCTGGCGTTACCTGTGTAACACATCCCTGCTCTCACCTGTCCCCATTCCCCATACAGGTGTTCTGGCGTTACCTGTGTAACACAGTCCTGCTCTCACCTGTCCCCATTCCCCCCTATACAGGTGGTCTGGCGGTACCTGCTGAACGTGTCCCTGCTCTCACCTGTCCCCATTCCCCGTACAGGTGGTGTGGCGGTACCTGCTGAACGTGTTCCCCGCCGGCCTGACGGGCCAGGAGCGGCTGTCGCACCTGCGGCTGAAGGCGGCCGAGTACTCGGCGCTGAAGGTGTCGCTGGCGGCGCGCGCGGCGCCGGCCGAGCTGGCGCAGGTGGCGGCGGCGGTGCGCAAGGACGTGGTGCGCACGGACCGCGCCCACCCGTACTTCGGCGGCCCCGAGGAGGGCCACCCTCACCTGGCGGCGCTGCAGGCGCTGCTGACCACCTTCGCGCTGGGCCACCCGCGCCTCTCCTACTGCCAGGGCATGTCGGACGTGGCGGCGCCGCTGCTGGCCGTGCTGGACGACGAGGCGCAGGCCTTCCTGTGCTTCTGCGCGCTGATGCGCCGCCTGGCGCCGCGCTTCCGCCCCGGCGGCCGCGGGCTGGCCCGCGCCTTCGCGCACCTGCGGCGGCTGCTGCGGCGCGCCGACCCCCCGTTCTGGGCCTTCCTGGCGGCGCGCGGCGCGCACGACCTGCTCTTCTGCTACCGCTGGCTGCTGCTGGAGCTGAAGCGCGAGTTCGCCTTCGAGGACGCGCTGACGGTGCTGGAGGTCACCTGGAGCTCGCTGCCCCCCGCGCCGCCCCCGCCCCCCGAGGGGGTCCCGCTGCTCGGAGCCCCCCTGGGCGCCCGCAGCGCCGGACGGGCGCTGAGGGAGCGCCGGGGGCTGCGGCCGCGGCCGCCCCGCAGGAGGAGGAGGAGGAGGAGGAGCGTGGAGGAGGAGGAACGCGGAGGAGAAGGTGCCGGAGGGGCCGCGGAGGGCTCTGGTGGTGGCTTTGGGGGTCTCAAGGGTTCCAGTGATGGTCCTGAGGGTCCCAAGAGCTCCAGTGATGTCCCAGGTGGTCCCACGAGCTCCAGTGGTAGCCCTGAGGGTCTCAAGACTTCCAGCGATGGCCCTGAGGGTCCCAAGAGCTCTGGAGATGTCCCCAACAGTCCCAAGAGCTCCAGCGAGCTCTTTGAGAGCCCCAAGAGCTTCAGCGATGTGCTGGAAGGTTCCGAGGGCATCCAGGAGGGTCCCAACAGCTCCAGTGATGTCCCCAACTATCTCAGGGACAGCCAGAAAGGACCCAGGAGCTTTAAGAGTGTTCAGGAAGGTCTTGAGAGCTCCAGCAATGTCCCCAAAGGTCACAAGAGCTCCAGGAAAGTCCAGGGGAGAACCCCCAGGGGTGCTGGAGGAGCCCCCGAGGGCTCCAAGGACTCGGAGCCAGGGGGCCCCAGGAAGGTGGAGGAAGGCACCGACGCCCTGGAGATGGACCAGAGACCCCGCAGCCTCTGCTGGGGGGCTGGAGAAGACCCCAGAAAAGGACAGGATGACCCCAGAGAGGGACATGATCCAAGAGAAGGACGAGATGACCACAGAAAAGGACGAGGTGGCCCCAAAAAGGGACTGGGTGACCCGAGAGAAGAACCAGATGACCCCGGGACGAATCGTGGTGACCCCAGAGAGGGCGATGACGATCTCAGAGAAGGACACAACTTGGGAGAAGGCCAAAACAGCCCCAGGGATGCCCACCATGACCCCAGGGATGCCCACCATGACCCCAGGGATGCCCACCATGGCTTCAAGGATGGCCGTGATGACCCCAAGGAAAGATGTGATGACCCCAGACATGGCCGTGATGACCTCAAGGATGACCACCACGACCCCAGGGGCAGACAGGATGACCTCAAACACGGCCACGACGGCGCCAAGGACGGACGTGACGACATCAAGCAGGGCCACGATGACCTCAAGGACGACCACCGTGCCGCCAAGACCACCCACAACAACCCAAAAACCCCCGAAGACCCTTGGGGCGGCCGTTGGGCTTGGGAAGAGCCTTCCTCCTCCTCCTCCTCCTCGTGCTCCTCGGGCTCGTCCTCCTCGGACGAGGAGGTGGCGGTGGAGGACGACGGGGCGCCGCTGCCGCCGCCGGAGGAGCTGGGCCAGGGGAACCCGTTCCTGCTGTTCGTGTGCCTGGCCATGCTGCTGGAGCAGCGCGAGGCCGTCATGGCGCGGGCCGGCGACTACAACGAGGTGGCCATGCACTTCGACCGCCTGGTGCGCCGCCACCACCTGCCGCGCGTCCTGCGCCGCGCCAAGGCGCTCTTCGCCCGCTACCTGGAGGGGTGGGGCGCCGCCGCGCCGGGGGGACCCCAAACCGGACCCCCCTCGGGGTAGGGGTGCCTCAGGAGCCCCACTGGGGTCCGGGGTGTGGGGCAGAGAGGGCGGGGAACATCAAGGCCACCGCAGGGAGGTCTGTAGGACGAGGTGGTGACCCCATAGAATATCTCAGAGTGGTCCTGAGGGGCCCCAAAGTCACTGCAGGTCTGTAGGACGAGGTGGTGACTGTAGAACATCTCCAGGAGGTCCTGAGGTCACTCCAGGGGCATTTGGTCATTGTCAGGGTCTGTAGGAGGACGTGGGGACACCCTAAAACGTCACCCTGAGGTCACCTTGGGGACTCTGGTCACTGTCAGCATCTGTGGGACACTGTGGGGACACTGTGGGGACAGCACAGACCCCACATGGGGCCAGGTGGGTCCTTTTGGAGACCCCAAGGTCACCACAGGGACCCCAAGGCCACCACGGGGACCCCAAGGTCACCATGGGGACCCCAAGGTCACCATGGGGACCCCAAGGTCACCACAGGGACCCCAAGGCCACGATGGAGACCCCAAGGCCACCATGGGGACCCCAAGGCCACCACAGGGACCCCAAGGTCACCACAGGGACCCCAAGGTCACCCTGGGGTCAGCAGGGACCCCCCAGAGCTCCCCATGACCCCCCCATGGCAGCAGAGACCCCTCCCAGTATGAACCAGCATGAACCAGCACAGCCCAGTGCCTCCCTGCTGGGTTCTGCACCACCGTGGGACATCCCAGTATGAACCAGTAGGAACCAGTAAGAACCAGTGCAACATCTGGGCTGGGAACTCCTACATCTGCATTGCCTTGGGCCGGACCAGTACAGACCAGTATGGACCAGTATGGAGCAAGAGGGGGCTGGGAGCCCAACTGGGAGCCCCACGTGCATCACCTGGTGCCGGACCAGTACAGACCAGTACGGACCAGTATGGACCAGTGCCTTGCCATGGCCTTCAGCCATCCCAGCACGCACCAGTATGGACCAGTATGGACCAGTCCGGCAGCCAAACTGGGAGCTCTTCACCGGTGTGGCCTTGCGTCCTCCCAGCATGGACCAGTATGGACCAGTACAGACCAGTATGGACCGGTAGGGTGCCCCCACTGCTGTGTTGATGCCCATAGGCCTTCTCCCAGTATGGACCAGTACAAACCAGTTCCTGCCTCCCACCCTGGGTGCCTTCTCCCCTCCCCCCCTTATTTATTGCCCCTCCCCCTCCGGCCGGGGGGTCCTGGGGGGGTCCCAGAGGTGCCGGAATCGCCAATAAACGATGCCTGTTACTGGTGTGGCTCCCAGTATGGACTGGGAGGGACTGGGAGGGGGTTTGGGGCTCCCAGTAGGGACTGGGAGGGGGTTTGTGGGTCCCAGTATAAACTGGGAAGTGGTTCTTTTGTCCCAGTATGAACTGGGAGGGACTTGGGAGGGGGTTTGGGGCTCCCAGTATGGACTGGGAAGGAATTTCCCATTCCCAGTATAAACTGGAGACTTCCCAGTATGAACTGGGAGGCTGTGGGCAGGGACAGGGTCAGGACTGGGATTTTCCCAGTGCTCCCAGTTTGCTCCCATTGCTGGTTGAGGGTGCTCCCAGTTTCCCCCCAGTGCTCCCAGTTCCCCCCCAGTCCCTCCCAGTTCCCCCCCAGTCCCTCCCAGTTCCCCCCCAGTCCCTCCCAGTTCCCCCCAGTCCCCCCCAGTCTCTCCCAGTTCCCCCCCAGTCCCTCCCAGTTCCCCCCCAGTCCCTCCCAGTCCCCTCCAGTCCCTCCCAGTTCCCCTCCCAGTTCCCCCAGTCCGGAGGTGACGTCCCCGCCACCTTTGGGTGCTTCCGGCCGGAAGAGGCCTCGGGGGCACCCAGAGATTTTTGGGGGGGCGGCTCTGGGGGGGTTTTGGGGTTCCTGGGGGAGTTTTTGAGTTCCCAGGGAGATTTTTTGGGGTTCCCCGGGATTTTTTGGGGGGTCCCAGGGGGGATTTTTGGGTTCCCAGGGATTTTGTGTGTGTGGGGGGGTGTCCCAAAATTTGGGGATGAGCCGGGGGGGGCGGCAGGGGGGGGACAACGTCCCCTCGGAGCTGCTGGAGGAGCAGGAGAACCTGCGGATCTTCGAGCTGCTGGGCAGGAAATGCGTGGTGAGAACTGGGGGAACTGGGACGGACTGGGAAGGGGAACTGGGGGGGTTTAAGGGGGATTTTGGGGGATTTAAGGGGAATTTGGGGGGATTTAGGGTGGGATAGGGAGGATTTTGGGGGTTTGGGAGGGGGAATTGAGGGACTGGGGAAATTGGGGAGGACTGGGAGGGACTGGGAGGAACTGGGAAGGGGAACTGGGAAGATTTGGGGGGATTTGGGGTGGGATTGGGAGGATCTTGGGGTTTTGTGGGGACAATTTGGGGTCTTGGGAGGATTTTGAGGATTCTGGGGGGATCTGGGGCATTAGGGGGGTAAATTTGGGGTCCTGGGAGAGCCATGAGGGGAATTTAGGGGTCCCTGGGCTGGATTTTGGGGTCTCTTGGGCCATTTTGGAGTCCCTGGCTGGATTTTAGGTACTCTGCGCCCATTTCTGGGTCTCTGGGATGAATTTTGGGGTCTCTGGTGAGGTTTTGGGGCAGTCTTGAGGAATTTTGGGGTTTCTGGGGCCATTTTGGGTTCTCTGGGCTGGATTTTGGGTTCTCTGGGGCTGTTTTGGGGTCTCTGGGATGAATTTTGGGGTCTCTGGTGAGGTTTTGGGGCGGTCCTGGGGGATTTTGGGGTCTCTGGGATGGATTTTGGGGTCTCTGGGGCTGTTTTGGGGTCTCTGGGATGAATTTTGGGATCTCTGGTGAGGTTTTGGGTTCTCTGGAGCCATTTTGGGGTCTCTGGGATGGATTTCGGGATCTCCAGGTGGATTTTGGGGTCTCTGGGCTGGATTTTGGGGTGTCCCCGCAGACCCTGGTGACCGCCGTGGTCCAGCTGGTGGTGGCCGAGCCCGGGGGGGTCCCCGGGGGGCTCCCGGGGGGCTCCTGGAGCCTCCGGGGCTGTGGGGTCGCCTGCCTGGTCCGGGACAGCCCCCGGCGCTCCTACTTCATCCGCATCTTCCGCCTGCCCGTGAGTCGGGGGACCCCAAATCCCGGGGGGACCCCAAATCCCGGGGGGACCCCAAATCCTGGGGGGGACCCCAAATCCTTGGGAGGGTCCCCAAATCCTTTTGGGGGGGACCCCAAATCCTGGCGGAGAATCCCCGAAATTCCAGGATGGGGGGAGATGAAGGGGTTGGGGTTGGGTGGGGAGCCCCTGAGGGGGTTTTGGGGGGTCCCTGAGGGGGTTTTGGGGGGGTCCCAGAGGCTTTGGGGGTCCCTGAGGGGTTCTGGGGTCCCTGAGGGGTTTTTTGGGGGTCCCTGAGGGGGTTTTGGGGGGTCCCTGAGGGGTTTTGGGGGGGTCCCAGAGGTTTGGGGGGTCCCTGAGGGGTTTTGGGGCATCTCTAAGGGGATTTTGGGGGGGTCCCTGAGGCTTTGGGAGTCTCTGAGGGGTTCTGGGTTCCCAGAGGGGTTTCGGGGGGGGGTCCCTGAGGGGGTTTTGGGGGGGTCCCAGAGGTTTGGGGGGTCCCTGAGGGGGTTTTGGGGCATCTCTAAGGGGATTTTGGGGGGGTCCCTGAGGCTTTGGGAGTCTCTGAGGGGTTCTGGGTTCCCAGAGGGGTTTCGGGGGGGGGTCCCTGAGGGGGTTTTGGGGGGGTCCCAGAGGTTTGGGGTGTCCCTGAGGGGGTTTAGGGGGGGTCCCAGAAGATTTGGGGGGTCCCTGAGGGGTTCTGGGGTCCCCGGGGGGTTTTGGGGGGCCCCAGGAGGGTCCCTGAGCCCGAACCCCCCCCAGGCCGGGGAGCTGTGGTGGGAGCAGGAGCTGCAGGGGGGGATGGGCTACAAGACCCCCACCCCCTTTTTCCACACCTTCGTCAGCCACGTGAGTGGGCGGGGCTGGGGGCGGGGCCTGGGAGGGCGTGGCTGGGGTGGGGTCAGTGGGCGGGGCTATGGAAATGTGGATGGGGACGGTGGGCGGGGCTATGCAAATGTGGGTGGGTCAGTGGGTGGGGCTATGTAAATGTGGGTGGGGCAGTGGGTTGGGCTATGCAAATGTGGGTGGGGCAGTGGGCGGGGCTGGAGATGGCCATGGTCGGGTGGGAGGAGCCAATATGGGTGTGGCAAAGGGGAGGGGCTGAAGTGGGTGTGGCCGGCTGTGGGCGTGGTCATATTGAAGTGGGTGTGGCCTGTTCTCAATGGGTGGGGCGTGGCCATATAAGGAAAATGGGCGTGGCCATTGGGATGACGGGTGTGGCCAATCTGATGTTGCCATATAAGGGAAAGTGGGTGTGGTTTGGCTAAGTGGGCGTGGCCTGGCCACCCACGGCTGCTTCTGATTGGCTCAGGAAGGGTGGGCGGGGCTGAACTTCGCCTCCGAGGCCGAGGCCGCCGCGTTCGAGGGTCGAGTCCAGGAGAGGCTGCGGCGGCGGCAGCAGCGGAGCGGTGAGAGACCCCTCCCCAAAATGCACCCGGGACCCCCAAATCCACCCCCAAAATGGATCTGTGAACCCCGAAACGCATCTGGGGATCCCTAAAATCCACCTCCAAAATGGATCTGTGAACCCCGAAACGCACCTGCGACACTGAAATCCACCCCCAAAATGGATCTGTGAACCCCGAAACGCATCTGGGGACCCCGAAATCCACCCCCAAAATGGATCTGTGAACCCCGAAATGCACCTGGGACCCCCAAATCCACCCCCAAAATGGATCTGTGAACCCCAAAACGCACTTGGGGACCTCCAAAATGTACCTGGGGACCTCCAAAATCCACCCCCAAAATGGATCTGTGAACCCCGAAACGCACCTGGGACCCCAAAATCCACCCCCAAAATGAATCTGTGAACCCCGAAACGCATCTGGGGATCCCTAAATCCACCCCCAAAATGGATCTGTGAACCCCAAAACGCACCTGGGGACCCAAAAATCCACCCCGAAAATGGATCTGTGAACCCCAAAATGCACCTGGGACCCCGAAATCCACCCCCAAAATGGATCTGTGAACCCCGAAACGCACCTGGGACCCCCAAATCCACCCCCAAAATGGATCTGTGAACCCCGAAATGCACCTGGGACCCTGAAATCCACCTGGGGACCCCCAAAATCCACCCCCAAAATGGATCTGTGAACCCTGAAATGCACCTGGGACCCTGAAATCCACCCCCAAAATGGATCTGTGAATCCCGAAACGCACCCGGGACCCCCAAATCCACCCCCAAAATGTATCTGTGAACCCCAAAATGCACTTGGGGACCTCCAAAATGTACCTGGAAACACTCAAAATGCACCTGGGATCCCCAAAATGAACCTGGGGACCTCCAGAACACACCTGGGAACCCCCAAAATGTAACTGGAAACCCTCAAAATGTACTTGGGACCTCCAAAATACACCTGGGAATGCCCAAAACGCACCTGGGGACTTCCAAAACCCTCCTGGGAACCCAAAACGTACCTGGGACACCCAAAATGCCCCTGAGAACCCCAAAACTGCATCAGAACCCTCCCAACCCCCCCTTGGAATGCCTCAAATCCACTGGAAACTCCCAAAAAAATCCTTTGGGCATCCCCCAAAAATCTCCTGGCACCCCCAAAAGTCCCCCTCCCCCACCTCTGACCCCCCTTTTCTCCCCCCACAGAGAAGCAGCTGCTGCCCCCTCCCCCACCCCCCGGCCATGGTGAGTCCTGACCCCCCCATGAGGATTTTGGGGGGATTTTGGGGGGTTTTGGGGTCACTGGGTGGTCCCCACCCCCCCTGACTCTCACTGTGCCCCCCCAGAGCGTCGGGGGAGCCTCCCCAGGACCCCCAACCCTGATGGTGAGTGTGTGTGGGGGGCTCCTGCCCCATTTTGGGGAGTCCTGCCTCAATTTGGGGGGGGGCGGTCCTGACTCATTTTGGGTGGTCCTGACTCATTTTGGGGGGGGTTCTGCCCTATTTAGGGGTGTCCTGTTTCATTTGGGGGGGCTTGGGGTGGGCTCAGAAGGGCATTTGGGGGGAATTCGGGGTCTCTGGGGCGGTTTTGGGGGTCTCAGGGGGGGGAGGTTTAGGGACTCTGGGGGGATTTTGGGGTCTTCAGTAGTTTCGGGATCGCTGGGGGGGCTGCAGGGCAGTTTGGGGTGGGGCTTTGGGGGTCTTTGGGGTAATTTTGGGGTCTCTGGGAGGGGGTTTGGGGTCTCTAGGGTGGGGTTGAGGTGGCTGGGGGTGTTGTAGGGTGGTTTGGGGGGGGTCTTTGGGGTCTCTGTGGAGGATTTTGGAGTCTTGGAGGTGGTTTCGAGGTCTCTGGGCAGGATTTTGGTGTATTTGGGGCAGGTTTGGGGTCTCTGGGGAGGATTTTGGGGTTTCTCGGGAGGATTTTGGTGTCCCTGGAGTGATTTTGGGGTTCCTAGAGTGATTTTAGGGTCTCTGGGGGGGATTCTGGGGACTTTGGAATGATTTTGGGGTCTCTGGGGTTAATTTGGGGTCTCTGGGGAGCATTTTGGGGTCTCTGGGGTGGATTTTGGGGTCTTTGGAATGATTTTGGGGTTTCTGGGGTGGTTTTAGGGTGTCTGGGGGGGATTTTGGGGTCTCTGGGGTGGATTTGGGGTATCTGGGGGGGATTTTGGGGTCTCTCAGGAGGATTTTGGGGTTCTCCCCGTAATGGGGGAGGGTCCCACAATGATTTTTCCCCCCAGGCCCCCCCATCCCGGCCGTGCCCATCCCCAACCCCGACATCACCCCCAGCCGGTACCGGGGGCTGCCCAGCCCCCCCTCGGGACCCTCCCCCACCTCGGGACCCCCCCCCGCCGCCGGGGCCCCCCCCGGGGAGCGGAAAAAGGGGAGGGGGCGCAAGAAAATCTCCAAGGCCGATATCGGGGTCCCCTCCGGATTCAAGTGGGTCTGGGGGGGGGGAGACTTGGGGTCTGGGGGGGGATTTGGGGTCTGGGGGGGGGGAATTTGGGGTCTGGGGGGGGATTTGGGGGTCTGGGGGGGGGATTTGGGGTCTGGGGGGATTTTGGGGTGGATTTGGGGTCTGGGGGGGAGGATTTGGGGGATGTGGGGGGAGATTTGGGGGGCATCTTTTGGGAGGTTTTGGGGGGGCTGTGAAGTGGTTTTGGGCGGGGGTCTCCAGGGAGGGTTTGGGGTCTCAGGGGGGTCTCGGGGGGGTCTCACCCCTCTCCCCTCCCCCCTCCAGGCACGTCGGTCACATCGGGTGGGACCCCAATGGCGGCTTCGATGTAGGTGACACCTCCTCCCCCCATGGGGGTGACAGTGACCCCCGGGGTGACCCCACAGGGGGTGAGAGGGGGTGACGGGGGTGACAGGGGGTGACCCCACAGGGGGTGACAGGGGGTGACAGGGGGTGACCCCACAGGGGGTGACAGGGGGTGACAGGGGTGACAGTGCTGTCCCTGCCCAGGTGGCATCTCTGGACCTGGCTCTGGTGTCCCCATGGGGTGACCCCGGGGGTGACAACGATGCCGTGCAGGGTGACACTGACCCCGTGGGGTGACACTGACCCCGTGGGGTGTGGCGGTGTCCCCTCAGCGTGTCCCTGTCCCTGTCCCTGTCCCCAGCTGGCCGCCCTGGACCCCGCCCTGCGGTCACTCTTTGCCCAGGACAGGGTCCCTGGGGGGGTGACACTGACCCCGTGGGGTGACACTGACCCTGTGGGGTGACACTGACCCCATGGGGTGTGGCGGTGTCCCCTCAGCGTGTCCCTGTCCCTGTCCCTGTCCCCAGCTGGCCGCCCTGGACCCCGCCCTGCGGTCACTCTTCGCCCAGGCCGGGGTCAGCGAGCGCCACTTGGCCGACGCGGAGACCTCCCGGCTGATCCACGACTTCATCGAGCGGCGCGGCGGGCTGCAGGCCGTGCGCGAGGAGATGCGGCGGCAGGGTGGGCACGGGGCACTGCGGGCACCTGGGGCACCTGGGGGCACCTAGAGACACCTGGGGGGCACCTGGGAGACACCTGGGGGTACCTGGGGGTACCTGGGAGACACCAGGGGGCACCTGGGGGGCACCTGCGGGCACCTGCGGGCACCTGGGGGCACCTGGGGGCACCTGGGAGGGACCTGGGCACACCTGGGGGCAGCTGGGAACACTTGAGGGGCTCCTGGGCACACCTGGGGGGCACCTGGGGGCACCTGGGCACACCTGGGGGCACCTGGGAGACACCTGGGGGGCACCTGGGGGCACCTGGGGGCACCTGGGAGACACCTGGGGGCACCTGCGGGCACCTGCGGGCATCTGGGAGACACCTAGGAGGGACCTGGGCACACCTGGGATGGAGCTGAGCACATCTTGGCACAATTGGGGGGCACCTGGGCACACTTGGGGACAGCTGGGAGGGATCTGGGGGGCACCTGGGCACACCTAGGCGGGACCTGGGCACACCTGGGGGCAGCTGGGAACACTTGAGGGGCACCTGGGCACACCTGGGAGTAGGGCAGGAGATGCCTGGGCACACCTGGGGGGCACCTGGGGGTACCTGGGACCCCTGGGGGTGGGGCCGGGCACACCTGGAGGGCACCTGGGGATACCTGGGACCCCCGGGGGTGGGGCCGGGCACACCCCCGGGGGGCACCTGGGGGCAGCTCCGCGGGTCTCTGTGCCCCCCCGTGCCCCCTCTGACCCCTCCCCCTCCTCTCTCTCCTCCCCCAGGGCCGCCCCCTCCCCCTCCGGGCCGCGGCGGCCCCGCCCCTCCCCCCGCCCCTCCCCCCCTCTCCGGCCGCTCCCGCTCGGGGGTCCCGACCCCTCCCCCACCCCGCGCCGGCCCCGCCCCTCCCCCGGCCCCGCCCCCTCCGCGAGGCCCCGCCCCTCCCCCGCGAGGCCCCGCCCCCTCGGGAGCGGCCGCCCCTCCCCCCCCCCCCCCCCCCCCGCCCCCTCCCCCCTCCGGGGGCGCCCCCCCCGCGACCCCCCCGGGCCGGGGGGCGCTGCTGGACCAGATCCGCCAGGGGGTGACGCTCAACAAGGTGGGGGACCCCAAAAATGGGGGTGGGAGCCCAAAAATGGGGGTGGGACCCCAAAAATGGGGGGTGGGAGCCCAAAAATGGGGAGTGGGACACCAAAAATGGGGGGTGGGACCCCAAAAATGGGGTATGGGAGCCCAAAATGGGGGGTGGGAGCCCAAAAATGGGGAGGGGGACCCCAAAAATGGGGGTGGGAGCCCAAAAATGGGGTATGAGAGCCCAAAAATGGGGTATGGGAGCCCAAAAATGGGGAGGGGGACACCAAAATTGGGGAGTGGGAGCCCAAAAATGGGGTTGGGAGCCCAAAAATGGGGTATGGGAGCCCAAAAATGGGGGTGGGAGCCCAAAAATGGGGGTGGGAGCCCAAAAATGGGGATGGGGACACCAAAAATGGTGAGGGGGACACCAAAAATGGGGGTGGGAGCCCAAAAATGGGGTATGAGAGCCCAAAAATGGGGTATGGGAGCCCAAAAATGGGGAGGGGGACACCAAAATTGGGGAGTGGGAGCCCAAAAATGGGGTTGGGAGCCCAAAAATGGGGATGGGGACACCAAAAATGGTGAGGGGGACACCAAAAATGGGGGTGGGAGCCCAAAAATGGGGAGGGGGACCCCAAAAATGGGGGTAGGAGCCCAAAAATGGGGGTGGGAGCCCAAAAGCGGGGGTGGGGTGTCGAAGGGGTGGGGGGGGGGGTCCTGTGACCTTTGGAGGACCCAATGTGAGGGGGAGGGGCTCTTCCATGCCCCTTTTTTTTGGGTGGGTGGTCTCGTTATCACTGGGGGGGCTCCCCTGACCTTTTGATGTGTCTGTTGGGGGGGGGGGGGGGGCCCTGCCTGACCCCTTCCCGTTCTCCCACCCCCTCCTCAGACCCCTGAGACCCCCGAGGTGGGCGCGGGCCCCGGCGCGGGGGGGCTCGTGGGGGCCCTGATGGACGTGATGCAGAAGCGAAGCCGCGTCATCCATTCCTCGGGTGAGACCCCCCCCAAAAAAAACCCCAAAGACCCCCAAAACCCCCCGAAAACCCCCCAAAAAACGCGACCCTCCCTTTGTCGCCCCCCAGATGAAGGCACAGCCAGCGAGGAGGAGGAGGATGATGATGAATGGGACGAGTGAGACCCCCCCTCCCTTCCCCGCTTCTAAAGACGCCCCCAGACCCAAAATGTGCCCCCCCGCCCCTCCCCCACCCCGTCTGTGCCCCTCCCCCAGCTCGGGGGGGAGGGGCCCGGCTTTTCCTGCCCCCCCCCCCTTTTCCATCCCATCCCAATTCCCCCCCCCCCCCGCAGAACCAAATAAACGGAGTCACGTGAGGACTCGCCTCGTTAATTAATTCATTCATTAATTACCGTTTAATGAGCCGGGATCGAGGAGGGGAAGCGGGAATGGAGCGGCTCGGGGAGGGGCTCGGAGGGGATCCCGGCGCTTCCAGCGGCTCCGAGCCGGGAAAACCGCGGGGAAAAATGGGGAAAAAACGGCGGAATTCGGGATCGGCGCCGTGCGCGGGGGCTGCTGGGAGCGATATGTAAATGAGACAGCGCCGCGACCAATGGAAATCGGTCAATTCATACCAGTATGTAAATGAATCATCGCGGGCGCTGCTGGGAGAGATATGCAAATCAAGCGACGCGACGACCAATGGCGGGATCAGATATTATGCAAATAAAGCGGCGCGGTGGCCAATAGAGAACGGGCGGGAAGTTGTCGGCATGCAAATAAATCACCACGTCAGCCAATGGAAGGCGCTCATCCGGCTGTCACTATGCAAATCAGCAGCCGGGCCAGCCAATGGGCGCTGGGCGCGGGCAGAGGAAGCCCCGCCCCTCGCTCTGCCCGCCGGGCGGAAGCGGCGCCAGAAAAAAAAAGGAAAAAGGCGGAAAAAGACAAAAAAAAAGCGGCGGCGGCTGAAAATGGCGGAAAATTTAAAAGGTGGCGAGAGCGGGGCGGGCCCGAGGGGTCTCCGGGGCAGCGTGAGGGGGAAACAGGGGCGGGGGGCGCTGTGAGGGGACGGCGCCGCTTCCCGCGCGCGGCCGTTGGCGCCTGAGGGAAGGGGGGGGGGAAAGTGGCGGGAACGCGCGGGGGGGGGGGGGAGCGTGTGAGGGGGGGGGGGGGGCGCTGCCCCGTCCCCAAATTCCCCCTCAGTGTCCCCCTCGCCCACCCGCTGTCCTTCCCCGCCTGTCGCTGTCGTGTGTCGCGACAGCGCCGGCGGGGCCGGGAGGGGCTGCGTGAGGTGAGGGGTGTGTGTGGGGGGGCTGTGGTGTCACCTGTCCCCTCACGCTGTCACCCGGTGTGTCAGAGCGCTCCGCGTGTGCCTATCGCGACAGAGCGAGCGATACGGGGGGAGCTGCGGTGTCACCTGTCCCCTCACGGCCCCCTCCCCACCCTGTGTGTCCCACCCCGGTGACACCCGTGTGCTGCCTGTCGCGACAGAGCGGGCGGGTCCCTGTGTGTGGGCTGTGTCCGAGGTGTGTGTGGCTCTGTGGTGTCGCCTGTCCCCTCACGCTGTCCCCGGTGACCCCGCAGGGTGCTCCGTGTGCTGCCTGTCGCCCTGGCCGCGGCTGCAGGAGCTGTGTCGGCTGCAGCGGCTGCGGTGCCGCGCCCTCGGCGTCACCCGCCGCAACCTCGGCGACTTCGAGGTGGAGCTGCTGTGCGACTACCGGCGAGTGCGGGTGAGGGGCGCGGGACCCCCGAACCGGGACCCCCGAGCTGGGAACTGACACAGGATCCCCAAACTGGGACCCCCGAACTGGGAACTGACCCAGGACCCCCAAACCGAGACCCTCGAACCGGGACCCCCAAACCAAGACCACCCCCCGAAATGAGACCCCCAAACTGGGAACTGACCCAGGACCCCCAAACTGGGACCCCCGAACGAACAGGGAACTGACCCAGGACCCCCAGACCGAGACCCCCCCTTAAACCGGGACCCCCGAACTGGGAACTGACACAGGACCCCCAAACTGGGACCCCCGAACTGGGAACTGACACAGGACCCCCAAACCGAGACTCCCGAACCGGGACCCCCAAACCGAGACCACCCCCCGAAACGGGACCCCTGAACTGGGAACTGACCCAGGACCCCCAGACCGAGATACCCCCAAACTGGGACCCCCAAACTGGGACCCCCGAACTGGGAACTGACCCAGGACCCCCATACCAAGACCCCCCCCGAACTGGGACCCCCACAGACACCCACAACACAGCTGGGACCCCTACACAGGACCCCCAAACCAGGACCCCCACACTGGACAGCAAACTGGGACCCCCAAACTCAGAATTGGCCCAGGACCCCCCAACTGGGCACTGCCAGGTCCCCTGGGGGCAAACGGGGACCCTCTGGTGACCCCAGGACCCCCCTGGCCTCGTGAGCCCCTGCAGGGACATCGGGGTCTCCTTTAAGGTCCCCAAGCTTCCTTTGGCACCCCAAAAATCCTCTGACCCTGTTTGGCCCCACAGGGTCCCTGGACATTGGGGTCACTCCAGGACCCCCCTGACCCTTTTAGACCCCAGAGGACCCCCACACTGGGGTCACTCCAGGACCCCCCAGACCCAAAAAAGCCCCACAAGGTTCCTGGACATTGGGGTCACTCCAGGACCCCCTGACCCTATTAGACCCCAGAGGACCCCCACACCGGGGTCACTCCAGGACCCCCTGACCCAAAAAAGCCCCACAAGGTTCCTGGACACTGGGGTCACTCCAGGACCCCCCGACCTCGTGAGACCCTCGGAGTCCCCCCGATTCCCGCGTCCCTCCCGACCTCGTGAGACCCCACAATGTCTCCAGACCTTGTGGTCACTCCGGGACCCCGCAGACCTTTTGAGTCCCCACACTTGGGGGTCCCCACACTTGGGGGTCCCCACACTTGGGGGTCCCCACTGCCCACCCCTCCCCCAAACCCCCTTTAACCCCCCGTTATCCCCCCACGCAGGACGAGGAGTTCTACCTGGTGAAGTGGCGCGGGTACCCCTCCTCGGCCAACACCTGGGAGCCGCGGCGCAACCTGCGCTGCCGCGGGCTGCTGCAGCAGCTGCACGCCGACCTGGCGCGGGCGCCGGGCGGGCCGGTGCGGCCGGGCCCCCGCGGGCTGCCGGCGCGCGCCGTGTCCTACCTGGCGCAGAAGGCGGAGCAGCGGCGCGCGCTGCGGCGCTGGGAGCGCCACCTGAACCGCACGCGCAGCCACCGCGGCCGCATCGCCGTGGAGAACGAGGTGGACCTGCACGGGCCGCCGCGCGACTTCGTCTACGTCAACGAGTACAAGGTGGGCGCGGGCGTGGCGCTGACCCCCGTGGCGGCCGGCTGCGAGTGCCGCGACTGCCTGGCCGAGGCCACGCTGGCCGGCGGCTGCTGCCCCGGCGCCTCGCGCAACAGGTTCGCCTACAACGAGGCCGGGCAGGTGCGCATCCGGGCGGGGCTGCCCATCTACGAGTGCAACTCGCGCTGCCGCTGCGGCGCCGAGTGCCCCAACCGCGTGGTGCAGCGCGGCATCCGCTACGACCTGTGCATCTTCCGCACCGGCGACGGGCGCGGCTGGGGCGTGCGCACGCTGCAGCGCATCCGCAAGAACTCCTTCGTCATGGAGTACGTGGGCGAGGTGAGTGTGCAGGTGTGGTACAGGTGTGATACAGGTGTGTGTGACACGGTACAGGTGTGATACAGGTGTGTGTGACACGGTACAGGTGTGACACAGGTGTGTGTGACACAGTACAGGTGTGTGACAGGGCGTGCGCACGCTGCAGCGCATCCGCAAGAACTCCTTCGTCATGGAGTACGTGGGCGAGGTGAGTGCACAGGTGTGATACAGGTGTGGTACAGGTGTGTGTGACACAGGTGTGTGTGACACAGGTGTGTGTGACACAGTACAGGTGTGTGACAGGGCGTGCGCACACTGCAGCGCATCCGCAAGAACTCCTTCGTCATGGAGTACGTGGGCGAGGTGAGTGTGACAGGTGTGGTACAGGTGTGTGTGACACAGGTGTGTGTGACATGGTACAGGTGTGATACAGGTGTGTGTGACACAGGTGTGACACAGTACAGGTGTGTGACAGGTGTGTGTGACATGGTACAGGTGTGATACAGGTGTGTTCCAGGTGTGACATGGTGCAGATGTGAGGCGGTACAGGTGTGCCCCAGGTGTGCGGGGTGGTTCAGGTGTGCCCCAGGTGTGACATGCTCCGGGTGTGCCCCAGGTGTGCGGGGTGGTTCAGGTGTGCCCCAGGTGTGACATGGTGCAGATGTGAGGCAGTACAGGTGTGCCCCAGGTGTGCGGGGTGGTTCAGGTGTGCCCCAGGTGTGACAGGTGTGTCCCTGCCGCAGATCATCACCTCGGAGGAGGCGGAGCGCCGCGGACAGGTGTACGACCGCCAGGGCGCCACGTACCTGTTCGACCTGGACTACGTGGAGGACGTGTACACCGTGGACGCCGCCCACTACGGCAACATCTCGCACTTTGTCAACCACAGCGTGAGTGCGGTTACCTGGCTCAGGTGGGCTTACCTGCCCACAGGTGGGGATTTAGCTGGGCTCAGGTGTGGGTTTTCCTGCCCACAGATGGGGATTTAGCTGGGCTCAGGTGTGGGCTTACCTGCCTTGTGGGTGGAGCTTCCAGCACCTCTTCCCGCAGGTGTGGGTGTGTCTCAGGTGTTGGGGGGGGTCAGGTGCTGGGGCTGGGGCTCACCTGCCGGGCGGGGCAGTGTGACCCCAACCTGCAGGTGTACAACGTGTTCATCGAGAACCTGGACCAGCGCCTGCCCCGCATCGCTCTGTTCGCCACGCGGCCCATCCGGGCAGGGGAGGAGCTCACCTTCGACTACAACATGCACGGTACCTGCTGCACACCTGGCACACACCTGTACCTGCCACACCTGTACCTGCCACACACCTGTACCTGCCACACCTGTACCTGCCACACACCTGTACCTGCCACACCTGGCACACACCTGTACCTGCCACACACCTGTACCTGCCACATCTGGCACACACCTGTCCCTGGCACACACCTGTACCTGCCACACCTGACCCTGGCAGACACCTGTACCTGGCACACCTGGCACACACCTGTACCTGGCACACACCTGTACCTGCCACACCTGGCACACACCTGTACCTGCCACACACCTGTGCAGGGTCACACCTGGAGGGTTCCTGGTCACACCTGGGGGAGTCAGAGGCACACCTGGGGGCTCCTGGTCACACCTGGGTGGGTCCAGGCCATACCTGGGGGGGTCAGGGCCACACCTGAGCAGGGCAGGGTCACACCTGGAGGGTTCCTGGTCACACCTGGGGGAGTCAGAGGCACACCTGGGGGTTCCTGGTCACACCTGGGGGAGTCAGAGGCACACCTGGGGGTTCCTGGTCACACCTGGGGGTTCCTGGTCACACCTGGGGGCGTGCAGCCGTACCTGGGCGCTGCCAGGTGTCGCTGAGCGCACCTTTCCCCGCAGTGGACCCCGTGGACGCCGAGAGCACCCGCATGGACTCCAACTTCGGGCTGGTGGGGGGGTCCCTGGGGGGCTCCCCCCGCGCCCGCGGCCGCATCGAGTGCAAGTGCGGGGCGGCCTCGTGCCGCAAGTACCTGTTCTGAAACACCTGGGCCCACCTGGGCCACACCCACCGCACACCTGGGCCACGCCTCCACTGCCGCCAGCAGCGCCCCGGGGGGGTTGGGCTGTTCTGAGGGGTTCTGGGGGGCTCCAGTGAGGTTTTGGGCATCCAGGTGGGGTTTTGAGGGGATCCAGGTGGGGTTTTGGGGGGATCCAGGTGGGGTTTTGGGGCTCCAGGTGGGGTTTTGGGGCTCCAGGTGGGGTTCTGGGGGGCCACACGATGACAACACCTGTGGAGTTGTTCGCGGCCAAGCTGGGGAGGTTTTAGGGGGTGTCCAGGTGGGTTTTGGGGGGGTCTGAGGGGTTTTTGGGGATCCAGGAGTGCTGGGGGTGCCACACAATGACCTGGGGCAGTTTTGGGGTGGTCCAAGAGGGGATTTGGGGAGGTTTGGGGGGGTCTCAGGATTTTGGGGAGGGTCTGGAAGGTTTGGGGGAGTTTTGGGGTCACACGTCAAGGACCAGACTGGGTGGATCGAGGGGAATTTTGGGGGAGTTTTGGGGTATTTGGGGGGAATATCAGGGTGGTTTTCGGAAGGAGTTTGGGGAAGGTTTTGGGGGGATTTTGGGATGGGTTTTGGGGTTTTTGGGAAGGGTTTTGGGGGATTTTGGCACCACACAACACCTGCACAACTCGCCGCACTTGAATTCCAGGGAGGGGCGTTTTGGGGTATTTTTGGGAAAATTCCAGAGTAGGGTTTGGGAGGTTTTGGAGATGGTTTGGGGAAGGGTTTTGGGCAGGATTTTGGGGTATTTTGGGCAGGATTTTGGGGTATTTTGGGCAGGATTTTGGAGTGTTTTGGTGCCGCACGCCAGCCACAAAACTCGCCGCACACCGAGGCCGCAGCGGGGCAGTTTTTGGGGTATTTCCAGGCAGATTTTGGGGTTTCCCGCGGGGATTTGGGGGTTTTGGGGCGCTCAGGCGTGCTGGCGGCGCCAGACGATGACGGTGCCGGCGGCGTCCCCCGAGGCCAGCAGGGACTCGTCGCAGTTGAAGGCCACGGCCAGCACGGCGGCCCCGTGGCCCTGCAGCGTGTTCACCGTGGCGCGCGCCGCACGGCCCACGTCGAAAAAGTGCACGGAGGCGTCCTCGCTGCCCGTCACTGGTGGGGACATGGGGACATTGGGGACATCAGGGACATCAGGGACAAGGATAAGGGATGGCACCCCACTGCTCTCCTCGCTGCCCGTCACTGGTGGGGACATCGGGGACATGGGGACATCAGGGACATCAGGGACAAGGATAAGGGATGGCACCCGACTGCTCTCCTCGCTGCCCGTCACTGGTGGGGACATTTGGGACATTGGGGACAGGGATAAGGGATGGCACCCCACTGCTCTTCCTGTTGCCCGTCACTGGTGGGGACATGGGGACATCAGGGACATTTGGGGACACTGGGGACAAGGATAAGGGATGGCACCCAAGTGCTCTCCTCGCTGCCCATCACTGGGGGAGACACTGGGGACATCGGGGACAGGGATAAGGGATGGCACCCAAGTGCTCTCCTCGCTGCCTGTCCCTGGTGGGGACATCGGGGACATTGGGGACATCAGGGACATCAGGGACAGGGCTGGGAAATGTCATCCTATTGACTCCCTCGCTGCCTGTCCCTGGTGGGGACATCAGGGACATTTGGGGACACTGGGGACAAGGATAAGGGATGGCACCCAACTGCTCTTCCCACTACCTGTCACTGGTGGGGACATCAGGGACATCGGGGACAGGGATAAGGGATGGCATCCAAGTGCTCTCCTCGCTGCCCGTCCCTGGTGGGGACATTTGGGGACACCGGGGACAGGGCTGGGCAATGCAATCCCAAATGCCCTCATTGCTGCTCGTCATTGTTGGGGACACTGAGGATAGAGATCGGGGGTGGGACCCCACTGCCCTCCCTGAGGGGACATTGGGGACGTTGGGGACAGGGTTGGGGGTGTGATTTTAGCGCCTCCCTGGCTGCCCTTCGCTGTTGGGGACAACAAGGACAGCTGTGACCCCACTGCCCTCTGTGCTGCCTGTCACTGCCTGGGGACAGGGCTGGGGGGGTGGCTGTCCCTGCACCACCCCAGTCCCTCCCAGTTTGTCCCAGTTTGTCCCAGTCCCCCCCAGTCCCTCCCAGTGCCCCCAGTGCTCACCCACGCAGGCTCCCTGCCGGAAGGACATCAGGGGGCAGAAGCAGCTCCTCAGGGGCTGCTCCCGGTGCCGCGTGGGGAAACTGCGCCGGAGCCGCAGCCCCGGGGCCCCCGAGCCCCCCTCGTCCTCCACCACCCTGGGGAGGGGTAAAAGGGCTCAGAAACACCCAAAAAAACACCCCAAAAATCCTCAAGTCCCCCTCATCCTCCATCACCCTGGGGAGGGGTAAAAGGGGTCAGAAACACCCAAAAATTACCCCAGAAACTGCCCCTAAAATCCTCCTGAGACCCCCTTGTCCTCCACCACTTCAAGGGATCAAAAAAGGGGCCACAAATACCCAAAAATCACCCCAAAAACTGCCCCTAAAATCCCCCTGAATCCTCCACCACCCTGGGGTGTGGAGGGGGGGAAAAAAGGATCAGAAACACCCAAAAATCACCGAAAAAACCTCCCCCAATGTTCCCCCATAGCAGAAGGACAGCAGGTGGTCGGGTTCACCCCAAATCCCTGAAGAATCCCTCATGTCCCCAAGGGCCCTTCGATGTCCCCAAGGCCCCCGTGATGTCCCCAAGGACCCTTCGATGTCCCCAAGGACCCTTTGATGTCCCCAAAGCCCCCCTGTCCCCCCCCAAATGTCCCCCTGGTACCACAAGAGGAGGGACAGGCATTGATCAGCAGGGACGGCTCTGGTTCACCCCAAACCCCCCAATCCCCTGAAGCCCCCCGATGTCCCCCCGATGTCCCCAGTGTCCCCCCGATGTCCCCAGTGTCCCCCAAGCCCCCCGATGTCCCCAAGCCCCCCATCGTACCGGAAGAGCAGCAGGCGGTCGGGGCAGGCGTTGACCAGCAGCGACGGGTCCGGCGCCTCCCGGCTGGCCCAGGCCCGCGCCGAGAGCGACGTGATGGCGCCGCCGGCCTGGACCAGCACCCGCGAGGCCTTGGTCAGCCGGCCTGGGGGTGGGGGCAGGGAGTGAGACCCCCCAAAATCCCACAGTGCCCCCCAGTACTGCCCAGTGCCCCCCAGTGCCTCCCAGTGTCACCCCAGTGCCTCCCAGTACTGCCCAGTGTCACCCCAGTGCCCCCCAGTACCACCCCAGTGCCCCCCAGTACTGCCCAGTGTCACCCCAGTGCCCCCCAGTACCACCCCAGTGCCCCCCAGTACCACCCCAGTGCCTCCCAGTGCCTCCCAGTGGCACCTGGACCTGCATCCCTGAGGCCTTGGTCAGCCGGCCTGTGGGGGTGGGATGTGGGACACTCCCCCAAAACCCCCCCAGTCCCCTCCCAGTGTCCCCCAGTGCCCTCCCAGTGCCCCCCAGTGCCCCCCAATCCCCTCCCAGTCCCCCCCAGTGCCCCCCAATCCCCTCCCAGTCCCTCCCAGTCCCTCCCAGTGCCCCCCAATCCCCTCCCAGTCCCCCCAGTGCCCCCCAATCCCCTCCCAGTCCCCCCCAGTCCCCCCAGTGCCGTACCGGTGCCGGGGTCGCACAGGAACGAGGACACCGAGCCCCGGTCGTCCCCGGCCCACAGGACGCGCCCGGGGGCGTCGAAGCAGAGCGAGAGAACCTGTCCCGGGAGGCGCCCGGTGCCCCCCCGAGCCGCCTTCCCCGTGGAGATGTTCACCACCCGCACCATGTGCCGGGCACTGCCCACCTGGGGGGCACAGAGGGGCTGGGGGGGCACCCTGGGACCCCCACACCCACCCTGGGACCCCCACACCCACCCTGGGACCCCACACCCACCCTGGGACCCCCACACCCACCCTGAGACCCCCAAACCTGCCTGAGACCCTCAAACCCACCCTGAACCCCCCAAAATCCCCACCACAAGACCCCCAAACCCACTCTGAGACCCCCAAAATCCCCACCACGAGACCCCAAAAAACCCCCCCGAGACCCCAAAACCCCCCGAGCCGCCTTCCCCACGGAGACGTTCACCCCCCGCACCAGGGGTGGGTCTGGGGGGATGTTTGGGGGTCTCAGGGGGGTTATTCAGGGCTGTGATGTTTTGGGATGATTTTGGGGTGATTTTAGGGTATTTTGGGGTTTCCCTCACCACGGTCAGGTTGTTGTTGAGCGGCTGGAAGGCGCAGCACAGCAGCGCGGGGATGGGTTTGGGGGTCTCTCAGCAGTGTAGGGTTTTGGGATGATTTTGGGATGATTTTGGGGTGATTTTAGGATGATTTTAGGGTTTCTCTCACCACAGTCAGGTTGTTGTTCAGCGGCTGGAAGGCGCAGCACAGCAGCGCAGGGATAGGTTTGGGGGTCCCAGGGGGGTTACTCAGGGCTGTGATGTTTTGGGATATTTTGGGGTGATTTTGGGGTGATTTCAGGGTATTTCAGGGTTTCTCTCACCACGGTCAGGTTATTATTCAGTGGCTGGAAGGCGCAGCACAGCAGCGCGGGGATGGGTTTGGGGGGATGTTTGGGGGTCTCAGGGGGGTTACTCAGGGCTGTGATGTTTTGGGGTGATTTTGGGGTGATTTTGGGGTGATTTCAGGGTATTTTGGGATTTCTCTCACCACGGTGAGGTTGTTGTTCAGCGGCTGGAAGGCGCAGCACAGCAGCGCGGGGATGGGTTTGAGGGGATGTTTGGGGGTCTCAGGGGGGTTACTCAGAGCTGTGATATTTTGGGATGATTTTGGGATGATTTTGGGGTGATTTCAGGGTATTTTGGGGTTTCTCTCACCACGGTCAGGTTGTTGTTCAGCGGCTGGAAGGCGCAGCACAGCAGCGCAGGGCTGGGTTTGGGGGGATGTTTGGGGGTCTCTCAGCACTGCAGGGTTTTGGGGTGATTTTGGGGTGATTTCAGGGTATTTCAGGGTTTCTCTCACCACGGTCAGGTTGTTGTTGAGCGGCTGGAAGGCGCAGCACAGCAGCGCGGGGATGGGTTTGAGGGGATGTTTGGGGGTCCCAGGGGGGTTACTCAGGGCTGTGATGTTTTGGGGTGATTTTGGGATGGTTTTGGGATAGTTTTAGGGTATTTTGGGGTTTCTCTCACCACAGTCAGGTTGTTGTTCAGCGGCTGGAAGGCGCAGCCCAGCAGCGCGGGGCTGGGTTTGAGGGGATGTTTGGGGGTCTCTCAGCAGTGTAGGGTTTTGGGGTGATTTTGGGATATTTTGGGGTATTTAGGATGATTTTAGGGTTTCTCTCACCACAGTCAGGTTGTTGTTGAGCGGCTGGAAGGCGCAGCACAGCAGCGCGGCGCCGTCGGGGTCGGGCACGCGGCGGATGCAGCGCCCGTCCGAGGGGTCCCAGAGGCGCAGGGTCCCGTCCAGCGAGGCCGACACCAGCACGTCGTTGGACAGGGACCAGGCGAAGTCGGAGACGCCGCCGCCGTGGCCGCGCAGCCGCCGCAGCACCGCCGGGGGCCCCGGGGCCAGGCGGCACACCGAGAGCGTCCCGTCCAGCGAGCAGCACGCCAGGAGGTGCCGCTCGTCGTGGGCGAACTGCACCTTCCGCACTGGGCAGGGGGAATGAGACCCCTCCTCAAAATTCCGTAGGGTCGGGGGCCACCCAGAACAAACACATCACCCCCAGAGCGAGAGGAACCCCCAAACTCAGCCACTCAAAACCCCAAAAGTGCCGCTCGGCGTGGGCAAACTGCACCTTCCGCACTGGGCAGGGGGAAAAGGGGGCGGGTGAGACCCCTCCCCAAAATTCCATAGGATCAGGAGCCCCCCCCAGAGCCAGGGAAGACCCCTAGAACATGGGGGAGCCCCCCGACCCACCCAGCAGGTGCTGCTTGTGGTGGGCAAACTGCACCTTCTGCACTGGGGAGGGGGATGGGGGAAAGGTGACACCCCAAAATCCCCACAGAGGGAGGAACCCCCACAGACCCCCTTACGGACCCCTCCCCACCCTTCTCATGGAAACCCCCACTCCTACCCCCCCAGGGACCCCCAGGGGACACCTGAGACCCCCCACAGCACACCTGAGACCCCCCAGGCCCCCCCAGAACACACCTGAGACCCCCCAGGCCCCCACAGAACACACCTGAGACCCTCCAGACCTCTCCCTACCCCTTCCTATGAAAACTCCCCCCTTCCTACTCCCTCAGGGACCCCCCAAGGAGTACCTGAGACCCCCCCGGGCACACCTGAGCCCCCCCCGGGCTCACCTGCGCTGTCCAGGTGTTGGTCGAACACGTGGAACACCCCCGCGAAGGCGTAGTTCTCGCTCAGGGTGGTGTCCCCGGCCATGGCCCGGCTGGCCTCGGCCAGGGGGGTGGGCACCACCCCGGGGGGGCTGCGGGGGGGGGGGGCAGCGTGAGACCCCCGCCCCGGATCGATCTGAACCCCCCGGGACCCCCCGAGCCCACCCGGCACCCCCCCCCGTTCCCTGCAATGGTTTCGTCCAGGGGAACGGGGGTCCCCATGGGAGGGAGGGGCAGTGGGAGACCCCCCCCCCCATCAGGACTCTGAGACCCCCCCAAAACCCTGAGACCCCCCCCAGGTACCCCCTGACCCCCCCAGGTACCCCCTGACCCCCCTAGTACCGATTGGCACCCTCCAAACCCCCCCATCCCCCACAATGGTTTCGCCCACAGGTGCGCAGCCCCCCCCAGGGATGGATGGGGGAGGGGGCGGCACCTGGAGACCCCCCCAAAACACCGAGACCCCCCCAAAACACCGAGACCCCCCCAAAAAAACCCACAACCCCCTGAGACCCCTCCCCAAAACCCCCAGGAGCCCAAAACCTCCCCCGGCCCCTTCAAAACCCCCCAGGACCCCCCCCCCCCAAAAAAATGTGTCCCCAGCAACCTGAGACCCCCCAAAAATCCCCAAATCCTCCCAAAATCCCCCCGGGGGTCTCACCGCTCGTCGGGGCCCCCCCGCAGCCCCCCCGGGCCGGAGCTGCGGCTGAGGGAGCGCCGGTGGCCCCGGGACCCCCGCGGGTCCTCCTCGAAATCCTGGGGGGAAAAGGGTTGGGACCCCCGAATTGGGGATGGGAAACCCAAAAATGGGGATGGGAAACCCAAAAATGGGGGTGGGAAACCCAAAAATGGGGGTGGGAAACCAAAAAATGGGGGTGGGAAACCCAAAAATGGGGGTGGGAAACCCGAAAATGGGAACGGGAAACCCAAAAATGGGGGTGGGAAACCCGAAAATGGGGATGGGAAACCCAAAAATGGGGGTGGGAAACCCAAAAATGGGAATGGGAAACCCAAAAATGGGGGTGGAGTCCCCAAAATTGGGGGCACGAACGCCCCAGAACCGCCAAAATAGGGGAGGGGTCCCCTCAAATCTCCCCAAAATTGGTGCTGGGACTCCCAGACCCCCCCCAGAGGAATTTTGGGTTTGTGCAGCGCCCCCCAGGTGTGTCCTGAGCCCCATGTACCTGCCCCAGGTGTGCCCCAAACCCCTCCAGGTGTGCCCAGGTATATACAGGTGTACTCAGGTGTGCCCAGGCGTACCCCAGGTGTGCTCCAGGTATGCCCTAAACCCCTCCAGGTGTGCCCAGGTGTGCCCCAGGTGTGCCCAGGTGTGCCCCAAACCCTGCCAGGTGTACTCAGGTGCACCCAGATGTACTCAGGTGTATCCCAGGTGTGCCCAGGTGTACCCCAGTTGTATCCCAGGTATGCCCAGCTGTGCCCAGGTGTGCCCAGGTGTACCCAGGTGTGCCCCAAACCCCTCCAGGTGTACCCAGGTGTGCCCAGGTGTGCCCAGGTACCTCCATGCGGTCCAGCGTGGTGCGGCTGGCCCTCAGGGCGCTGCGGCAGCTGCCCCAGGTGTGCCCAGGTGTGCCCCAAACCCTGCCAGGTGTACCCAGGTGCACCCAAGTGTACTCAGGTGTATCCCAGTTGTACCCCAGGTGTACCTAGGTGTGCCCAGGTGTGCCCCCAGGTGTGCCCCAGGTGTGCCCAGGTGTACCCAGGTGTGCCCAGGTGTGCCCGGGTGTGCCCAGGTGTGCCCAGGTACCTCCATGCGGTCCAGCGTGGTCCGGCTGGCCCTCAGGGCGCTGCGGCAGCTGCCGGGCTCGGACAGGGCGCCGTAGCGCTGCGCCAGGAGCCGCGCCCGCAGCCGCAGGTACCAGCGCCGCGCCTCCCCCGCCAGGTGCCCGCCCTGCGCCCGCTCCCGCAGCAGCTGCGAGCGCCGCCGCACGTACTGCGTGCGGAACTGCGGCAGCTGCGGCGTGCGGTACGCCGCGTACCTGCCAGGTGAGAGAGGGGGTTAGTGCTACCCAAAATCAGAGACATTCCACCCAAAATCAGAGAAATTCCACCCAAAACCAGACCCAGGCGTGCGGAACTGCGGCAGCTGCGGCGTGCGGTACGCCGCGTACCTGCCAGGTGAGAAACGGGGTTAGTGGTACCCAAAATCACAGAAATTCCACCCAAAAACAGACCCAGGCGTGCGGAACTGCGGCAGCTGCGGCGTGCGGTACGCCGCGTACCTGCCAGGTGAGGACAGGTGAGACAGGGGGTTAGTGCTACCCAAAATCACAGAAATTTCACCCAAAATCAGAGAAATTCCACCCAAAACCACACCCAGGTGTGCAGAACTGCGATGGGTGGTACCTGCCGGGTGAGAAATGGGGTTAGTGCTACCCAAAACCAGAGAAATTCCACCCAAAACCAGACCCAGGTGTGCAGAGCTGCGGTATGAGGTACGCCGTGTACCTGCCGGGTGAGAAATGGGGTTAATTCTACCCAAAATCAGAGAAATTCCAACCAAAAATAAACCCAGGTGTGCAGAACTGTGGTATGCGATTCGCCGTGTACCTGCACAGGTGGAACAGGAGACACAGCTGAGATACAGGTGAGAGACAGGTGGGAAATGGGGTAAATGCTACCCAAAATCAGAGAAATTCCACCCAAAATTAGTCCCAGGTGTGCAGAACTGCAGCACCTGTGGGGTGCGTTACGCTGCGCACCTGGGACAGGTAAGACAAGTGAGGGACAGGTGAGAAATAGGTTTAATTCGACAGAAAATCAGAGAAATTCCACCCAAAAGTGGACCCAGGGATGCGGAACTGGGTGTGGCGGGCCACACATCTGGGACAGGCGACACAGGTGAGAATTGGGGTTAATTCTTACCCAAAACCACACAAATTCCACCCAAAAATGGCCCAGCGGTGACAATCCCCCAAAAAGGTGCCCCGAGTACCTCCAAAATTCCGCATCCAGGTAGGAGCATCCCCCTCCCTAAAAAATCCCCCCCAGGTCTCCAAAATCCTCCCCAGAAACACCCCCCGAGCTCACCGCGCGTCCACGGCGAGCACCTGCTGCCACACGGCGGCCATGGCGGCCGCGGCCGCCGCGGGGGGACCCTGCCGAGGGAACAACGGCGTGAGCTGAGGGATAAAACGGGGAAAAAAGGGGGGAAAATACCGGGAAAAGCGCACCGGGGCGGCCCTACCTGCGCGTCCCGCTCCACCTCCGCCTCAGGAGCTCCGCGGGGCCGGGGCTGGGCCGGGGAGCGCCGCTGGGCCTGACCGGAAGTTGCCGCGGCACCGCCTCACGCCCAAATGGCGGCGAGCGTCGCCCTGGAGACGGAGGGCGGAGGGAGGGGGCGTGGTCTTTGATGTGATTGGTTGGGTTTGGGAAATGGGGCGTGGCTTTCGGGCTCGCCGATGAATCCCGCCTTTCAGGAGCGCACGCTGATTGGCTGGTCACACAAAAGGGGCGTGGCGAACGCGCGGCCGCTCCGCCCGGCGCCTCTCGTCTGCCCCGGGTCCTCCCGCCCGCCGAGTTTGCGACAAGGCAGCGGGACGAGCGCTGCGCTTTACGGCAGCGGGCCGGGGGTCCCGGAGGGTCCCCAGAGCGTTTTGGGGGGACCCCGGGGGGGTCCCGGTGCCTCCGGGGCGGCTCCGTGAGCACCGAATCCCCCCCCGCGCCCTCCTTTGTGCCGCTGCTCGGAGCGCGCCTCGCTTGACGGCGGGTTGTACGACAGTCTCAGGGGCGTGCGGCGCGCTTTACGGCAGCGCGCCGGCACCGCGGCCGGGGAGATTTTGGGGGTCCCGGGGGGGTTTGGGGGGTCCCGGAGGGTCCCGGGGGGGGCGGGGGTCGGTGCCCCCCCCGAGGATGCCGCTGGCCGTGCAGTGGCCGTTCCCCGCGGAGCCGTCGCGGCGCTGGGCCCTGGCGAGCCGCGTGGTCACGGGCCTGGTGGGCACCTACAGCTGCGTGTGGACCCGTGAGTGACCCCCCAAAATTCAATTCTGGGGTTCTGAGGGGAAAATCCCCCCCAAACCCCGGCTCTGAGGGGAAAATCGCCCCCAAATCCCGGCTCGGAGGGAAAATCCCCCCCAAATCCCGGCTCGGAGGGAAAATCCCCCCCAAAAATTCAATTCTGGGGTTCTGAGGGGAAAACCCCCCCCAAATCCCGGCTCTGAGGGGAGACCCCCCCCAAATTCTGGGGTTCTGAGGGGGAACCCCACCAAATCACATCTGGACCCCCCCGTCACCCCCAGACCCTCCCAGTCCAATTTTGGGGGGCGGGTCTCGTCTCATCCCTTTCATCATTGCAGACCCCCCCTCCCCCAATAGGTTTGGGACCCCCCCCAAAATCCTTTCAGATCCTCGGGACCCCTCTCCCTCCAAAGTATATTTGAGACCCCTCCCCAAACAGCTCTGGGGACCCCCAGCTCCTTTGGGACCCCCCAAAACTCTTCAGACCCCCCAAATTCCTCCTTCAATCTTTTAGGACCCTCTGAGAACCCCCAGAACTCTTCAGACCCCCCCCAAATTTATTTTTCAGCTCTTTAAGACCCCCCAAACTTTTCAAACCCCCTCTTTACGCCCTTGGGACCCTCCTGAACCTCCCCAAGCCCTTTAAAACCCCTCGAGGACCCCCCAAACCCCCCGGGACCCCTCCCCAGGGTACCTGAACCGGCTGCGGGTGCACAACGCGGAGGTGCTGCACGAGCTGGTGGAGAGGAGGGGGCCCGGGACCCCCCTGCTGACCCTGTCCAACCACGCCTCCTGCATGGACGACCCCCACCTCTGGGGTACCCGGGGGGGGTTTGGGGGGGTCCCGGGTGGGTCTCACTGGGGTTTGGGGGGTCTCAGGGGGGTTTGGGGGCTCCTTTGGGGGTCCCAAGGGGTCTTTGGGGGGTCCCAGAGCGGTCTCAGGGGGATTTGGGGGGTCCCAGGGGGGCTGGATGGTGTTTGGGGGGGGTCTCAGGGGGGTTTTAGGGGGTCTGAAGGGTTTTGGGGGGTCCCAGGGGGGCTGGATGGTGTTGGGGGGCTCTCAGGGGGGTTTTGGGGGTCCCAGAGCGTCCTAAAGGGGGCTGGGGGAGGGGTTTTGGGGGGGTTTAAAGGGTTTTGGGGGGGTTTAAAGGGTTTTGGGGGGGTTTAAAGGGTTTTGGGGGGGTTTCAGGGGGTCCTACGGGGGCTGGGGGGGCGTTGGGGGGGTCTGGAGGGCTTTGGGGGGTTTCAGGGGGTTTGGGGAGTCCCCAGGGGGTCCTAAAGAGGTCAAAGGAGAAATTTGGGGGGGGTCCTGGGTGGCCTTTGGGTGTCCTCGAGCTGTCTGGGGAATTTGGGGAGTCTGAAGGGTTTTGGGGGGGATCCCTGGGGGTTTTTGGGGGTCCCCGTGACCCCTGTGACCCCCCCCAGGGTCCCTGAAGCTGCGACACGTCTGGAACCTGCCCAGGATGCGCTGGTAGGGGGATGTGGGGGGATTTGGGGGGTCCTGGGGGGGATTTGGGGGCCCAGGATGGGGATTTGGGGATCCTGGGGGGGGATTTGGGGATCCTGGGGGGGGATTTGGGGGTCCTGGTGGGGATTTGGGGGTCCTGGGTGGGGATTTGGGGGGTCCTGGGGGGGGGTTTGGGGGTCCTGGGGGGGGGATTTGGGGGTCCTGGGGGGGGATTTGGGGTGTCCCCGGGGCCGTTTGGGGGTCCCAGCGCCCCTCTCCCCATTTCCCCCCAGGACCCCCACGGCCGCCGACATTTGCTTCACGCGGGAGCTGCACGCGCTCTTCTTCAGCCTCGGGCGCTGCGTGCCCGTCTGCCGCGGTAACTGGGCAAACTGGGAGCACTGGGAGGGACTGGGAGGGACTGGGGGGCACTGGGACCGAACTGGGATGGACTGGGGGCGCTGCGTGCCCATGTGCCGTGGTAACTGGGCAAACTGGGAGCACTGGGAGGGACTGGGGGGCACTGGGACCAAACTGGGAGCACTGGGGGGGAACTGGGACCAAACTGGGAGCAACTGGGAAGGAATTGGGAGGGACTTGGAGGAACTGGGAGGGGATTGGGGGGGACTGAGATGGAACTGGTTTATACTGGGAGGGACTGGAAGCACTGGGAAGGACTGGGAGAGACTGAGGCGGGAACTGGGATCAAACTGGGATGGACTGGGAGGGAAGTGGGAATGGACTGGAGAGAACTGGGAGGGACTAGGATGGAACTGGTTTATACTGGGAGGGACTGGGAGCACTGGGAAGGACTGGGAGAGACTGGGGGGGGACCTGGATCAAACTGGGATGGACTGGGAGGGAAGTGGGAATGGACTGGAATCAAACTGGGAGGGAACTGGGAGCACTGGGAGGGACTGGGCTGCTTTTAATCTGTACTGGGGGGCACTGGGTCATTCCCAGTCCATACTGGGAAGGTCCCAGTTCCGAACTGGTGCCGCAGGGGACGGCGTTTACCAGCGGGGAATGGATTTTATCCTGGAAAAGCTCAACCAGGGAGACTGGGTGCACGTGTTCCCCGAGGGTACTGGGAGCACTGGGAGGCACTGGGAGGCACTGGGAGGGACTGGGAGGGACTGGGAGGCACTGGGAGAGAACTGGGAAGGGACTGGGGGCATTGGGAGGGATCTTGGGGGGAATTTGGGGGTCCCTGTCGGGGATCTTGGGGTCCCTGGTGGGATTTTGGGGGTCCCTGGGGGGTTTTGGGGGTCCCTGAGGGGGAATTTGTGGATTCTTGGGGGATTTTGGGCATCCCTGGTGGGATTTTGGGGGTCCCTGGTGGGATTTTGGGGGTCCTGGGGGGATTCTGGGATTCCTGAGCAGGAATTTGGGGTCCCTGAGGGGGATTTTGGGGGGTTTTAGGAGATTTTGGGGGTCTTTGGTGGGGGTTTTGGGGTCCTTGGAGGGATTTTGGGGGTCCCTGAGGGGGATTTTGGGGATTCCTGGGGGATTTTGGGGGTCCCTGGTGGGAGTTTTGAGTTCCCTCGGGGGATTTTGGGGGTCCTTGGGGGGTCTTTGGGGTCCCTGGGGGGAATTTTGGGGGTCCCGACCCACCCCAGCCCCATTTCCTCCCCCCAGGTAAAGTGAACCTGGGCCAGGAGGTCGCTCGCTTCAAGTGGGGTGAGACCCCCCAAAAAAACCCTCAAAACCCCCCGGGATCCCCCAAAAATCCCAAACCAACCCCAGAGCCCCCCAAAAAAAACCCACTGGGACCCCAAAAATCCCCTCAAACAAATTTAAAATGCCCCAAACCCACCCCAAACTCCCCAAAAAACCTTCTGTGATCCCAAAAATCCCCCCAAAACCCCGAATTCTGCCGCAGATCCCCCCAGAAAACCTCCTAGCACCCCAAAAATCTCCCCAAAAAACCCCAATCCTACCCCAGACCCCCCAAAAACACCCGGAACCCCAAAAATCCCTCCCAACCCTCCCCAAAACACCCTAATCCCACTCAAGAACCTCCCAAAAGCCCCAAAAATCTTCCCAAAAATCCCCTGAACCCCTCCCAGACCCCTCAGAGCCCCCCAAAACTTCCCCCAAATCCCTCCTGGGGTTCTGAAGACCCCCCCAAAACCCCCCCAATTTCCTTTAGAGCCCCCCCCAAACCCATCCAATCACACTAAACCCCCCCAGGGTTCTGCAGCCCCCCCAAAAATGTCCCTGAACCCCTCCCAGACCCCCCCAAACCCCTTTGAGACCCCCAAATCCCTCCTGGGGTTCCAAATCCCCCCCAAAAATCCCCCAAACCCCTCCAAGACCCCCAAAACTTCCCTCAAATCCCCCCCAAGGGGATCTAAAGACTCCCCCAGACCCCCCCAAACCCCTCCAATCACCCCAAAACCCCCCCTGGGCCACCCTAAACCCCCTCCCCAAATTCCTCCTGGGGTTTCAAATCCCCCCGGGGTTCCAAAATCCCCCCCAAATCCCCCCCAGGCATCGGGCGCCTCCTGGCCGAGTGTCGCCGGGACCCCGTCATCCTCCCGCTGTGGCACGGGGGTGAGGGGGATTTTGGGGGGGTCTGGGGGGGTCCTGGGGGGTCTTGGGGGGCACAGGAGGGGTCTGGGGGGGGTTTGGGGAAGGGTCTGGGGGGTTTGGGGGCACAGGAAAGGTCCTGAGGGTCACAGGGGAAGATTTTGGGGGGTCCTGGGGGCTCTTGGGGGGCTGGGGGACACTGGGGGGGCTTTTGGGGAGGGGTCTGGGGGGGTCCCAAGGGCATTTTTGGGGTACAGGAAGGATATAGGGGAGAGTGGGGGGAGTTTGAGGGGGTCCCAGAGGAGCTTGGGGGGCACCGAGGGGTTTTGGGGGACTGGGGGGACACTGGGGGGTTTTTGGGGAGGGGTCTTGGGGGTTCTGGGGGACACAGGGGAAGATTTTGGGGGATCCCAGGGGGGGTCTGGGGGGTCCTGGGGGAATTTGGGGGGCTCTGGGGAGGGTTTTGGGGTCTTGACTTGGGGGGGGTCTCAGGGGGATTTTTGGGGGGGGTGTCTTGGTAGGTTTTAGGCTGATTTTGGGGGTTCGCCAAAAGGATTTTGGGGTGACCAGGGATCATGGGGGGGGTCCCCGATATTGGGGGGGGTCCCACAGTTGTGCCCCCCCCTCATTTTGTGCCCTCCCCCCCCAGGGATGAGCGATGTCCTCCCCAACCAGCGGCCCTACGTGCCCCGGGTGGGGCAGGTGAGGGGCCCGGGGGGTTTTTGGGGGGTTTTGGGGGATTTTTGGGGTCTCTGGGGGTTTTGGGGGTCTTAAGGGGATTTCTGGGGTTCCGCAGGGGGTTTTTGGGGTCTCTTCTGGGGATTTCTTGTGGGTCTTTTGGGGCCTGTGATTGGGGTTTCTGGGAGGATTTTTGGGGTCTCTGGAGGGTTTTGGGGGGGTCTTTAGGGGATTTTTGGGGCCTGTGCAAGAAGTTTTGGGGTTTCTGGGAAGATTTTGGGGATTTTAGGATATCTCTGGGGTTTTTGGGGATCTCTGTGGTACTTTTCGGATCACTGGGGATTTTTTTGGGGATCTCTGTGGGATTTTTTTTGGGGTCTCTGAGATTTTTGGGATTTTTATGGGATTCTATTTGGGATCTGTGTGGGATTTTTGGGATTGTTTTGGGGATTTCTATGGGACTGTTTTTGGGAACTCTGGGATTATTTTTGGGATTTCTATGGGATTATTTTTGGGGATCTCTGTGGGATTTTGGGGTCCCTGCTCCCCCTGACCCCGTTCCCCCCCCAGCACATCACGGTGGTCGTGGGGCGCCCGTTCAGCGCTCGGCCCCTCCTGGAGCGGCTGCGCAGCGAGGGGACCCCCACGGTGGGTGAGACCCCCACATTTGGGTGTGGGGCAGGACCCCCAAGTGGGTGTGGGACCCCCAAGTGGGTGTGGGGTGGGACCCCCACATTTGGAGGTTTCTGACCCTGAGATTTGGGGTTTGCCCCATGGATTTGGGGGGGTTCTGACCACGAAATCCCAGCCCCATAAATCCTTACATCCCAGCCCCACAGATCCCCGCCCTGCCCCACAGCTCGGTGGCTCTGCCCCACAGGTGGAGCTCCGCAAGGCCCTGACCGATTTTGTCCAGAGGGAATTCGAGGCTCTGCGGGGCCACGCCCGGACCCTGCACCCCACCCCACAGCGGGGTCCCCCTGCCCCACAGCTGGGGGGTTCTGCCCCGTAGCCGACGGTTCTGACCCAGAACTGAGGGGTTCTGCCCCTTAAGGGGAGATTTTACACCATAATTTGGGGTCTTGCCCCATAACTGGGGAGTCCTGCCCCATAGCAGGGGGTCCCTGGAGGAGTCTCTGCCCCATAGAGGGGGTCCTGCCCCTCACAACCCCCCCAGCTGTGCACGGTGCCAATAAAAGAAGGTAGAACCTCGGGGGTCTCTGGAGAATTTTGGGGGTCCCAGAGGAGATTTTGGGGTCCCAGGAAGAATTTGGGAGGTGCCAGGATGGAATTTGGGGTTTTAGGGGGGAAATTTGGGGGTCCAGGGAGTGAATTTTTGACCCCCAAACCAACCAAGACCCAACCCAAGGTGATTTTATTGAAGCAGAAAAAAGGGGAGGGGTCCCCACTGCCCCCCAAAAACCCCCCTGGGAAGAGGAGGGGGACAAAGGGGGGGTTCAGCCCCCCCAAAATGAGGCCTGGACCCCCCCACAATGAGATTTGGACCCCAAAAATGGCGCCAGAACACCCCCAAAAACAGCGCTGGGGGCGTGGCCTGGTCCCGGGGGGGCGTGGCCTGGTCCCGGGGGCGGGGCCTGGTCCCGGGGGGCGGGGCTTGGGCAGAGCGCGCGGCTTTGGGGGCGTGGCCTGGTCCCGGGGGCGGGGTTTGTAACCGTTGTGGGCGTGGCTTGCAGCTGCTGTGGGCGTGGTCTGGCGTGGCCACGCCCCTCACTCCTCCTTCTTGTCCCGGGGTCCCTCGTGGGCGGCCTGGGGGGACAAAGGGGGTCCCAAGGGGGTTTTGGGGGTCCCAAGGGGGTTTTGGGGTGCACAGGGGGGGTTTGGGGGGGTTCAGGGGGGTCCCAAGGGGGTTTTGGGGGTCCCCAGAGGGATTTTGGGTGGGTTCAGTGGGGACCCAAGGGGGTTTTGGGGTGCCCCCAGAGGAATTTTAGGCAGTTTGAGAGGGGTCTGAAGGTTTTGGGGTACACAGGCGGGGGTTTGGGGGTCCCCAGAGGAATTTTGGGTGGGTTCAGAGGGTCCCAAGGGGGTTTTGGGGTGCACAGGGTTTTTTGGGGCTCCCCTAGAGTTATTCTGGGGGTTCCCCCAGAGTATTTTTTGGAGTATTTTTGAGGTAGTTTTGGCTATTTTGGAGGTTTCCTCAGGGTATTTTTTAGGGTGTTTTTGGGGTTCCCCCAGGGTATTTTTTGGGGTGTTTTTGGGGTGTTTTGGGGGTTCCCCCAGGGTATTTTTGGGGTGTTTTTGGGGTGTTTTGGGGTGTTTTGGGGTACCTGCAGCCTGGCGTGCTCCTCCAGCAGCCGATCGTACTCCCGGGTCAGGCCCTGGGCCTGGCGCCGCATGGCCTGAACCTCGCTCTCGGCCTTCTCCAGGGCTGCGGGATTTTGGGAGATTTTGGGGATTTTTGGGAATTTTGGGAATTTTTACTGACCCCCCCAAACCTCTCCTGACACCCCCAAAAACCCCCTGGACACCCCAAACCCCTCATCGTCCAATTTGTGGGGGGTTCAGGGTCACCACAAATTCTTTTTTTAACACCCTCAGACTCCCCCAAAAATCTCCAAAATCTCCCCAAAATTCCTCTTTCATCCCGAAAATTCCCCCAAAAAATCCCTCTTTAATTCCCCAGACCCCCTAAAATCAAAAAATTCCCCTTTAACCCCCTCAAAATCTCCAAATTCTTCTTTAATTCCTCCAGACCCCACAAAATCCCCCTTTAATCCCCAAAATTCCCCTTTAACCCCCCCAAAAACCCAAAAATTCCCTTTTAATTCCCCCAAAATCTCCAAATTCCCCTTTAACCCCCCAAAATCCCCATAATTCCCCTTTAACCCCCCAAAATCCCCATAATTCCCCTTTACCTCCCCCTAAAATCCCCCTTTAACCCCCCCAGAATGCCCCAAATTCCCCTTTAACCCCCTCAAAATTCCCCTTTAACCCCCCCAAAATCCCAAAAATTCCCTTTTAACCCCCCCAAATCTCCCGAATTTCCCCCTACCCTTCTTGCTGAGCTCCAGCTCCTCCTTCAGCGACTCCACTTTGGCCTTGAGGGTCTCGTTCTCGTCCCGGGTGGGGGACGGGGCCCCCCCAGACTCCTGCAGCTGCTGGGGGGCACAAAAAAAGGGGGTTCAGGGGTTTTGGGAGGGATCTGAGGGGTTAAATCAGGAGTTTTGGGGTTTTATCCTGATTTTTTGAGATTTTTTTGGGGAGGCTTATTCTGATTTTTTTTTTTAAGGGGATCCCAGTTGTTTTTAGGGTTGTTTTTGGCAGATTCCGGGTGTTTCTAGGGTAACCCAGATGTTTTTGGGGATATTTTTAGGGATCCCAGGTGTGTTAAGAGTGTGTTTTAGGGGATCCCAGGTAGTTTTGGGGTTGTTTTCAGGTGCTTTAGGGCTGATTTTTGGGATCCCAGGTGTTTTTTGGTTATTCTCGGGTGCTTTAGGGCTGTTTTTTGGAATTCCAAGTGTTCTAGAGCTGTTTTTTTGGGATCCCAGATGGTTTTGGGGATGCTCTCAGGTCTTTTAGGGCTGGTTTTGGGGATCCCAGATGATTCTGGGGTTGTTTTTTGGGATCCCAGATGATTTTGGGGTTGTTTTTGTGGGATCCCAGATGATTTTGGGGTTGTTCTCAGGTGTTCTAGGGCTGGTTTTTAGGATCCCAGGTGGTTTTGGGGTTGTTTTTTGGGATCCCAGGTTGTTTTGGGGCTGTTTTTTGGGATCCCAGGTGCTTTAGGGCTGTTTTTTTGGGATCCCAGGTGGTTTTGGGGTTGTTTTTTAGGATCCCAGGTGGTTTTGGGGTTGTTTTTTAGGATCCCCGATGGTTTTGGGGCTGTTTTTTAGGATCCCCGATGGGTTTGGGGTTGTTTTTTAGGATCCCCGATGGGTTTGGGGCTGTTTTTTAGGATCCCCGATGGTTTTGGGGCTGTTTTTTAGGATCCCAGGTTGTTTTGGGGCTGTTTTTTAGGATCCCCGATGGGTTTGGGGTTGTTTTTTAGGACCCCCGATGGGTTTGGGGCTGTTCTCAGGTGTTCTAGGGCTGTTTTTTAGGATCCCCAATGGTTTTGGGGCTGTTTTTTAGGATCCCCGATGGTTTTGGGGTTGTTTTTTAGGATCCCCGATGTTTTTGGGGCTGTTTTTTAGGATCCCCGATGGGTTTGGGGCTGTTTTTTAGGATCCCCGATGGGTTTGGGGCTGTTTTTTAGGATCCCCGATGTTTTTGGGGCTGTTCTCAGGTGTTTTGGGGTGGCTGTACCTTCCTGAGGGCGTCGTTGTCCTCCAGGTACTGCCGGGCTGCCTGGCTGGCGCCCTCGGCCTGCTTGCGGAACGCCTGGCTGGAGGCACCCAGGGCGGCCTGCGCCGAGATCAGCGTCACCAGGCGCCTCAGGAGGCTGGGGGGCACAGAAATTGGGGCTCAGGGACCCCCGAAATCCCACTCAGTCCCCCGAAATCCCACTCAGTCCCCCTGAATCCCCCAAATCCCCTCTAAGCCCCCCAGGCCTGGCTGGAGGCACCGAGCACAGCCTGGGCCAAAATCAGCGTCACCAGGTGCCTCAGGAGGCTGAGGGGGCACAAACTGGGGTGAAGGACCCCCAAATCGGAGTGAAAGAGCCCCAAATTTGGGTTAAGCATCCCCCAAAATCCCCATGGATCCCTCAAATCCCCCCGAGCCCCCCAGGCCTGGCTGGAGTCTGCCCTAGGCTGAGATCAGGACAAGGAGATCACCTCCAAACCCCCCAAACTGTGCCTGGGACCCCCCAAATTCCCTTCAGCCCCCCCAGATTCCCTTCAGCCCCCCCAGATCATGCCCAGGACCCCGAAATCTCCCACCAGCCTCACAAGGAGCGCAGCAGAGCAAAGCCAGCCAGGTCCAGCCCCTCCCCACCCACCTGAAACCAGCTCCAGGAGCCCCCAGACTGACTCCAGGACCCCCCAAATTCCCTCCAGCCCCCCCAAATTCCCTCCAGCCCCCCAAAAACCGCCCCCCGGGCTCACAAGGAGAGCAGCAGGGCGAAGCCAGCCAGGTAGAGGTTCCTCTGGGCGCGGAAGAGTTTCATGTGGAAGTGCTCCAGCGCGGCCGGGCTGCTGCCCAGCGCCTCGCGGTCCCCCAGGCTGTACCTACGGGTCTCCCGCAGCGCGTCTGGGGGGACAGGGGGGTCAGGGGGGGGACACACACAGAGACCACCCTGAATCCACCCCCAAATTCACACAGAGACCCCCCAAATCCACCCAGATCCACCCCCAAATTCACACAGAGACCCCCCAAATACACCCAGATCCACCTGGGCACCCCCAGAGACCACCCTGAATCCACCCCCAAATTCACACAGAGACCCCCCCAAATCCACCCAGATCCACCTGGGCACCCCCAGAGACCACCCAGAATCCACACAGAGACCCCCAGAGACCACCCAGAATCACCTCACATCCACACAGAGACCCCCCAAATCCACCCAGAATCCACCTCACATCCACACAGAGACCCCCCAAATCCACCCAGATCCACCTGGGCACCCCCAGAGACCACCCAGAATCACCTCACATGCACACAGAGACCCCTCAAATCCACCCAAAATCCACACAGACACCCCCAGAGACCACCCAGAATCCACCCCCAAATTCACACAGAGACCCCCCAAATCCACCCAGAGATCCCCCAAATCCACCTGGACCCACCCAAATCCATCTGGACCCACTCAGATCCCCCCAGAGCCACCCCAGGTCCACCTGGACACCCCCAGAGCCCCCCCAGATCCACCCAGAGCCACCCCAAATCCACCTGGACACCCCCAGAGCCCCCCCAAACCCACCCAGAGCCCCCAAAATTCCCCCAAAATCCACTCAAAACCCCCAATAGTCCCCCAAAATCCACTCAAAACCCCCAATAGTCCCCCAAAATCTACTCAAAACTCCCCCCAAATTTTCCTCAAAACCCATTCAACTTCCGCCCACACTTCCCCCAAAATCCCCTGAAAATCCTCCAAAATTCCCCCAAAACTCCCCCGAAGTTGCCCCAAAAATCCCCTTTAAACCCCCCAGCACCCACCGAGCAGCAGCAGCACGAGGATGACGATGAGGACGATGAAGAAGGAATTCCCGTAGGACACGGCCAGCCCCACCAGGCGGGAGCGGAAAATCTTCTGCCATCTGCGGGGGGGGGGACACAAATTTGGGACCCCCCAAAACTCCCCAGGACCCCCCAGATTCCAGGGGATACCCCCAGGACCCCCCAAATTCCCTCAGGAAATCCCCAATCCCACAGGACCCTCCCAAAATCCTCCTCCCAACCCTCAGGGACCCCTCCCCATCTTTAGAGGTCCCTCCCCATTTTTAAGGACCCCGCCCCACCTTTAGCGACCCCTCCCCACCTTTAGCGACCCCTCCCCACTTTTGGGGACCCCCTTCCCTCACCTGGCCGGGGACACGAAGGGGACGCAGAGCAGCAGCACCAAAAACACCTCCGCGTACAGGAACGTGGCCACCGCCGTCCACTGCAGGCTCATGGCGGCCTGAAAGGGGCACGGGCATTGATGGGGACCCGGTTTGGGGCACCGGGACCCCCAAAATCCCCTCAGGACCCCCCAAAATCCGCCCCGGGGCCGCCCCCCCCCCACCGCCCTCACCCTCAGGAACGCGACCAGCGGAAGCCACGCCCACACGCTGAGGGAGCGGCCAATCAGAGCGAGAGGCGGGGAACCAGCTGGGTGACGTCACATCTGCCTGCCATTTTCCCCCGCCCCGCCACCCGGGGAAGTTTTAACAATAAATTTACTAATAAATTAAATCAGTCGGGATTAAATCGCTAAAGCGCGTAAAATGAATCACAATTAATTTCGTCATTAGTGAAATTAATGGGATTGAAATAAAGCCGCGCGTCTTTCGTCGTGCAGCCGCTACGCCTCCCCACCCCTTAACGCCAATGGTTTGTCCTTTAACCATAGCCACGCCCCCACCCCCGCCCACAGCCAATCATTGTCCCGCCCTCACAGCTTGTCCCGCCCACGGAATTGATTGACAGCTCTGGACACGTTTATTGCGTTTATTGTGGGGGGGGCCGGGACTCCCCAAATTTTGGGGGGGTTCGTGAGAGGTCTGGGGGGGTCCCAAGGGGGTTTTGGCGTCCAAGGGGGATCCCGAGGGGATTTTGGGGATCCTGGGGGTGTCCCATTGGAATTTTGGGGGTCCTGGAGAGCCCGAAAGGGATTTTGGGGGTCCTGGGGGGGGGTCCCAAAAGGAATTTTGGGGGTCTTGGGGTGTCCCATGGGAATTTCGGGGATCCTGGGGAGGTCCCAAAAGGAATTTTGGGGGTCTTGGGGTGTCCCATGGGAATTTTGGGGATCCTGGGGGGTCCCAAAGGGGATTTTGGGGGTCCTGGGGGGTCCCAAAAGGAATTTTGGGGGTCTTGGGGTGTCCCATGGGAATTTTGGGGGTCCTAGGGATGTCCCATGGGAATTTTGGGGATCCTGGGGGGTCCCAAAAGGAATTTTGAGGGTCTGGGGGGGGTCCCTGGTGAATTTGGGGAGGAAATTTGAGCACCCTGAGGGATTTCGGGGTGGATTTTGGGGTGAATTTTGGGGTTCCAAAGATTCGGGGTGGGTTTGTTTTTTGGGGTGGGGGGGTCTCACCCAGGGGCCCCCCCCAGCAGCAGCAGCCCCAGCAGGACCCCCCCAATCACCCCCAGTGCCACCAGTTGGGCCCGGAGGGGGAGGAGGCGCCCGGGGGGGCTCGGGGGGGGCTCGGGGGGTCCCGCGAAGATTTTGGGGGGTCCCGGGGGGGCTCGGAGCGGCTGCCGGGGCTCCAAACGCAGGGGGCTGTGGGGGGGAGCAGAATTAAGGGGGGATGGAGGGGGTCCCCAAAACCCCCCCGTCCCTCCCCCCCCTCACCTGTCCAGGTGATCCCTCAGAGTGGGGGAGGGGCGCTCCAAAATCTGGGGGGGCAAAGGGGGGGGTGAAGGGGGAAGGTCCCACCCCAAAATAGCTCAAATAACAACTGGACCCCTCCCTCACACCAAAGTGTCAAAAGTGCCCCAAACTCGCCTCAAATTTACTTCAAAATCTGCCCAAAATCACCAAAAAACTCCCTCAAAATGTCTTCACAATTCGATCAAATTCCCCTCCAAATTCTGTCAAAGTTCCCCCAAAATTCCCTCAAAATCCCTCCTAAGATCTGCCCAAAATATCCCCAAAATTCACCCAAAATCTGTCAAAATCTCCCCAAATTCCCTGCAAAATTTGTCCAAAACTTTCTCCAATATCCCCCCAAAATTTCCTTGAAATTCCCCCAAAATTCCCACAAAGCACCACCCAAAATGCCCTCAAAATTCCCTCAAAACCCCTCTTAAAATCCACCCAAAATATCCCCAAATTTCACCCAAAATCCCAATATTTCCTCAAAATTTGCCCAACTCCTGTCAAAATTCCCCACAAAATTTCCCCAAAATTCATTCTAAAATCTCCCCCAAAATTCGTCAAAATTTGCCCAAAAATTCCTCCAAAATCCCCCCAAAATTTCCTCGAAATTCCCACAAAGTCCCCCCCTAAAATACACAGAAAATTTCCTCAGAATCCCCCCCAAATTCCCCCAAATTTCCCCCAATCCCCTCCCCCTCCTCACAGGTTGCCGTGCTCGCGCCCCCTCCCCAAATTCTGGGGGGGCTCCGCCGTTGTTGGGATCATCTGTGGGGGAGAGGGGGGCGCAGAGACCCCCAAAAAATCCTGAGGACCCCCCAAACCCCTCCAAAACCCCCCCAAATTCTCCCAGGACCCCCCCAAAACCCCCCAGGAACCCCCAAACCCCCCAGGGACCCCCAAAATTCCCTCAGGACTCCCACCAGGGACCCCCCCAAACTCCTCTAGGACCCCCCCAGGAGCCCCCAAACAACCCGAGGACTCCCCAGGGACCCCCAAAATTCCCCCAGGACCCCCAAAGCCCCCCAGGGACCCCCCTAAAACCCCCAGGACCCCCCCAGGGACCCCCAAATCTCCCTGGGACCCCCACAAAACCCCCCAGGACACCCCCAGGGACCCCCATTAGGCCTCAGGGACCCCCAAAATTCCCCCAGGACCCCCCAACCCCCCCCGGGACCCCCCCACGGACCCGCGCCCCCCCTCCGCCACCGCCGGGTCTCGAACTCGTAGAATTTCTTCTCGTAGAGTTTTCGGGGGGGCCCTGGGGGGGGGCACGGGGTCAGCCCAGGGCTCCCAGTTCAAACCAGTTACCCCTCCCAGTCCCTCCCAGTCATCCCCAGCCTCTGCCAGTGCTCTCAGTCCAAACCAGTGTCCCCAGTTACCCCTCCCAGTGCAAACCAGTGCTCCCAGTTACCCCTCCCATTCCCTCCCAGTACCCCCATTCCCCTCCCAGTACTCTCCCTGTCCCCCCAGTGTCCCCCCAGTCCCTTCCCAGTCCCCCCAGTCCCCTCCCAGTCCCTCCCAGTCCCTCCCAGTTCCTCCCAGTTCCCCCCTATCCTCCTCCCAGTCCCCCCAATCCCCTCCCAGTCCCCTCCCAGTCCCTCCCAGTTCCCCCCAATCCCCTCCCAGTCCCCCCAGTCCCTCCCAGTCCCCTCCCAGTCCCTCCCAGTCCCCCCCCAATCCCCTCCCAGTCCCTCCCAGTCTCTCCCAGTGCCCACCCAGGGGCCCGCGCCGGCTCTGGAGTTTCTCCAGCAGCTCCTGGTCCGAGAGGCCCCGAAAACTTTCCATGGCTGGGGGGGTCCGGGGGGCACTGGGAGTCACTGGGGAGCACTGGGAGTCACTGGGGGGGCACTGGGAGTTACTGGGGAGCACTGGGGGGGCACTGGGAGTCACTGGAGGGGCACTGGGGAGCACTGGGGGGCACTGGGAGTTACTGGGAGTCACTGGGGAGCACTGGGGGGTCCCTGGAGGGGCACTGGGGGGTAACTGGAGGGGCACTGGGGGGCACTGGGAGGTCCCGGGATGATCCCCCGTGGGTTTGGAGGTGTTCCGGAGGGGTCCCCCATCGATTTTGGGGGTCCCAGAGAGGTCCCACGTGGGTTTGGGGGATCCCGGGGGGGGGTCCTGAGTTCTCCTCACAGCACTGGGTGGGGGGGGGGGGGAATCCAGGGGGTCCCCCCTGAGTTTTGGGGTTTTTTAGGGTTTTTTTTAGGGTTTTTTTGGGGGATCCCGAAGTCCCCTCACGGCTCTGGTGGGGGGGGGGGGTGTGAAATCTGGGAGTCTCCCCCTGAGTTTTGCGGGGTTTTGGAGGGTTTTTTGGGCGGTCCCGAGGTTCCCTCATGGCTCTGGGGGTCTTCCCCTGAGTTTTGGGCATTTGGGGTTTTTTTTGGAGGTTTTTTTGGGGGGTCCCGAGGTCCCCTTACGGCTCTGGGGGCGGTTCTGGGGGGGGGGGTCTCCCCTTGAGCTTTGGGGAGTTTGGGGCTTTTTTGGTGGGTCCGAGGTTCCCTCATAGCTCTGGGGGGGTCCAGGGGATCTCCCTCTGAGTTTTGGAGGTTTTTCGAGGAGTTTTTTTGGGGCTTTTTCGGGGTTTTGGGGGGTCCCGGTACCTTCGCTCCGCCGGGGCCGCGCCGCGGATGACTCAGGGCAGGGGGCGTGGCCACCACAGACCACGCCCACGTCGCCTCATTGGATACGAGTTCCCGCCCAAATGTGTGGGTGTGGCAAAATGGGCGTGGCTATAAGACCCCGCCCATTCCCTTATTTGGTTATATGGGCGTGGTCTATCGTGAACCACGCCCATTCCTAATTTGGGGGGGGGTTCCTGGGAGGTTTTGGGGGTCCCAACCCCCCACGACCCCCCCCAAACCCCTCCCATGGGCTCCGACCTCGCAGATTTCCCCCAAATTCTGTGTCTCCATCCTCAAAACCCCCCAAAATGTGCGGTCACAACTACCAAACCTCCCCCCCAAAAATATTGGGGTCCAGACTGCCCCACATCCCCCAAGATTTGGGTTCCCCCAACCAATCCCCGAGACCTCCCCCCTAATTTTACGACCCCCTTCCAAATCCACAGCCCAATCCCATCCCCAAAAATTTGGGGACCCGCCCTGGCGGTGTCACCGTCATCTTTTATTCCCTCCGGGGGGGTCCCAGGGGGGGCTCAGCCCCCGCCCCCCACCCCCGGCCCTGCCCCACATCTTTTTTTGGGGGGGGGATGGGGGGGCAGCGGTGGGGGGGGGGCCCCCAAAACGTCACAATCACGGCACAAAGACACGGGGTGGGGGGAGGGGCACGGCCGGGGGGGGGGCTTTGGCACGGCCGTGGGGTGGGGGAGGGGCTGTGGGGGGATTTTGGGGGGATTTTGGTGTTTTTGGGGGGTTTTAGGGGTTTCATTGGGGTTGGGGTTCTATGGGGGGGAGTCAAGCCCCGCCCACTCCGCCGCCCCCTCCCCCTTGGGGGCGTGGCTTAGCCCCAGGCCCCGCCCCCAATGGCCGCCGTGAGGGGCGGCTCTTCGGCACAGCGCCCTCTGCCGGACGGGAGGACCTGGAGGAGGAGAGACACGGGGCGGGTCAGGGCGCCCTCTGGCGGATCGGAGGACCCGGAGTATTACTGAGGGGGGGGATCCAAATTTTATCCACCCCCCTCCTAAAATTGCCCACAAAACTGCCCCAATCCCCTCATGGGACCCCAAATTAACCCTCCATGGAGCCCCCCCCCCAAATTCCTCACAACCCCCACCTTCCCCATGGAGACCCCAAACCCCCCCAAAATACCCCAAAACACAACCGGAGCCCCTAAACCCACCAAACCTCCCCCCAAACCCACCCCAAACCCCCCAAACCCACCCTAAACCCCCTCAAATCCCCCCCGAGCCCCCCCAACCCCCCCCCAAAACCCACTCGGAGCCCCCCAGAATCCCTCCAAACCCCCCAAACCCCCCCCAAGCCCCCCAAATGCCTCCAAACCCCCCAACCCCCCCCCCAAAATCCCTCTAAACCCCCCAACCCCCCCCAAGCCCCCCAGAATCCCTCCAAACCCCCCAAACTGCCCCCGGAGCCCCCCGAAAATCCTTCCAAACCCCCCAAACCCACCCTAAACCCCCCCAAATCCCCCCTGAGCCCCCCAAAACCCCCCCAAAAAACCCACCCAGAGCCCCCCAAAATCCCTCCAAACCCCCCAAACCCCCCCAAACCCCCCCAAACCCACCCCAAACCCCCCCGAGCCCCCCAAAATCTCACCCTACATCTGGTTGGCGAAGGAGGTGGGGGCTCCCTGGCCGTACCCCCCGTCCGAGGGGGGTCCCCCGTAGCCCCCCTGGCCGTAGTCGGGCTGGTACCCCCCCCCGGGCTGCCCGTACCCCCCCTCGGGGGGGCCGTACCCCCCTTCTGGGGCCGGGGCCTTTTCGGGGACCCCCCCCGGGGGGGGGGGGCGCGGGCCCCCAGGCCCCCCCAGCCGGTCTCCTTGAAGACGAACCAGAGGTTCCCCGTCCACAGCACCAGGTTCAGGAAGCCGAACACCTGCGGGATTTTGGGGTTTTTTTTGAGGAATTTGGGGGGGATTTTTTTGGTTTTTTGGGGGAGGGGGTTGGGGTTTTTTGGGGGTTTCAGGGATGTTTTTGGGGGAATTTTTTTGGGTTTTTGGGGGGGATTTTTTTGCGGAGGATTTTGGGGCCTCTGTGCCCCCAGACTCACCATGGAGGTGTTGAGCCCCAAGATTTTGGAGAGGTTTAGGGGCTTTGGGGTGGATTTGGGATTTTTTTGGGTTTTGGGGGGCATTTTGAAAGTATTTGGGAGTTTTTGAAGGATTTTGGGGTTTTTTTGAGGGTTTTGGGGGGTATTTTGGGGGTTTGGGGGGGTTTGAGGGTTTTGGGGAGGATTTGGGGGTTTTTGGGTAGGAGTTTTGGGTTTTTTTGAGGGTTTTGGGGGTATTTTGGGGGTTTTGGGGTTTTTTTGGGTTTTTTTGAGGGGTTTGGGGGTATTTGGGGGGTTTTGAGGGGAATTTTTGGGGAGTTTTGGGTTTTTGAAGGTTTTGGGGGTATTTTGGAGTTTTTTGGGGTTTTTTTTGGAGTTTTTGGAGGGTTTTGGGGGTATTTTGGGGGTATTTTGGGGGTTTTTGGGGTTTTTATGGGTTTTGGCGGTATTTTGGGGGGGAGTTTTTGGGGGGATTTTGGGGGGGATTTAGGGTTTTTTTTGGGGGGGGAATTTTGGGGTCCCAGACTCACCACGGAGGTGTTGAGCCCCGAGGTTCGGGGTGCCCCCAGCGCCTGGCACCGCGCCCCCGGGCGTTGGCACCCCCCGACCTGGGCCAGCACCCCCGAGGGCGCCGTGGCCGCCTTCACCTCGGCCAGCGCGGCCGCCCAGGCGCAGGAGCTGACCAGCCACAGGAACGCCAGCGCTGCCGTCACCCCCAGGTCCTGGCGGGACAGAATCGGGGGGTCAGGGCACCCCAACATCCACAGCAGAGACCCCAGACCCACCTGAGCTGGCTGAGACCTCAAAAACCCCAATTAAAAACAAAAAATCCCAGTTAAAAACAAAAAAATCCCAGTTAAAACTCAAAAAATCCCAATTAAAAACCAAAAAAAACCCATTAATACCCAAAAAATCCCAATTAAATACCTAAAATCCCAATTAAACACCCAAAAACCCCAATAAAAACCCCAAAATCCCAATTAAAAACTAAAAAATCCCAATGAAAAACCTCAAATCCCAATATCCCAATAAAAAACCCAAAATCCAAATTAAAAATCCAAAAACCCCAATTAAACACACAACCCCCCCAATTAAAACCCCAAAATCTCAATTAAAAACCAAAAAAACCCAATTAAAACCCAAAAAATCTCAATGAAAAACCCCAAATCCCAATGAAAAACCCCAAATCCATATTAAAAATCCAAAAACCCAATTGAACACACAAACTCCCCAATTAAAACCCCAAAATCTCAATTAGAAACCAAAAAAACCCAATTAAAAACTAAAAAAACCCAATTAATACCCAAAAAATTCCAATTAAAAACCTAAAATCCCAATTAAACACCCAAAAACCCCAATGAAAACCTCAAAATCCCAATTAAAACCTAAAAAATCCCAAATAAAACCCCAAAATCCCTTTTGGGATGCCCTAATCCCCTCCCAGAGCTGAGCAGCCGCAGCAAGGCCAGCGCTGCCGTCACCCCCAGGTCCTGGCGGGACAGAATCGGGGGGTCAGGGCACCCCAACATCCACATCAGAGACCCCAGACCCACCTGAGCTGGCTGAGACCCCAAAAACCCCCCAAAAATCCCTCCAGAACCACCCAAAACTGCCCCAAACCCCTCCAAAACTGCCCCAAAGCCCCCCAAAACTGCCCCAAACCCCCCCAAACCTGCCCCAAACCCCCCCAAAACTGCCCCAAACTCCCCCAAATTTCATCCCAGTCCCCCAAACTCCCCCAAACCCTTCAAGATACCCTAAAAAAAACCCCCTTAATCCCCCCATAACCACTTCAAACTCCCCCGAAACTGCCCCACACCCCCCCAAACTGCCCCGAATCCCCCCAAAACCCCTCCAAAACTGCCCCGAATCCCCCCAAAACTCCCCCAACCCCCCCAAATTTCATCCCTGCCCCCCAAAACCTCCTCCAACCCCTTGAAGCGACCCCCAAAACCCCCCCGTAACCCCTCAATAACGACTCAAAACCCCCCCAAACTGCCCCTAACCCCCCAAACCCCCCAAATTCCAGCCCGGCCCCCCAAACTCACGATGCGGGGCCCGCGCCCCCCCGCCCGGTAGGCCTGGGGGGCGAACAGGTACCCCCCGAGGGCGGCGGGGGCGTAGAGGAACGAACCGACCCCGACGGTGACGAAGAACTGCGCGGCCGAGGAGTGGTCACCCACCAGGAACACCCGCTCGGGGGGACCCCCCCCGCACGAGGGGGCCTCGAAGTACACCTGGTGCAGCCTGGGGGGGTCCCCGAGATTTGGGGGGGGGTCCAGGGTGAAGTTTGGGGGGTCTCATCCCGATTTTTGGGGGATTTTTTGGCGATTTTTGGGATTTTTTGCTGATTTTTAAATAGGTTTTAGGGATTTTGGGGATTTTTGGGACCCCTCCCCACACCTGGTGCAGCCTGGGGGGGTCCCCGAGATTTGGGGGGGGGTCCAGGGTAAAGTTTGGGGGGTCCCATCCCGATTTTTGGGGGATTTTTTAAGCGATTTTTGGGATTTTATTGCGATTTTTGGGGGATTTTTGAGGATTTTTGGGGATTTTGGGACCCCCCCACCCAGACCCCCGAATCCCCTCCAAACCCTCCCCAAATCCCCCTCAAATGCCCCCTAAATCCCCTCAAATTCCCTCCAAACCCCCTCAAAGCCCCCAAATTCCCCTCAAACTTACCATGAGACCCCCCAAATCCCACTCAAAACCCCCCCAAACTCAACCCAAACCCCCAAATTCCCCCCAAACCCTCCCCAAACTCCCCCCAAATCCCCCCAAACTCCCTCAAAGCCCCCAAATCCCCCTCAAACCCACCCCGAGGCCCCCCCAAATCCCCCTCAAAACCCCTCCAGACTCCCCAAAAACCCCCCAAACTCAACCCAGACCCCCAAATCCCCCTCAAACCCACCCCGAGACCCCCCAAATCCCCCCCAAGCCCCCCAAAACCCACCTGAAGGGGTACCCGAAGGCCACGGTGATGGGGGCGGAGCGGTTTGGGGGGGCGCACTCGATGCTGAGGCGCAGAGAGCCGCTGAACCCCCCGCAGGTGGCAAAGGCGAAGATGGAGAAGAGCTGGGGGGGCAAACTGGGGTTACTGGGAGGGACTGGGAGGGGGTTTGGGGGGGCTATGAGGGAGTTTGGGGGGTTAAAATGGGGTTTCGGGGGGGTTAGGGGTCATGTGAGGGACTGGGAGTCACTGGGAGGGGGTTTGGGGGGGATTTGGAGGGGCTATGGGGGAGTTTGGGGTGGTAAAATGGGGTTTGGGGGGATTTGGGGGGCTATGAGGGAGTTTGGGGGGATAAAATGGGGTTTGGGAGGCACTGGGAGGGACTGGGAGGAGATTGGGGGGGACTGGGAAGGACTGGGAGGGGTTTTGGGGGGATTTGGAGGGGCTATGAGGGAGTTTGGGGGGATAAAATGGGGTTTGGGGGGATTTGGGGGGCTATGGGGGAGTTTGGGGGGGATAAAATGGGGTTTGGGAGGCACTGGGAGGGACTGGGAGGAGACTGGGGGGGACTGGGAGGGGTTTTGGGGGGATTTGGAGGGGCTATGAGGGAGTTTGGGGGGATAAAATGGGGTTTGGGGGGATTTGGGGGGTACTGGGGGTCACTGGGAGGAGTTTTGGGGGGGGCCTGGGGGGATTTGGGGGGCACTGAGCCGCTGAACCCCCCACAGGTGGAGAAGACGAAGATGGAGAAGAGCTGGGGGGGCAAACTGGGGTTACTGGGAGGGACTGGGAGGGGACTGGGGGGATTTGGAGGGATTTTGGGGGGGATCTGGGGGAATATGAGGGGGGGTTGGAGGGGCTGTGAGGGAGTTTGGGGGGGTTAAAATGGAGTTTGGGGGTCACTGGGAGGGACTGGGAGGGGTTTGGGGGTCACTGGGAGGGACTGGGAGGGACTGGGAGGAGTTTGGGGGGCACTGGGAGGGACTGGGAGGGGTTTGGGGGTGACTGGGAGGGGTCTGGGGGGGTCACTGGGGGTTACTGGGATGAACTGGGAGAAACTGGGAGCGGTTCTGGGGGGGTTTGGGGGTCCCTGGGGTGGTTTGGGGGGGCACTGGGATGAACTGGGATAAACTGGGAGGGGTTTGGGGGGGGTCCCAGGGGGAATTTGGGGGCTCCAAAGGGTTTTTTTTTTGGGGGGTTGGGGGGGGGGATTTTGGGGCTGATTTCAGAATTTTGGGGGGTCCCGGATGAATTTGGGGGGCTCAGGAGGGACCTTGAGGGGTCACAGGGGGGTGGGGGGGTCAGGGGGGGACACAGCCCCTCCCCCCCCCAACCCAAAAAAATCCCGGGATTATCCCGGATTATGGAGCCGACCCAGATTGGGGGGGAGGGGCACGGGGGGGGAGGGGAAATGGGGGAGATTTGGGGATTTTGGGGGGTCCGGGGAGGATTTGGGGGTCCCAAAAGTCACTTTTAGGGTCGGGGGGAGGATCCGGGGGGGTTTGGGGTTCTTGGGGGGGGATCCAGGGGATTTTGGGGGGGTTGGAGTTTTTGGGGTGTCCTGGGGAGTTTAGGGGGGGGGGTCACAAGGGGGATTTTGGGGTTTTTTTGGGATCCCGGGTTGATTTTGGGGTTTTTGGGGTTCTTGGGGGGTTGGGGTGGTTTGGGGCTTTTTTTGGGTGGTTTTGGGAACTTTTGGGGGTCCCGCGAGGATTTTGGGGTGGTTTGGGCGTTTTGTGGGTTGTTTTGAGTTTTTTTGGGGTCTTCTGGGAGGATTTTGGGGTGGTTTTGGTTTTTTGGGGGCGGTTTTGAGATTTTTGGAGTCTCCCGGGAGGATTTTGGGGTGATTTTGGGGTTTTCTGGAGGTCTCGGGGTGGGGTTGGACTTTTAGGATGGTTTTGGGGTTTTTGGGGTGTCCTGGGAGGATTTTGGGGTGGTTTTGGGGGTTTTTTTGGGGTGGTTTGAGGGTTTTTTTGGGGTCTGAGAGGGATTTTGGGGTGGTTTTGGGGTTTTTTTGGGGTCTGAGAGGGATTTTGGGGTGGTTTGGGGGGTTTTTTGGGGGGTCACTCACCCACTCCAGCAGCTTGAGGAAGCCCAGGGGCTCCTTGACCACCCGGAACTGCCCCCCGGCCACCAACTGGGGGGGGAGGGACCCTCAGGGGGGGCTCGGGGACCCCCCAAAATCAGACCCCTCCAAAAATCCCCCCCAAAAAAACCCCAAAAATCCCAAAATCCCCTCAAAACCCCGCCAGGACCCCCCCAAGGACAAATTCGGGTGGGGGGTCACCCCAAACCTGGCCATGCTGACGTCACTCTGACGTCACACCCCGCCCCCCACCCATTTTTGGGGTTTTTTTCTCCCCCCCCCATTGTTGCTGCATCATCATCCTCACCCCCCCTCCCCTCCCCCACCCCCGGGGATGCTGCGGCAGCGACCCCTCCCCAAAATGACCCCTCCCCCTTCAAGGGCATCGCCCCCTCCCCCAAATCCTCCCCGCGACCCCTCCCCAAATCCAGGACCGCCCCCCCCGCCCCCCAAATCCACCCGCATCCCCCAAATCCTGGAGCCCCCCCCTCAAAATCCACCTGCACCGCCCCAAATGGAGAAACCCCTCCTCAAATGGAGAATCCCCCTCCCCAAATTGAGAATCCCCCTCCTCAAATTAAGAATCCCCCTCCCCAAATGGAGAATCCCCCTCCCCAAATGGAGAATCCCCCTCCTCAAATTGAGAATCCCCCTCCCCAAATTCCTCCGCCCACCCCAAAAATTCATCAGCACCCCCTCAAATCCCCCCCAAGCCCCCTCCCCACAATTCCCCAGCGTGGAGCGGGGGGGTCGCAGCCGCCCCCCACCCCCCCAGCCGGCCCGGGGGGGTTTTGGGGGGGGTCTCGGGGCGGGTTTGGCGCAGAGGGGGGGTCCCGGGGGTTTTTTTGGGGGGGGGGTCCCCACCTGGTTGAGCACCTCCATCCTGCGGGTCCGGAGACGCAGCGCGGCGGGGGGGGGAGCGGCGCGCCGCGGAACAGCCGCGAAGGGAGGGGGCACGGAGCAGGGAACAGCGGCGCGTGCGCGGCGGCGGCGGGGGGAAGAAAGTGAGAGGGAACAGCCGAAAGAGGAGGGTGGAGAGGAAGACGAGGTAACAGCGATAGGAAGCGAAGGGCGGAAGTGACGTAATGAAGAGGCAAAGGGCGCCGCCATCTTGAGTGAGGGCAATGTCGGGGGGCGGAAATAATTTTAGGCGGGAAAAAGGGAATTGTGGGAATTTTTGAGGGGGATTTGGGGAATTTTTCAGGGGAATTTGGGAATTTTCGAGGGGGGTTTGGGGAATTTTTGAGGGCAATTTGGGGCATTTGGAGAATTTCGGAATCTTCGAGGGGGGTTTGCGGAATTTTTGAGGAGAATTTTTGAGGCAGATTTGGGGAATTTTTGAGGGGAATTTGGGGGATTTCTGAGGGGAGGATTAATTGGGAGGGGTACAGGGATTTATTGGGAATTATTGAGAGGTTTTAAGAGGAGTTTGGGGTGGAAATTGGGGGTTTTTTGAGGGGAAAATAGAGAATTTGGGGATTTTTTTTTTTTTTTTTTTTTTTTTTTTTGTATTTTGAAGAGATTTTGAGGCAATTTTTTGGGGATTTTGGGGGTCCCACTCCCACTTTTGGAAGGGTGGCCCATGCTATTATTGTCCGTTTTTCCCTTTATTTGAATTTTTTCACTCTCCACTTTTATCAGGATTATCGGGAGGGAATCTCAGCTTAATTCCGGGAAATTCCCGATTTTTTTTATTGCGGGGTCCCCAAATTTATTTAGAGGCTTCCCAAATTCCGAATTTATTGCGGAGGCTTCTCCCCTTCTAAGATGTCACCCAGCATCTCCTCGCACATCAGCAGCGCCCGTGCCACGTGGAAACAGCCTGGGAAAACGGGGGGAAAACAGGAAAAAAGGGGGAAAAATCGGGGTAAAATTGGGAAAAATCAGGAAAAATTGGGGAAAAATCAGGAAAAATTGGGGAAAAATCAGGAAAATTGGGGGAAAATCAGGAAAAATTGGGGGAAAATCAGGAAAAATTGGGGGAAAATCAGGAGAAATCGTGGGAGAATGCGGAAAAATCATGGGAAAAATCAGGAAAAATCGGGAAAAATCACAAAAAATCGGGAAAAAATGGGAAAAATCCCATCCCCGACCCCCCCTCGTGGATCAGAGACCCCAGACCCACCTTTGTAGGGCCCCCCCTTGATGGAGAGAGCCACGGAGCCGTCGCGGTTCAGGTACCCAAACCACTCCCCGTGCTCGGGGTCACGGAACTGAGGGGAAATTGGGGCATTTTGGGGGGATTTGGGGGGATTTTTGGGGGATTGGGGGAGGGGGAGACCCGCACCTCTAATAAAAACCCTCCCCATCCCAAAAAAGGAGACCCTAAAAAGGTTCGGAATGGGGAAATCTCCATGGGGAGAGGCTTTGGGGACCCCCCCCAAATGGGGACAGCCCAAATTGGGACCCCCCACCCCAAATTGGGACCCTTTGGGACCACCCCCCCATTTGGGAGCTCCTCGGGACCCCCCCAATACCCCTCAAGACCCCAAATTTGCCCCTCAAGACCCCAAATTTTGCTCCACAGGGACCCCCAAGGATCCTCTCAATATCCCAAAACCCCTCCAAGACCCCAAATCCCCCCAAAATCCCCAAATCTCCTTCAAATAATCCCAAAATCCACCCAACTCCTCCAAAATCCCCTCTAGTCCATCTCAAATCCCCCCAAATCCCCCCAAAATCCCCCCAAATCTCCCCAAATCCCCTAAACTCTCCCAAATTTCCTCCTAATTCCCCCAAAATCCCTCAAATTCTCCTAATTCACCTCTTAATTTCCCCCAAAATCCCCCAAATCCCCCAAACTCTTCCAGATTTCCTCCTCATTCCCCCCAAAATCCCTCAAATCTCCTCAAATCCCCCAAACTCTCCCAAAATTCTTCCTAATTCCCCACAAATACCCTCAAATCCCTCCCAAAATTTCCCCAAATCCCCCAAATTCTCCTAATTTTCCTCCCAATTCCCCCCAAAAATCCCCCAAATCTCCCCAAATCCCCCAAACTCTCCCAAAATTCCTCCTAATTCCCCCCAAAATCCCCCCAATACCCTCAAATCCCGCCCAAATTTCCCATAAAATGCCCCCAAATCCCCCCAAATTTCCCCGAAATGCCTCCAATTTCCCCCAAAAATCCCCAAATCCCCCGAATTTGCCCCAAATCCCCACCTTGTCAAAGGTGTACTGGGCCAGCTGCAGGAACTGGGAGACCAAACTGGGCCGGGGCTGGAAGCGCTGGGCGGCCAGGAGGGCAACCATGGCCTCGGCGTGGGGCCACCAGAGCTTCAGGGACCACTCCAGCTGGGAACGGGGGAAAAAATGGGAATTTGGGGAAAAACGGGGAAAAAAACGGGGAAAAAAGAGAGAAAATTGGGGGAAAAATGGAGAAAATTGGGAGAAAAATAGAGAAAAAATGGGGAAAAAAAGGGGAAACGGGGGTGAGGTCACTGGTGTGGGGCCACCAGAGCTTCAGGGACCTCTCCAGCTGGGAATGGGGGGAAAAAGTGGGAATGTGGGGGAAAAATGGGAAAAAAAGAGGAAAAAAGAGAGAAAATTGGGGGGGAAATGGAGAAAAAATGGGGAAAAAAGGGGAAACAGGGGTGAGGTCACTGGTGTGGGGCCACCAGAGCTTCAGGGACCTCTCCAGCTGGGACTGGGGGGGGAGAAGTGGGAATTTGGGGAAAAAATGAGGGAAAAATGGGTGAAAACGGGTAAAAAAAGAGAGAAATTTGGGGGGAAAATGGGTAAAAAAGGGGGAAATGTGGGGGGAAATGGGGAGGAAACGGGGAAAAAGGGGGTGAGGCCACTGGTGTGGGGCCACCACACCTTCAGGGACCTCTCCAGCTGGGACTGGGGGGAAAAATGGGAGAAAACCTGGGGATTTGGGGATTTTGGGGTACTTGGGAAGTTCTGGATGGAATTTTGAGGTCCCTGGGTGAGATTTTGGGGTCCCAGTTGGGATTTGGGGGTTCAGGGTGGGATTTTGGGGCTCTCCAGGTGGGATTTGAGGTCCCTGGGTGCCATTTTGAAGCACCCGAGTGGGGTTTCTTAGGATTTCTGAGGTGAATTTTGGGGTCCCCAGTTAAATTTCGGGGTTCCCATTTGAATTTTGGGGTCCCCAGGTGAAGCTTGGGGTTCCCAGGTGAGATTTTGAGATCCCCATGTCAGATTTTGGGGTTCCCAGATGAATTTTGGGGCTTTCCAGGTGGGATTTGATCCACTGGGTGCCATTTTAAAGCACCTGAGTGGGTTTTTTTGGGATTTGTGAGGGGAATTTTGGGGCTCCCAGTTCAATTTTGGGGTCCCCAGATGAATTTTGGGGTCCCAGATGAATTTTGGGGCTCTCCAGGTGGGATTTGGGGTTTCCAGGTGGGATTTGATGCCCCGGGTACCATTTTAAAGCACCTGAGTGGGTTTTTTTGGGGATTTGTGAGGGGAATTTTGGGGCTCCCAGTTCAATTTTGGGGTCCCCAGGTGGATTTTGGGGTTACCTGGGTGGGGCAGTGCCCGTCAGCATCCAGGAAATAGAAGAGCCCCCCGTGCTGGGGGTCCCAGCCCCATTTCAGGGGTCCCTCCACCAGCGCTGCCACCGCCCGGGCCCCCAAATCCGCGTCCCCCCGGCGCCCCGAAAACTCCAGCAGCAGCCAGGCGGCCTCCAGGGCGTGGCCTGGGGCACCCCAAAACCCGGGGGGGCGAAAATTGGGGGGAAAAAGCAAAAAAAATGAGAAAAAAGAGAAAAAGAAACGAAAAAATATTAAAAAATGAGAAAAAAGAGAAAAAAATCGGGGTCTTGTAGCTCAAAATTGGGGTTTAGGAGCCCAAAAATTGGGGGAAATGCCTCAAACAGGGGGGACCCCGAATTTGGAGGGGGAAAGAGCAGAAAATTGGGGGGAAAGGAGTAAAAAAATGAGGGAAAAGGAGAAAAATTTGGGGAAATCTTCCTCCCCCAAAACTGGGATCAACCCCCCCCAAATTGGGATTTCCCCACAAAATCAGGGTCAAAGTTCCCAAAACTGGGATTTCCTCACAAAATGGGCCTCCCTCCCCAAAATTGAGCTCCAAACCCCCAAAATTTGGATCAACCTCCCCCAAAATTGGAATTTCCCCCCAAAATCAGCAACTCCCTTCCCCAAATCTGGGTTTCCCCCTGAAAATTGATCTCCAAGCCCCCCCAAAAATCAGGATTTCCTCCCAAAATCAGGGTTTCCTTCACCCAGATTCATTTTTTCCCCCAAAAATCGGGATCAAACCCCCCCAAACTCGGGGTCCCCCTCCCCAAACTGGGGTCCCCCTCACCGGGGTTCATGAGGCGCCCGAGGCTCCCCGGCAGCTCCTCCCCCTCGGGGGTGACGTTCTCCAGCACCACCGAGTCCCCCCGCTGCCCCCCAAATTTGGGGGGACCCCCGGTGAGGGGGGGACCCCGATTTTGGGGAGCCCCCGGGGCTGCTCGTGGGGGAAAAGAGCCCCCGGGGGCGGTGGTTGGGGGTCCCGGGGGGATTTTGGGGGTCCCAGGGGGGATTTTTGGGGTCCAGGTGTAATTTTTTTGGGTTGCCAGGTGTGATTTGGGGTTCCCAGGTGTGATTTTTGGGGTGCTCAGGCCAATCTTTGGGGTGCTCAGGCCGATTTTTCGCATTCCCAGGATGATTTCTGGGTCCCCAGGATGATTTTTGGGGTGCCCAGGCTGATTTTGGGGTGCTCAGGACGATTTTTGGGGTGCCCAGGACGACTTTTGGGGTCCCCAGGATGATTTTTGGGTCCCCAGGCTGATTTTTGGGGTGCCCAGGCTGATTTTGGGGTGCCCAGGCTGATTTTTGGGTTCCCAGGATGATTTTGGGGTGCCCAGGACGATTTTGGGGTGCCCAGGACGATTTTTGGGTCCCCAGGACGATTTTTGGGGTGCCCAGGACGATTTTTGGGGTGCCCAGGCTGATTTTTGGGGTCCCCAGGATGATTTTTGGGTCCCCAGGCTGATTTTTGGGGTCCCCAGGCTGATTTTTGGGGTGCCCAGGACGATTTTTGGGGTGTCCAGGACGATTTTTGGGGTGCCCAGGCTGATTTTGGGGTACCTGCAGGTGCATCAGGACGTGCCGCGCCCCCCACTCCGCCATGGCCTCGGCCTCGGGGTCGGGCTGACTTTGGGGGTCCCTCCGGGGGTCCCCCCAGAGCTGCAGCCCCACCTTCAGCACCATCAGGGCCTGGGCCAGCGCCTGCTGGGGGGGGGGTCCCCGAGAACCGGGGGCGCCCCAATTCCATGGGGGCCCCCCGGGCCCAGCCCCACACGGCCCCGGCCCAGCGCCGGGCCCAGGCCTGCGGGAAATGGGTCAGGGGGGGTTTGGGGGGTCTCACCCTGTCCCAGGTGTCCCAGGATTATTTGGGGAGGGAATTTGGGGAGGCCTCGGGGGGGTGCCAGGGTTATTGTGGGGAGGGGGTCTCACCCTTTCCCGAGTGTCCCAGGATTATTTGGGTGGGGGTCTCAGGGTTGAGGAGGGGTCTCAGGGTTCTTTTGGGGAGGGGTCTCACCCAAGTATCAGGGTTATTAATTTGGGGAAGGGTCTCACCCAGTCCCGGGGCTCACGGTTATTTTGGGGAGGGGTCCCAAGGTTATTTGGGGAGGGGTCTCACCCGGTCCCAGGGTAATTTTGTGAGAGGTCCGAGGGTAATTTGGGGAGGGGTCTCACCCGGTCCCGGGTAATTTGGGGAGGGGTCCCAGGGGAATTTGGGGAGGGGTCTCAGCCGGTCCCAGGGGAATTTGGGGAGGGGGTCTCAGCCGGTCCCAGGGTAATTTGGGGAGGGGTCCCAGGGTAATTTGGGGAGGGGTCCCGGGTAATTTGGGGAGGGGTCCCAGGGTAATTTGGGGAGGGGTCCCAGGGTAATTTGGGGAGGGGTCCCGGGGAATTTGGGGAGGGGTCCCGGGGAATTTGGGGAGGGGGCTCACCCGGTAGCGCTCCTCCCCCGCCGCCCGGCCCAGCTCGTCCAGCCCCAGCGCGCAGAACGCTTCGCTGTAGAAGCTGCGCTGGAGCCGCTCCGGGCGCCCGTCCCGCCTCAGCGCGAAGGCGGCGCGGCTCGAGCCGGGCTCCGGCCGCACGTGCCTCTCCAGGAACTCCCCGGCTGCGGTTTGGGGGAAATCCCGCCGATTTTGGGCAATTTTAGGGGAATTTTGGAGGAATCGGGGGCGCCCATAGAGATCAATGGGACAGCGCCGCTTAGCGGCCAAAGGGGGAATTGCAGCCGTTGAGATCGATGGGGGAATTTTAGGAAATTCGAACGATTTGGGGGAATTTTAGGAAATTCGAACGATTTGGGAGAATTTTAGGAAATTCGAAGGATTTGGGGGAATTTTAGGAAATTCGAAGGATTTGGGGGAATTTTAGGAAATTCGAACGATTTGGGGGAATTTTAGGAAATTCGAGCGATTTGGGGGAATTTGGAGGATTTGGGATTTCAATTTGGGAACTGAGGGGAAATCGGAGGGACCTCGGGGGATGCAAAAATGGGGGAGCTGCACCCACAGGGATCGGTGGATTTGGAATTCCCCAGCTGGAATTGGAGGAATTTCAGGGAATTTTTGGGAATTTGGGGCTGGAAAAAAAAAAGGGGGAACTGTGCCCGGAAAGATCAGTGGGGAAAATTGGAGGATTTGGGGCAGTTGACGGGAGGAAAAAGGGGAATTGAATCCAAAATTCAAAGGGGAAACTGCGCCCGTGGGGGAATTTGGGGGGAAATTGGGGGAATTTGGGGAAATGCAGGGATGGAAAAAGGGCGGAATTGCCCCAAAATCCCCCCCGGACCCCTCCCCACCTTTCCGCGCCGCCTGGAGCAGCTCGGGCCGGCGGAAGCGGGGCACGGTGCGGTACAGGCGGGAATAGACCCAGATCTGGGGGTGCAGGGGGGGTTTGGGGGGCTCAGGGGGGCTTTGGGGGGCTCAGGGGGGTCTCGGGGGTCCCCCCGGGTCCCGCCCCGCGCCCCCCGCCCCACACGGACCTGCCGCCCCTGCAGCCACACGAATTTGGTGTCGTCGTAGACGGAACCGTCGCGGCTCAGGCAGGAGAAGAAACCCCTGGGGGGGAAAATTTGGGGGTCCCAGGGGCACTTGGGGGTCCCGGAACTCGTTAAGGGGGTCCTGGGTGTTCCCTGTGGGAATTTGGGGGGCACTTGGGGGGTCCTGGGGGGGGTCCTGGGGGTCCCGGGGGTGTTTTTGGAGGTCCCAGAGATGGTTTTTAGGGTCCTGGGGGTGGTTTTGGGGGTCCCGGGGGTGGTTTTGGGGGTCCCAGGGGTGTTTTTGGGGGTCCTGGGGGTATTTCCGGGGGTCCCTGAGGTGTTTTGGGGGTTCCCGGGGTGTTTTTGGGGGTCCCGGGGGTGTTTTTGGGGGTCCCGGGGGTATTTACGGGGGTTCCCGGGGTGTTTTTGGGGGTCCCGGGGGTGTTTTGGGGGGTCCCGGGGGTGTTTTTGGGGGTTCCCGGGGTGTTTTTGGGGGTCTCCGCCCTCACCCGTGCTCGGGGTCGTGCGAGTGCCGCTCCCAGAACGCCACAGCCGCGTCCAGTTCGGCCGCGATGCGGCCCCGCCACGCCCGGAGCTCCTCCATGGCTGGGGAGGGGGCGTCCCGTGGGACCCCAGACCCACAGGAACCCCCCTGACCCACCCATGGGACCCCTGACCCACCCGTGGGACCCCAGACCCACAGGAACCCCCCTGACCCACCCATGGGACCCCAGACCCACAGGAACCCCCCTGGCCCACCCGTGGGACCCCAGACCCACAAATACCCCCCTGACCCACCCATGGGACCCCAGACCCACCCATGGGACCCCAGACCCACAGGAACCCCCCTGACCCACCCGTGGGACCCCAGACCCACAAATCCCCCCTCAGCCCACCCAGGGGGGTCCCCGAAATCCCCCGATTTCCCCCAAAACCCCCCGGCCCCCCACCCTGGGGGTCCCCATGGACGCCCCCAGCCCCCCCTCAGCCCTGGGGGTCCCCTCAGCCCCCCCGAGCCCCTTTTGGGGTCCCCAAAATCGCCCCCCCCCACCCCGGACCGACCGCGACCGCGGCCCAGTCACGAGACCTCGCGACAAGGCCCCGCCCCCTTCCATGGCCACGCCCCTTTCTGACCATTGGCCACGCCCACCGGCACATGGCCACGCCCCCGCGGCGCCGGGACTCCCCCAGACCCAAAATTGGGGGGGGTCAAAGGGGCTGGAGACCCCAAAAAACCCCCCCAGAACCCCCCAGACCTAAAACTGGGGGGGGGTTCAAGGCGCTAGAGACCCCAAAACCCCCAAGTGACCCCCAGACCCAAAATTGGGGGGCTCAAAGGGGCTGGAGACCCCAAAAAACCCCCCAGGACCCCCCAGACCTAAAATTGGGGGCTCAAAGGGGCTGGAGACCCCCAGAACCCCCCCAGGACTCCCCCAGACCCAAAACTGGGGGGGGGTTCAAGGCGCTAGAGACCCCAAAACCCCCCCAGACCCCAAATTGGGGGGCTCAAAGGGGCTGGAGACCCCCAAAGCCCCCCCAGGACTCCCCAAGTGACCCCCAGACCCAAAACTGGGGGTCCCAGACTACCGGAACCCCCCGTGCCCCAAAACCCCCGATTTTATTGAATGTTTACTCCAAAAAAATGTCTTTTTTTAATTTTCAAAATAGCACAAAAACGACGGACACAACACTCGGGGGGAGGGGGGGGGGGGGTCGGGGGGGGCTTTTTTCCCCCTCCCCCCCCCACTATGATACACAGGGGGTCCCCCCCTCCCCCTCCCCCCACCCCCGAGGGGGGGGTCTGTACAGGGTGGGGGAGGGGTCCCGAGGGGGGATTTTGGGGAGGGGGGAGGGGCAGCGTTGTACAAAACTTTTCATTCCAGCAACTGCAACAGGTAAAAAAAAGCCCCCCCGACCCTCCCCCCGAGGCGAGGGGACCCCAAAATTCCCCCCCCCCCCCCAAAAAACCCCCCAGGGGTGTTGGGGCCCGGGTTGGTTTTTTTTGTTTTTGGGGGGGGGTCCCGGGGGTCCTTCACTGCCCTTCGGCCTTGGGCTTCTTTGGAGCGGATTTCCTGGGGAGGGGGAAATTTGGGGAGGGGTCTGATGGAGACCCCTCCTCAAAATAACCCAAAAAACCCCCTGAGACCCCCCCCAAACGCAGCCCCACTGAGACCCCCAAAACCCCTCCATGCCCACCCAGCGCCCCCAAAACCAGACCCACAGACCCCTCCAGGACCCCCCACAGAAAAAGCCCCCAGACCCCAAATTCCACCCCCCGACCCCTCAGAACAACCCCCAGCCCCCCAAAAGAGCCCCCAGACCCCCCAGAGACCCCCCCAAACCCCTCGGAACAACCCCCAGGCCCCCAAAAGAGCCCCCAGAGACCCCCCAAACCCCTCAGAACAACCCCCAGGCCCCCAAAAGAGCCCCCAGCCCCCCAAATATTCCCAGCAGAGCCCCCCAGAGCCCCCCGAAGCCCCCCACTCACAGGTCGGGGGACGCCAGGGGCCGTTTGCTGCCCGGTTTCCCGGCGGCTCCGTCCTTGCTCGACTCTGGGGGGGACAGCAGGGGGTGAGGGGGGACCCCCAGGTGTCTGCAGCCCCCCCCCAGGGTGTGTGCAGCCCCCAGACTCATTTCAGAGCCCCCAGACCCATTTCAGAGCCCCCAGACCCACCCAGCAGTCCCCACACCTGGGTGGTCGGGCTGTAACCATTGTCACTGTGGGTGGGTGACAAGGGGACAATCCCAGTGCCACAAACCCACCCTGGTATGTGCAGCCCCCAGACCCATTTCAGAGCCCCCAGACCCATTTCAGAGCCTGCAGAACTATTTCAGAGCCCCCAGACCCACCCAGCAGCCCCCACACCTGGGTGGCCGGGCTGTAATTATTGTCACTGTGGCTGGGTGACAAGGGGACAATCCCACTCCCACAGCCTCCCCAGGGTGTGTGCAGCCCCCAGACCCACCTGGCAGCCCCCAGACCCGTTTGAGAACCCCCAGACCCACCTGGCAGCCCCCAGACCCATTTCAGAGCCCCCAGACCCACCTTGCAGCCCCCTCACCTGGGTGGCTGGGCCGTAGCCATTGTCCTTGGCAGGGTGGGTGATGGGGACAATCCCCCTCCCACAGCCTCCCCAAGGCGCGTGCAGCCCCCAGACCCGTTTCAGAGCCCCCAGACCCACCTTGCAGCCCCCAGACCCAGCTGGCAGCCCCCAGACCCACCTTGCAGCCCCCAGACCCAGCTGGCAGCCCCCAGACCCATTTGGGATCCCCCAGACCCACCTGGCAGCCCCCAGACCCACCTGGCAGCCCCCAGACCCAGCTGGCAGCCCCCAGACCCACCTTGCAGCCCCCTCACCTGGGTGGCCGGGCCGTAGCCATTGTCCTTGGCAGGGTGGGTGATGGGGACAATCCCCCTCCCACAACCTCCCCAAGGCGCGTGCAGCCCCCAGACCCAGCTGGCAGCCCCCAGACCCACCTGGCAGCCCCCAGACCCACCTGGCAGCCCCCAGACCCACCTTGCAGCCACCGCACCTGGGTGGCGGGGCCGTAGCCCTTGTCGTTGCGGGCGGCGATGCGGAAGATGATGGCCGGCTTGGTGGTGTGGTCGATGTGGGCGCTGGCCAGGCTGGAGGCGGGCACCAGGCACGAGGGGCTGGGCCCGCAGTAGACCCTCATAAAGGCCAACTGGGCCCCCCCGCCCCGCGCCTCGGGGCCCCCCCCGGGCCCCCCCTGGATGGCCAAGTACACCGAGTACTCCGCGATGCGCCCCGACGTCACCGACGGCGGCTCCCACGTCAGGTGCGCCCCGTCGGGGCTCTGGGGACACGGGGACACCGGTCAGGGGGGCACGGGGCACGGGGGGCAGGGGGACAGAGGGGTCAGGGGGACACGGGTCAGGGGGACACGGGGGGGGACAGGGGGGACACGGGGACACCGGTCAGGGGGGTCAGGGGTCAGGGGGCACAGAGGGGACATGGGGGCACAGGGAACAGGGGGGTCAGAGGGGACATTGGGGGGACATGGGAGGGACAGAGAGGTCAACGGGGACACAGGAGACATGGGGACAGAGGGGTCACAGGGGTCAGCAGGGACATGGAAGACACAGGGGACATGGGGAGGACAGAGGGGGACACGGGTCAGGGGGGACAGAGGGGACATGGAGGGACAGAGGGGACATGGAAGACACAGGGGACATGATGGGGGACGGGGACACGGGTCAGGAGGGACAGAGGGCCAGGACGACACGCGAAGGACAGAGCAAAGGGGTCAGGGGGGCATTGGGAGGACAGAGGGGTCAGGGGGACATGCGGGTGACAGAGGGACATGGGGGGATGAGGGGACATGGGGGGGACAGAGAGGACAAAGGGGTCGGGGGCCATGGGGGGGACAGGGGGTGACACGGAGTTGGGGGATACGGGAGTACAGGGGGCTATGGGAGGTGAGGGACATGGGGGGGACACAGGAGGGTCCCCACAGTGGGTCTGGGGTCCCTGCTGGGGGTCTGGGGTCACCTTGCTGACCTTGATGGCGCCCCCGGGAAGCCGGGCAGGGATGGGGCTGGGGCTTGGGGGTTGGGATTGGTGTTATGGGCTCTCCCATGGGTTGGGGTCTCTGTTATGGGTCTGGGGTCCCTGTTAGGGGTCTGGGGTCACCTTGCTGATATTGATGGTGCCCCTGGGAAGCCGGGCAGGGATGGGGTTGGGTTGTAGTTGATGTAAGGGCTCCTACATGGGTTGTGGTCCCTGTTATGGGTCTGGGGTCCCTGTTATGGGTCTGGGGTCCCTGTTATGGGTCTGGGGTCCCTGCTGGGGGTCTGGGGTCACCTTGCTGATCTTGATGGCGCCCCCGGGAAGCCGGGCAGGGATGGGGCTGGGGCTTGGATCGAGTCGGGTCGGGGTTGGTGTTATGGGCTGCCCCATGGGCTGGGGTCCTTGTTAGGGGTCTGGGGTCCCTGCTGGGGGTCTGGGGTCCCTGCTGGGGGTCTGGGGTCACCTTGCTGATCTTGATGGCGCAGGGCGCCCCGGGGAAGCCGGGCAGGCAGGTTTTGAAGGCCGACAGCTCCGAGAAGGGCCCGCGGCCGCAGGCGTTCAGCCCGGCCACGCGGAACTTGTACGCCGTGCCCGGCTGCAGCTCCTGGCGGCGCAGCTGCGAGTGGTCCGGGACCCCCGAGCCCTCCTCCTGCGGGGACACGCGGGGACACCGTGGGGACACGGACACGGACCCCCCAGACCAGGGACACAGACAGGGAAACCCCCCGGGCACTGGGGACAGCTCCCGGGACCCCCGAGCCCTCCCCTGTGGGATGTGGGGACACCGCGGGGACACTGTGGGGACACTTTGGGGACAGAGAACCCAGGGGTGTCCCCAGGGGTGTCCCCAGTGCCACAGGGGTGTCTCCAGTGCCACGGGCCTGTCTCTGGATGTCTCCTCTCCAGGGCTGTCCCCGTGTCCCCAGGGCTGTCCCCAGTGCCATGATCCTATCCCAGGGCTGTGTCCATGCCCCCATGTCCCCAGGGCTGTCCCCAATGCCATTGATCCTGTCCCATGTCTGTCCCCATGTCCCCACGTCCATCCCCACATCCCTGGGCTGTCCCCATGTCCATCCCCATGTCCATCCCCATGTCCCCATGTCTGTCCCCATGTCCCCAGGGCTGTCCCCAATGCCATTGATCCTGTCCCATGTCTGTCCCCACGTCCGTTTCCATGTCCCCATGTTCATCCCCATGTCCCCACGTCCGTCCCCGTGTCCCCATGTCCCCATGTCCGTCCCCGTGTCCGTCCCCATGTCCATCCCCACGTCTGTCCCCATGTCCCCATGTCCGTCCCCATGTCCCCATGTCTGTCCCCATGTCCATCCCCATGTCCCCATGTCCATCCCCACATCCATCCCCATGTCCCCATGTCCATCCCCATGTCCGTCCCCGTGTCCATCCCCATGTCCCCGTGTCCATCCCCGTGTCCCCACGTCCGTCCCCGTGTCCGTCCCGTCCGTGCACCCACGTCGGGCGGGGGCGCGTCCTCGGGCGGGAGGAAGTAGTGGGTGACCATCATGGTGGTGCCTTTGATGACGCCCACGTCGAACCACTGGTTCTCCTTCTTGGGCAGCGCCTTGGGCGGCGCCCCTGGCTCCGGCTTCTGCCAACGGAATGGGCGTGGGTTTGGGGGGAAATCGGGGGGTTTGGGGGATTTTATGGGGGGAAATCGGGGGGTTTGGGGGATTTGGGGGGGTTTTATGGGGGGAAATCGGGGGGCTTGGGGGATTTTATGGGGGTTTTATGGGGGGAAATCGGGGGTTTGGGGGATTTTATGGGGGGAAATCGGGGGGTTTGGGGCATTTGGGGGGGTTTTATGGGGGAAATCGGGGATTTTATGGGGGAAATTGGGGATTTTATGGGGGAAATTTGGGGAATTTGGGGGGATTTTATGGGGGGAAATTGGGGATTTTATGGGGGACATTTGGGGAAATTTCTGGTGGATTTAGGGTTCATTTGTGAGGACTTTGAGGGAAATTCTGGGGTTATTTGGGGGAGGATTTGAGGTGGATTTTGAGGTGAATTTGAGGGTTTTGTGAGGATTTTGAGGTGAATTTGAGGGTTTTGGGGGCATTTTGAGGTGGATTCCCCCGCACTCACCACGGGGGTGCCCTCGATGCCGTTGGCCACCTCGGCCAGGGCGGCGGCCGCCTGCAGCTTGGCGGGGCTGGGGGCCACCGCGGGGCCCGGGGGGGCCACGAAGGCGCTCGAGGGGGCCAGGCCTGCTGGGGGGCACACCAAAAATTGGGGAAGGGGCTTAAACCCCCCCCTTGGAAATCCCCACCCTCCCCAATGGCAGCAGTGGGGTCTCCAACCCACACTATGGATGCCCCCCCCCCTTGTCATGGGTGCCCCCTCAAGGGGTCCCAGACCCCCCCAGGGATCCTAAATCCCCCCAGCCCATAAGCACCCCCCCAAAGGACCCCTCCCCACAAAATGGGGGTCCCACGGGGGTCCCAAACCCTCCATGTGACCCCCCCCCCACACCCCATAAACATCCCCTAAAAAGCAGCACCCCAAAATGGGTCACCCCCAAGGGGTCACAACCCCCCCATGGATCCCAAACCCCTCCATGGGACCCCCCCACACCCCATAAACACCCCCCAAAGGACCCCTCCCCAAAATGGGCACCCCCCAGGGACCCCAAACCCCCCCGTGGGACCCCTCCCACCCCATAAACACCCCCCAAAGGACCCCTCCCCAAAATGGGCACACCCCAGGGACCCCAAACCCCCCTGTGGGACATCCCCCACCCCATAAACACCCCCCTGTGGGACCCCTCCCCACCATGGGCTCCCTCTCCCCACCCCGCTCTGCCCCGGGCGGGGGTCCCAAGGCCGGAGCCCCCCCCGGGGTGCCTCACCGTCGGCGGGGGGGGGCAGCAGGGCGGCGGGGGCGCCCCCCCCGGGCACGGTGCCCAGCTCCCCCAGCCCGTTGGCGTCGCCCGCGGGGTCGTTGAGGCTGTCGGCGGGGGCCAAGGCCTCGGTGGGCAAATGGGGAGGGGGCGCGGCCGCCGGTGGGGGGGCGGCGGGGGCGGGGGGGGGCAGGGGCGGGGGCGGGGGGCGCGGGGGGGGCCGCGGGGGGGGTCCCGGCCTCGGCCAGGTGCTGCTGGTGCTGCACCAGCGCCGCCAGCTCCTGCTGGGTCAGCACCAGGGGCAGCGCCCCCCCCGCGCCCCCCGGCCCCTCCGGCACCCCCAGGGCCCCCCCCAGCTCCGAGGGGCCCCCCCCGGGCTCGCCGGGCTCCAGCGGCTCCGATGTGCCTGTGGGGAGGGGGACAGGGGGTCAGGGTGGGGCAGGGCGGAACGGACCCCTGGGGTCACCGGGGTCAGCCCAAAATCCGCCCCTGGGGTCATCGGGATCAGCCCAAAATTCATCCCATGGGGTCAGCCCAAAATCTGCCCTGTGGGGTCACTGGGGTCAGCCCAAAATCCACCCTGTGGGTCACTGGGGTCAGCCCAAAATCTGCCCTGTGGGGTCATCGGGGTCAGCCCAAAATCTGCCCTGTGGGGTTATTGGGGTCAGCCCAAATCTGCCCCGTGGGGTCAGACCCAAAATCTGCCCTGTGGGGTCACTGTGGTCAGCCCAAAATCTACCCCGTGGGGTCACTGGGGTCAGCCCAAAATTCACCCCGTGGGGTCAGACCCAAAATTCACCCCATGGGGTCAGCCCAAAATCCACCCTGTGGGGTCACTGGGGTCAGCCCAAAATCTGCCCCGTGGGGTCACTGGGGTCAGCCCAAAATCCACCCCTGGGGTCACTGGGGTCAGCCCAAAATTCATCCCATGGGGTCATCGTGGTCATGGGGTCATTGTGGCCCCCACTGTGTGACCCCCATAACCATGGGACCACCAGCATGGGACCAAGACCCCGGTGACCACCCCCAAACCCCCCCAGAACCCCCCAAACTCCCCCCAGGACCCCCCAAACCCCCCCAGGACCCCCCAAACCCCCCCAAACCCCCCAGACCCACCCATGACGGCCTGCTGCGCGGCCTGCAGCACGGCCTGGATCGCCAGGGCCTGGGCCTGCGCCTCCTCGCTCGCCGCCGCCGCCGCCGCCGCCTCGGCCGCCGCGGTGACCGCCAGCTCCTCGGGGGTCAGCCCGGGGGGACCCCCCGCGCCCCCCGCCTCGGCCAGCAGCTCGGGGGGCAGCGCCAGCCCCTCGGCCGGGCCCCCCTCGGCCGCGGCCGGCGGCAGCACCACCACGGCCAGCGGCTCCGGGGACCCCCCGGCCTCGGCCCCGGGGGCGGCCTCGGGCCCGGGGGGGGACGGGGACGCGGCCGAGGGGGGGTCCTGGGGCGGGTGGGGGTCTCCAGGGGGGGTGGGCGTGGTGGTGGGGGGGGTCTCGGGGGGAGCCGGGGGGGATTCGGTCAGCGACGAGATGGTCTGGGGGGAGGGGAGAGGAAATGGGGTTGGGGGGGGGAAGAGACCCCCACCCAAAATGGGGCCTTGGTGGCCTCCAGAGCCACCGCAGGTCCCTGGTGGCACTGCCGTGGTACTCAGGGCACCCTCGGTGTCCCCAAACCCCCGCCAGTGTCTCTGTAACGTCCCCAGTGTCCCCAAAACCTCCCCAGGGTCCCCAAAACCCCCCCCGGGTCCCCAAAACCTCCTCAGGGTCCCCAAAACCTCCTCAGGGTCCCCAAGCCCCCCATCCAACTGTCCTCAACCCCCCCTCAATGTCCCCAACCCCCTCTACTGTCCCCAACCCCCTTCCAGTGTCCCCATACCCCCTTTCAATGTGCCCAAATCCCCTTTCAATGTCCCCAAACCCCCTCCCCAGTGTCCCCAAATCCCCTTGCAATGTCCCCAACCCCCTCCCAGTGTCCCCAGCCCCCTCCCAGTGTCCCCAAGCCCCTCCCCAGTGTCCCCAGCCCCCTCCCAGTGTCCCAGAGCCGCTCACCGGCACGGCCGGCCCCGGCGCTGGCGTGGACTGAGTGACCGTGGTGACCGCCCGGGGCTGGGGGGTCCCGCTGCCGCTGGGGCCGGGGCTGGGGGTCCCGGGGGGCACAGGGGGACCCCCACCCTCGCTGGGGGGCGTCTCCCCCTCCCCCTGCCCGTTGGCAGCCGGCGGGGGGGGCTCTGTGGGGACAGCGGGGAGGGGTCAGTGAGAGGCAAAGGGCGGAGGGGACGATTTGGGGACAGTCTGGGGACAATGCGGGGGTCACCTTGGCTGGCGCCCATGCTGGCGGTGACCGTGGTGGCCGTGGCCGTTGTCCCCGTCTCGTGGGTCTCGCAGGGGGGGTTGGAGCAGGCGCGGGGGGGGCTGGTGGCGGTGGCACAGGGCGGGGGCGGCGTCACCCCCTCGGTGGTGGCCGTGCTGGTGGCCCCGCTCTGGTGGCTCTGGCAGGGCGAGGACCCCGCTCTGGTGGCCGTGCTGGTGGTCCCGGTCTCGAGGGTCTCGCAGGGGGGGTTGGCACAAGGCGGTGACCCCCCTGTGCTGGTGGTGGCAGCGCTGGTGGCCGTGGTGGTGTCACCCGGCCGGGAGCCCGCGGTGGCCGTGGTGGCCGTGTTGGTGGTCCCGGTCTCGTGGGTCTCGCAGGGGGGGTTGGAGCAGAGCTGTGACGATGTCATTGTCACCGTGTTGGTCGTCCCCGTCTCGTGGGTCTCGCAGGGGGGGTTGGCGCAGGGGGGGACACCTCGAGGTGGTGGCACCGCTGTCCCCGACTCGGGCGGGGGGCGCGAGGTGGCCGTGGTGGTGGTGGCCGTGCTGGTTGTCCCGGTCTCGTGGGTCTCGCAGGGGGGGTTGGAGCAGAACCGTGTCCCCGTGGTTGTCACCGTGTTGGTTGTCCCGGTCTCGTGGGTCTCGCAGGGAGGGTTGGAGCAGAGCTGTGACCCTGTCACCGTCACCGTGTTGGTTGTCCCCGTCTCGTGGGTCTCACAGGGGGGGTTGGAGCAGAGCTGTGACGCTGTCATTGTCACCGTGTTGGTTGTCCCCGTCTCGTGGGTCTCACATGGGGGGTTGGCACACAGCCGTGTCCCCGTGGTTGTCACCGTGTTGGTTGTCCCCGTCTCGTGGGTCTCGCAGGAGCAGGGTGGCCTCGGTGCTGTCATTGTCACCGTGTTGGTTGTCCCGGTCTCGTGGGTCTCACAGGGGGGGTTGGAGCAGGGTGGCCTCGGTGCTGTCACCGTCACCGTGTTGGTTGTCCCCGTCTCATGGGTCTCGCAGGGGGGGTTGGAGCAGATCCGTGTCCCCGTGGTTGTCACCGTGTTGGTTGTCCCGGTCTCGTGGGTCTCGCAGGGGGGGTTGGCACACAGCCGTGTCCCCGTGGTTGTCACCGTGTTGGTTGTGCCGGTCTCGTGGGTCTCACAGGGAGGGTTGGAGCAGAGCTGTGACGCTGTCACTGTCACCGTGTTGGTTGTCCCCGTCTCGTGGGTCTCGCAGGGGGGGTTGGCACACAGCCGTGTCCCCGCGGGGGTCTCGCAGCTCGCCGTGGTGGCCGCAGTGACCGCCCCGGTGGCCGCAGTGACCGCCCCGGTGGCCGTGCCCCCCTCAGGCTGCCCCCAGGGCGTTGTTTGGCACGAGGTGACGCCGCTGCCACCGCCGCCCTCGGGGGGACACAGCCGCGCCGTCATGGTGGTGCCCGTGGCCGCCGTCTGCTGCGTGGGGCAGGGTGGCGCCCCGGGCGTCCCCAGCCGCGCCGTCCCCGTCGTCCCCGCCGCCGTGGGGGTGTTGGTGGTCCCCGTCTCGTGGGTCTCGCAGGGGGGGTTGGAGCAGGCCCGGGGGGTCACTGCCGTCCCCCCGCCCGTGTCCTCGCAGAGCAGCTGCAGCTGAGCCCCCCCCGTGCCCACGGTGGCCACCAGGCTGGTGGTGGCCGTGTTGGTGGTCCCGGTCTCGTGGGTCTCGCAGGGGGGGTTGGAGCACACCAGGGTGACGGTGCCCGGGGTGGGCTCGGCGGCGGGGGGCTCGGCCAGGCCGCCGCCCCCCGAGGCGGCCGCGGGGGGACCCTCGGCCGTGGGGGACGCCAGGATGGACACGGGGAGGTCGTGGACGGGCTGGGCCTCCACGCCGCTGGGCGTGGTGATCAGCGTCACCTGCGTGGGCTGGGACACCGGCTGTGTCCCCACAGCGCGTCAGGGGGGTGGCACCGAGCGCAGACACCGCCCCCAGCCCCAAATCTCTGTGACCCCAGCCCCAAATCTCTGTGACCCCCCCCCTTGTGTCACCTCAAATGCCTGTGTGTCCCCTCCCCGCTCCTGTCAGCAGCACAGCTGGGGCTGAGCCGCGTTTGGGGACACCCCCAAATGTCCCCAGTGTCCCCTCACTTGCATGGTACTGGTCAGTGTCCCCTGTCCCCCTGTCCCCAGTGTCCCTCACCTGCATGGTGATGGTCAGTGTCCCCAATGTCCCCCCTGTCCCCAGTGTCCCCAGTGTCCCTCACCTGCATGGTGATGGTCAGTGTCCCCAATGTCCCCCCTGTCCCCAGTGTCCCTCACCTGCATGGTGATGGTCAGTGTCCCCAATGTCCCCAGTGTCCCCAGTGTCCCCCCTGTCCCTCACCTGCATGGTGATGGTCAGTGTCCCCAGTGTCCCCAATGTCCCCAGTGTCCCAGTGTCCCTCACCTGCATGGTGATGGTCGGTGTCCCCAGTGTCCCCTGTCCCCAGTGTCCCCAGTGTCCCCAATGTCCCCAGTGTCCCCAGTGTCCCCCCTGTCCCTCACCTGCATGGTGATGGTCGGTGTCCCCAGGCCGCCGCCGGCCGCGGTGGCCGTGATGGCCGCGGGGTTCAGGACCTGGCTGGACAGGGTGGCGATTGTCCCCAGGGTGGTGATGGGGGTGGCCAGCGAGGCCGTGGCGCTGTGGCCACCCGCGCCCCCGGCCAGGCTGGTGGACACCGTCCCTGTCACCGTCCCCAGCGTGGTCACACCTGCCAGGGACACGAGGGTAGTGAGTGACCGCTAGGAAAAGTGACCATAAAGTGACCCCATGGTGCCACAGTGACCCCGTGGTGACCCCCCGGTGATGTGGTGACCATGACCACCCCCCCAAGTGACCTCCTGGTGTCCCCCCACTGTCCCCATGACCCCTCCACCCACCCGGTGCTACCCTCGACCACAAGGGTGGTCACCTCAGTGACCCCATGGTGACCCCAATGACCCCTCCAGTGACCTCTCAGTGACCCAATGACCCCCTGGTAACCCCCCCCTCCACCAGTGGTGTCCTTGACCACAAGTGACCACCCCAGTGACCCAGAGGTGACCCAATGACCCCTAGAGTGACCCCCCCCACTCACCGGTGCTGCCCTTGACCACCGGGGTGGCACCCCAGTGACCCAGAGGTGACCCTTGACCCCAAGTGCCCACTCCTAGTGCCCACCCCAGTGACCCCAGCGTGACCCCACTCACCGGTGGTGCCCTTGACCACCAGGGTGGTCACCGTGGGCTTGACGGCCGAGACGGTGACGGGGGTGACCAGCCGGACCCCCCCCATGGGCACCGTCCTCAGGATGGTCCCCGGCTGTCCCGGGGCCCCCTTCAGCACCACCTGGGGGGACACGGGGACACCGCTGTCACCCGGCCACCCTCGGGGCTGGCAGCCCTCGGGGACAGCCGGCCGGGGTCCCCAGTGTCACCAACCCCCAGTGTCACCAACCCCCCAGTGTCACCAACCCCCCAGTGCCACCAACCCCCAGAGCCACCAAACCCCCCTTGCCACTGTCCCCAATGTCCCCAACCCCCCAGTGCCACCAACCCCCCGGTGCCACCAACCCCCCAGTGCCACCACCCCCCCCCAGTGCCACCAACCCCCAGTGTCACCAACCCCCCCAGTGCCACCAACCCCCCCAGTGTCACCAACCCCCCAGTGCCACTGTCCCCAGTCCCTGAGGTGACCCCAACAGTGTCCCCAGTGTCACCAACCCCCGCTCGCCACTGTCCCCAGTCCCTGAGGTGACCCCACCGGCATCCCCAGGTGTTCCCTGGATGTCCCCAGGTGTCCCCAGGGTGGTTCAGGTGTCCCCAGGGTGGTTCAGGTGTCCCCAGGTGCCCCCAGGGTGGTTCAGGTGTCCCCAGGGCAGCTCAGGTGTCCCCAGGTGTTCCCCAGGTGTCCCCAGGGTGGTTCAGGTGTCCCCAGGTGTCCCCATTTCGGTTCAGGTGTCCCCATTTCGGCTCAGGTGCCCCAGGTGCGCCCTCACCTGTGTCACGCCCTGCTGGCCGTGCCCCCCGCCCAGCTTGGGGACCGCCGTGATGATCTTGGCGGGGGTCCCGGTGCCCGAGGTCATCACCTTGGTGGTGATGATGGTGATGGGGGACTTGATCCCGGGGCTGCTGGTGACACCTGGGGACAGGGGGGGCACAGGGGGACACGGGGGGTCACGGGGGGTCACGGGGGGTCACAGGGGGACACGGGGGGGGCACAGGGGGGTCACAGGGGGGCACGGGGGGGGCACAGGGGGACACCGGGGTCACCCCCTGCCACTCACCGCAGCCCCTGACTGGGGGGGGATGGAGGATTTGGGGGGCTGGGGGAGTTTGGGGGTCTCAGGGATGATGTGGGGGGGGTCTCAGGGGGGTTAAGGTTAATTTGGGGAGGGGTCTCACTCAATGGTAACCCCTGACTGATGATGGCCGACACGGGGATGGTTTTGGTGGGGGCAGGGTGGAGACTTGGGGGTCTCAGGGATTTTGGGGATGGTTTGGGGGTCTCAGGATGGGTTCAGTTAATTTGGGGAGGGGTCTCACGCACCGGTAGCCCCCGACTGGGTGATGATGGCCAACATGGGGATGGTTTGGGTGGGTTCAGGGGGGAGGTTTGGGGGTCTCAGGGATTTTGGGGCTCTCGGGATGGGCTCAGTTAATTTGGGGAGGGGTCTCACGCACCGGTAGCTCCCAGCCGGGTGATGATGGCCGACATGGGGATGGTTTGGGTGGGGCTGGTGGTCCCGGGGGCGGGGGTCTCAGAGGGTTTGGGGGTCTCAGGAAGGTCAGGGAGGGTTTGGGGGTCTCGGGGTAATTTGGGGAGGGGTCTCACTCACCGGTAGCCCCCGACTGGGTGACGATGGTAGACACGGGGATGATTGGGGTGGGGTTGGTGGTCCCAGGGTGGGGGTCTCAGGGGGTTTGAGGGTCACAGGGAGGTCAGGGATGGTTTGGGGGTCTCGGGGTAATTTGGGGAGGGGTCTCACTCACCGGTAGCCCCCGACTGGGTGATGATGGCCGACATGGGGATGGTTTTGATGATGGTGGTGGTGCCGGGCTTGGTGGTGCTGGGGGAGACGCTGCTGATGCCCAGGATGGTGGGGGGCTTGGCCGCCCCCTGCCCCGCCTGCGTGCTGGTCAGGATGGTGGTGGGCTTCCCCTCCCCCGACGTCACCAGCTTCAGGATGGTCCCCGCGGGCAGCGGGCCCTTGGTCTGGGGGGGCAGGGGTCACTGGGGTCAGGGGTCACTTGGGGAGGGGTCATTTGGGGAGGGGTCACTCGGGGAGGGGTCACTCGGAGGGGTCACTCGGGGTGGGGTCACTTGGGGAGGGGTCACTTGGAGGGATCACTCAGGGGGGTCATTTGGGGAGGGGTCACTTGGGGGACTGGTCACTTGGGGAGGGGTCACTCAGGGGAGCGGTCACTTGGGGGAGTGGTCACTCAGGGACGGTCACTCAGGGGGGGTCACTCGGGGAGGGGTCATTTGGGGAGGGGTCACTTGGGGGGGTCACTCAGGGGAGCACTCAGTGAGGGGAGTGGTCACTCAGGGATGGTCACTCAGGGACGGTCACTCAGGGAGTGGTTACTCAGTGATGGTCACTCAGGGACGGTCACTCAGGGACGGTCACTCAGGGACGGTCACTCAGGGATGGTCATGCAGGGGGTGGTCACTCAGTGAGGGGAGTGGTCAGTGACAGCCGAGGGGGGTTTTGGGGGGTGTCAGGAACTCGGGGGGGGGTCACAGTGATTTTACAGGACTTTGGGGTAATTTGGGGGTAATTTCGAAGCACTTTTGGGGGTAATTTGGGATGATTGAGGGCAGTTTTGGGGCAGTTCTGGGGTATTTTGGGGCGTCACCCAGATGATCTGGGTGAGGTTTGAGGCCTGCCCGGTGACAGCCGAGGGGGGTTTTGGGGGTGTCTCAGGGACTTGTGGGGGTCTCAGCGATCTGGGGATAACCTGGGGGCAGTTTTGGGGTGATTTTGGGGTATTTTGGGGTGTCACCTGGATGATCTGGGTGACGGGGCCGCTCGAGGCCTGCCCGGTGACAGCCGAGCTCTGCACCGGCTTCGTCTGCACCACCGACATCACCTTGCCCAGGTTGGAGATCTGGGGGGTCCGGGGGGGGTCAGAGACCCCCAAAATCTGTGTCCCCATCCTCCCAAAGTCCCCAAATCTGTCCCCACCTTCCCGAAATCCTCCCTGTCCCCAAACTGGGCTCCCCCACACCCCCAGAGCCCTCCAGGACCCCCAAAATCTGTGTCACCACCCCCCTAACGTCCCCCGTCCCCAAATCTGTGTTCTCACTCCCCAAATGTCTCCAAACCCACGACCCACCTCCCCAAATGTCCCCAAACCCACAACCCACCTCCCCAAATGTCCCCAAAACTGTGTCCCCACCCTCCCAACGTCACCAAATTGGGGTCCCCACTCCTGAAACCCCCCCAAACCCATGTCCCACCCCCCCAATGTCCCCAAACCCATGTCCCACCCCAACAATGTCCCCAAACCCGTGTCCCACCCCCCAATGTCCCCAAACCTGTGTCCCAATGTCCCCAAACCTGTGTCCCACCCCCCAATGTCCCCAAACCTGTGTCCCACCTCCCCAAATGTCCCCAAACCCCTGTCCCACCCCCTCAATATCCCCAAACCCGTGTCCCACCTCCCCAAATGTCCCCAAAACTGTGTCCCCACCCTCCCAACGTCACCAAATTGGGGTCCCCACTCCCGAAGACCCCCCCCAAACCCGTGTCCCACTCCCTCAATGTCCCCAAACCTGTGTCCCACCCCCCCAATGTCCCCAAAATCATGTCCCACCCCCTCAATATCCCCAAACCTGTGTCCCAATGTCCCCAAACCCCTGTCCCACTCCCCCAATGTCCCCAAACCCGTGTCCCACCCCGCAATGTCCCCAAACCCGTCCCACCCCGCAGTGTCCCCTGTCCCCGTCCCTCACCAGGGCGCTGCCCCCCGGCACCGAGATGGGGCTCTTGACCAGCGTGATGGTCTTGGTGACCCCTCCGACCACGGTGGTGACCACCTGGGCCTGCTGCGCCACCGTCACCGTGCCGGACTTGTGCACGGTGATGATGGGCCTGGTGGCCGCGTTGGTGGCCGCGGGGGACGCCCCGGCCGTGCCCACCTGGGCCGCCGCCGTCTTCAGCATGCGCGTGGCGGGGTTACTGACCTGGGGGACAATGTAGGGACATGGGGGGGACAGAGTGGGGACAATGTAGGGACACGGTGGGGACAGCGTGGGGACACAGGGAAACACGGGAACAACGTGGGGACACGGTGGGGACAGCGTGGGGACAGCGTGGGGACACAGGGAAACACGGGAACAACGTGGGGACACGGTGGGGACAGCGTGGGGACAGCGTGGGGACACAGGGAAACACGGGAACAACGTGGGGACATGGGGGGGACAGCGTGGGGACAGTGTGGGGACACACGGGGACACAGGGGAAAAATGTGGAGACATGGTGGGGACACAGGGACACAGGGGGACAGTGTGGGGACAGTGTGGGGACACGGTGGGGACAGCACGGGGACACAGGGGACAGTGTGGGGACATGGGGGGACAGTGTGGGGACAGTGTGGGGACAGCGTGGGGACACGGGAACAATGTGGGGACATGGGGGGCACAGCATGGGGACAGCGTGGAGACAGAGTGGGGACACAGGGAAACACGGGAACAACGTGGGGACATGGAGGGGACATGGTGGGGACACAGGGGGACATGGTGGGAACAGCGTGGGGATAGTGTGGGGACACAGGGGGACAGTGTGGACAGTGTGGGGACAGCGTGGGGACAGGGAGGGGACACGGTGGAACGTGGTAGGGACACGGGGGGACACAGGGGAACAAGGTGGGGACATGGAGGGGACATGGTGGGGACAGCGTGGGGACAGCGTGGGGACAGAGTGGGGACAGTGTGGGGACACAGGGGAACAATGTGGGGACATGGTGGGGACACAGGGGGACAGAGTGGGGACATGGAGGGGACATGGTGGGGAGATTGTGGGGACATGGTGGGGCGACAGCAAGCATGGGGACATGGCAGGGACACGTGGAGGTATCATGGGGACATGGTGGGGACACCCACGAGGCTGCTGGTGACACCACGGCGTCACCCTGGGTCCCCTGGTGACACCACGGTGACAATGACAGACCCCTTCAGTGCCACCCCAGGCCCCGGTGACACCACGGTGACAATGACAAACCCCTCCAGCGCCACCCCAGGCCCCGGTGACACCACGGTGACAATGACAAACCCCTCCAGCGCCACCCCAGGCCCCGGTGACACCACGGTGACAATGACAAACCCCTCCAGTGCCACCCCAGGCCCCAGTGACACCATGGTGACAATGACAAACCCCTCCAGTGCCATCCCAGGCCCCGGTGACACCACGGTGACAATGACACCGGCACAGCCAGCCCCCCCAGTGCCACCCAAGCCCCCCCAGCGTCCCTTACCATGACGGGTGACGAGGCCACCTTGACGGTGGCGGGCAGGGTGGTGGCCCCGGGGGTCACGGCCACCGTCTTGACGATGGTGGCCCCCGCGGGGACGCTGAGCACGGTGGGCGCCGAGGCCGGGGGGATCTTCTGGGTGGCCGCGGCCGCTGCGGCCAACGCGGCCATGCCGCTCATCTGGGGGCTGCTGCCGATCACCTGCGGGGAGGGGGCACCTGAGCACAGCTGGGGACAGCTGGGGACAGCTGGGGACACCTGGGGACAGCTGGGGGCACCTGGGCATAGCTGGGGGCACCTGGGCACACCTGAGCACAGCTGGGGACAGCTGAGCACACCTGAGCACACCTGAGCACAGCTGGGGGCACCTGAGCACAGCTGGGGACACCTGGGCACACCTGAACACACCTGAGCATACTTGGGCACACCTAGGGACAGCTGGGGACACCTAAACACACCTGGAGGCACAGCTGGGGACAGCTGGGGGGACACCTGAGCACACTTAGGAACAGCTGAGCACAGCTGGGCACAGCTGGGGACACCTGAGCACAGCTGGGGACAGCTGGGGACACCTGGGGGCACACCTGAGCACAGCTGGGCACAGCTGGGGGCACCTGGGGACAGCTGGGGACACACCTGAGCACAGCTGGGGGCACCTGAGCACAGCTGGGGGCACCTGAGCACACCTAGGGGCACACCTGAGCACAGCTGGGGACACACCTGAGCACAGCTGGGCACAGCTGGGGACACCTGGGGGCACCTGAGCACACCTGGGGACAGCTGGGGGCACCTGAGCACACCTGGGGACAGCTGGGGGGCACCAGGTCACACCTGGGATACACCTGGGCATACCTTGGATGCGCCTGGGGACACCTGGGATACAGCTGGGACAGCAAGGTGATACCCAAGGACCACCTGTGTCACACCTGTGACCCCCCAGGTACCCCCTGGAGCTCCTCTGTGTCACACCTGTGTCCCCAGGTACCACCTATATCACACCTGTGACCTCCAGGTACCACCTGTGTCACACCTGTGACCCCCAGGTACCACCTGGAGCTCCTCTGTGTCACACCTGTGACCCCCAGGTACCACCTGTGTCACACCCGTGTCCCCAGGGACCCCCCAGAACCCTCTCGGTACCCCCCTATGTCCCCAACACCCCCCGGGACCCCTCCCCGTGCCCCCCACCTGTCCCAGGTGTCCCAGGTGTGCCCGCTCTCACCGTGCCCTGGGGGCTCTGGGTGGGCACCACCATCCTGACGCCGGCGGGCAGCGATGTCACCGTCACCGGGGCCTTGCCAGGCCCGGCCGAGCGCACGGTGACCAGCGGTGGCCCCGCGCCGGCCGCAGGGGGACCCGTCACCTTCAGCACCGCCGGGACACCTGGGGGGGACAGGGACACCCGGGGACATCCCCCATGTCACCCTCAGCACCTTCCTGTCCCTCTCAGTGTCCCCCGTGTCCCCCCCAAAGTCCCCATCTCTGCTCCCAATGTCCTCAACGTCCCCCCCAATGTCCCCAACGCCCCCTCAACGTCCCCCCGAATGTCCCCAACGCCCCCTCAACGTCCCCCCGAATGTCCCCAATGCCCCCTCAATGTCCCCAACGTCCCCCACAATGTCCCTAGTGTCCCCCCCAATGTCCCCAATGTCCTGCCATGTCCCCATCTCCCCCCCTGCCATGTCCCCAACGTCCCCCCAATGTCCCCAACATCCCCCACAATGTCCCCAACGTCCCCTCAATGCCCCCCCCCGTGTCCCCAATGCCCCCCCCATGTCCCCAACGTCCCCCACAATGTCCCCAACGCCCCCCCAATGTCTCTAGTGTCCCCCCCAATGTCCCCATCTCCCCCCCCAATGTCCCTAGTGTCCCCCCAATGTCCCTAGTGTCCCCCCAATGTCCCTAGTGTCCCCCCCCAATGTCCCCAGCGCCCCCCCGATGCCCCCAATGTCCCCCCCAATGTCCCGAACACCCCCTCAACGCCCCCCCAATGTCCCCAACGTCCCCCTCAATGTCCCCCCCCCATGTCCCCACGCCCCCCACACTCACCGGGCGCCCTCCCCGCCGTGGTCACTCCGCTGGCCGCAGTGGCCGCCGTGCCCGCGGCCGGCAGCACCTGCAGGGTGGCACCGGGGGCCGCAGCCACCGCTGACCCGCCCGCCGCAGCCACCGCTGCCACCGTGGTGCCACCACTGCCACCACCACTGCCACCCGTGCCCGCCGTGCCCGCGGCAGCAGCAGCGGCCGCAGCGGTGACCCCGGGCGGGTTGGGGGGCGCGGGCGGCAGCAGCGTGAGCCCCACGCCCCCCAGCTGGGGCAGGGCGGGGGGCGCGGGCGGCGGCGCGGGCGCGGCGGGCGCGGGGCTCTTGGGCGGGTTGGCGGGCACCGAGGGCACGGGCGGCGGCGCGGGCGCGGCGGGCAGCTCGTACTTCTGCAGCTGCAGCAGGTACGAGTCGGCCGTGGGCACCGCGCCCCAGCTCACCTCCAGCGACGTCGTGTTGGCGCGCACCAGCTGCACGCGGCCCGGCGCCGGGGGGCGCTCTGCGGGGACAGGGCAGGGTGGGCGCGGGGCGGCGCGCCGGGGCTGCTCCTGGCGCACCTGGGTGCACCTGGGTGCACCTGGGCTGCTCATATCACAGCTGGGCACACCTGGGCTGCTCATAGCGCACCTGGGTACACCTGGGCACACCTGGGTGCACCTGGGCACACCTGTGCTGCTCATATTGCACCTGGGTACACCTGGGCACACCTGGGTGCACCTGGGCTGCTCCTATGGCACCTGGGTACACCTGGGTGCACCTGGGCTGTGCTTATCGCACCTGGGTATACCTGGGCACACCTGGGCAGCTCCTAGCGCACCTGGGTGCACCTGGGCTGCTCCTATAGCACCTGGGCACACCTGGGCTGTGCCTATCGCACCTGGGCACACCTGGGTACACCTGTACTGCTCCTAGCGCACCTGGGCACACCTGGGCGCACCTGGGCTGTGCCTATCACACCTGGGCGCGGGGTGGCGCGCCTGGGCTGCTCGTATTGCAGCTGGGCGCACCTGGGCTGCTCATATTGCACCTGGGTATACCTGGGCACACCTGGGTACACCTGTGCTGTGCCTATCGCACCTGGGTATACCTGGGCACACCTGTGCTGCTCGTTCACACCTGGGTACATCTGTACTGCTCATATTGCACCTGGGCACACCTGGGCGCACCTGGGCTGCTCCTATCACACCTGGGCACACCTGGGCTGCTCCTAGCGCACCTGGGCGCACCTGTGCTGTGCCTATCACACCTGGGCGCGGGGCGGCGCGCCGGGGCTGCTCCTATGGCACCTGGGTGCACCTGGGTGCACCTGGGCTGCTCCTAGCGCACCTGGGTGCACCTGGGCACACCTGGGTGCACCTGTGCTGCTCATAGCGCACTTGGGTGCACCTGGGTGCACCTGGGCACACCTGGGCACACCTGTGCTGCTCCTATCGCACCTGGGTACATCTGTACCGCTCACATCACACCTGGGCACACCTGTGCTGCTCAAATCACAGCTGGGTACACCTGTCCTGCTCCTAGCGCACCTGGGCACACCTGGGCTGTGCCTATCGCACCTGGGCACACCTGTGCTGCTCAAATTGCACCTGGGCGCACCTGTGCTGCTCCTATCGCACCTGGGCACACCTGTGCTGTGCCTATCGCACCTGGGTACACCTGGGCACACCTGGGCACACCTGGGCGCACCTGTGCTGCTCCTATCGCACCTGGGTACACCTATGCTGTGCCTATCGCACCTGGGCACATCTGGGTACATCTGTGCTGCTCCTATCACACCTGGGCACACCTGGGCGCACCTGTGCTGCTCATATCACAGCTGGGTACACCTGGCTCATACCCGTGCAACACCTGGGTACACCTGCACCGCTCCTATCACACTCTATCACACCTGGGCTACACCTGTCACACCTGTGCTGCAGCACATCTGGGATCCCCCCACCCAGGCCCCCAACCCCACCTGTCCCCAGGTACCACAGGTCCTTGCAGCCCCCCCAGACTGACTGAACCCCCCCAGACTCACCTGTCCCCAGGTACCACAGGTCCTTGCAGCCCCCCTGAGCCCCTCACATCCTTGCAGCCCCCCAGACTCACCTGTCTCCAGGTACCACAGGTCCTTGCAGCACACCTGGTTGTTCCAGGCCTTGCGGTAGCCGTCGCGGCCGCTCCAGATGTAGAGGCGGGTGGCGATGGCCACGGCGCAGTGCCCGGCGCGCGCCCGCGGCACGTTGTCCTCCAGCGTCTCCAGCACCAGCGGCTCCCAGGCCATCGAGTCTGGGGGGCACGGGGGGTTTGGGGGTCACAGAGGGGTTTGGGGGGCTCAGAGTGGGGTTTGGGGGGCTCAGAGTGGGGTTTGGGGGGTCACAGAGGGGCACAGGGGGGTCACAGAGGGGCACAGGGGGGTCACAGAGGGGCACAGGGGGGTCACAGAGGGGTTTGGGGGGGTCAGGGAGGGGTTTGGGGGGTCACAGAGGGGTTTGGGGGGGTCACAGAGGGGTTTGGGGGGGTCACAGAGGGGTTTGGGGGGGACACAGAGGGGTTTGGGGGGTCACAGAGGGGTTTGGGGGGTCACAGAGGGGTTTGGGGGGGTCACAGAGGGGTTTGGGGGGTCACAGAGGGGTTTGGGGGGTCACAGAGGGGTTTGGGGGGGACACAGAGGGGTTTGGGGGGTCACAGAGGGGTTTGGGGGGCTCAGAGTGGGGTTTGGGGGGCTCAGAGTGGGGTTTGGGGGGGTCACAGAGGGGTTTGGGGGGTCACAGAGGGGTTTGGGGGGGTCACAGAGGGGTTTGGGGGGTCACAGAGGGGTTTGGGGGGGTCACAGAGGGGTTTGGGGGGGTCACAGAGGGGTTTGGGGGGCTCAGAGTGGGGTTTGGGGGTGTCACAGAGGGGTTTGGGGGGGTCACAGAGGGGTTTGGGGGGTCACTGGGGGGTTTGGGGGGGTCAGAGTGGGGTTTGGAGGGGTCACAGAGGGGTTTGGGGGGTCACAGAGGGGTTTGGGGGGCTCAGAGTGGGGTTTGGGGGTGTCACAGAGGGGTTTGGGGGGGTCACAGAGGGGTTTGGGGGGTCACTGGGGGGTTTGGGGGGGTCAGAGTGGGGTTTGGAGGGGTCACAGAGGGGTTTGGGGGGGCACAGAGGGGTTTGGGGGGTTCAGAGTGGGGTTTGGGGGGTCACAGAGGGGTTTGGGGGGTCACAGAGGGGTTTGGAGGGGTCACAGAGGGGTTTGGAGGGGTCACAGAGGGGTTTGGGGGGGTCACAGAGGGGCACAGGGGGGTCACTGGGGGGTTTGGGGGGGTCACAGAGGGGTTTGGGGGGCTCAGAGAGGGGTTTGGGGGGCTCAGAGAGGGGTTTGGGGGGGTTACAGAGGGGTTTGGGGGGTCACAGAGGGGTTTGGGGGGGTCACAGGTGGGTTTGAGGGGGTCACAGAGGGGTTTGGGGCAGTTTGGGGGGGTCAGAGAGGGGTTTGGGGGGTCAGAGAGGGGTTTGGGGGGCTCAGAGAGGGGTTTGGGGGGGTCACAGAGGGGTTTGGGGGGCTCACAGAGGGGTTTGGGGGGGTCACAGAGGGGTTTGGGGGGTCACAGAGGGGTTTGGGGGGCTCAGAGTGGGGTTTGGGGGGTCACAGAGGGGTTTGGGGGGTCACAGAGGGGTTTGGGGGGGTCACAGAGGGGTTTGGGGGGTGCACAGAGGGGTTTGGGGGGGTCACAGAGGGGTTTGGGGGGGCTCAGAGGGGTTTGGGGGGTCACAGAGGGGTTTGGGGGGGTCACAGAGGGGTTTGGGGGGTCACAGAGGGGTTTGGGGGGGTCACAGAGGGGTTTGGGGGGCTCACAGAGGGGTTTGGGGGGGTCACAGAGGGGTTTGGGGGGTCACAGAGGGGCACGGGGGGGTCACAGAGGGGCACGGGGGGGTCACAGAGGGGTTTTGGGGGAACTGGGGAGGGGTTTGGGGGGTCACCCCAGGATTTGGGAGGCTCAGAGTAAGGTTTGGGGGGATTTGGGGGAACTGGGGAGGTGTTCAGGGATTTTAGGGTGGATTTGGGGTGGGTCTGGGGGTCCCAAGCCCCCTCCTCACCCAGGTTCAGGTTTGGGGGGGTTCAGGGTGGGTTTTAAGGTGGATTTGGGGTGGGTTTGGGGGTCCCAAGCCCCCTCCTCACCCAGGTTGAGGTTTGGGGGGTTCAGGGTGGGCTTTAGGGTGGATTTGGGGTGGGTCTGGGGGTCCCAAGCCCCCTCCTCACCCAGGTTCAGGTTTGGGGGGGGTTCAGGGTGGGCTTTAGGGTGGATTTGGGGTGGGTCTGGGGGTCCCAAGCCCCCTCCTCACCCAGGTTCAGGCAGGCCAGGGTGTTGGTGCACTTCCACTCCTTCTCGTGCGTCGCCACCTTCACGTCATCCATCACCAGGGGCACCCACCCCCCAAAAACGTACATCCTGGGGGGGCAGAGGTCACGGAGGGGTCAGGGGGTACCCAGAGACCCCCACCCCAAAAATCTGCACAGGCCTGGGGGGTCCACAGGGGTCACAAAGATCACAGAGACACCCAGACCCCAAAAATGTCCCTCCTGGGGTGTGGTGGGGGGTTCATAGGGGCACCCACCCCCCAAAAATGTCCCTCAGGGGGGTCAGAGGGACACCCAGAGACCCCCAACCCAAAATTTTCATCTTTGGGGGGTAATTAGACCACCCATAGTAATTAAAAAAAATTAAAATTAAACACCTCCCTAAAGACTCCAACCCACCCTGGGTGGGGACAGGGACACAAAGGGACCCCCCAGGACAGAGTGGGGGTCAGGGGGGGATTTTGGGGGGTTTTTTGGGGGGGGTCGCCCCCAGACTCACTTGTTGCCGATGGTGGTGGCCGAGTGGAGGCTGCGGGGGAGGGGAGCGACCCCGCTCAGGCTCGGCTTGTTCCAGGTCAGAGTCTCTGAAAACCCCCAAAATGTGAGGAAACGGCCCCAAAACGTGAGGAAACGGACACAAAATGTGAGGAAATGGACCCAAAACGTGAGGAAATGAACCCAAAATGCGAGGAAACGGACCCAAAATGTGAGGAAACGGACCCAAAATGTGAGGAAATGGACCCAAAACCAACAAAAATGTAAAGAAACATCCACTCTCACCCCCATAGATACCAACATCCCCCAGTGTCCCTCACTGCCCTCCATTGTTCTGAGTCCTCCAGACCCTAAATCCCCTAAAAGTCCTCAAAACCCCCTAAAAACCCCCAAACTCCCCCAAAATCCCCCATACCAATATCCAGGGTCCATAAATCCCCCAGCCTGCAGCCGCTCATGCCCCCAGTGTCCCTCACACCTCCCATTCCCCCGAGTTCTCCAGACCCTAAAATCCCCTCCAAACCCCACAAAAACCCTTAAAAACCCCCAAACTCCCCCAAAATCCCCCATACCGATATCCAGGGTCCACAGATCCCCCAGCCTGCAGCCGCTCATGGCCCCACAGATGCCCCATTCTCCAGACACTCTTTGTTTCCCCTGAGCCCCCCATACCCTAAATCCCCTAAAACCCCACAAAATCCCCCTGAAACCCCTTAAAAACCCCAAAAAACCCCCAAAATCCCCCATACCAATATCGAGGGTCCACAGATCCCCCAGCCTGCAGCCGCTCATGCCCCCACAGATGACGATATCCCCCCAAGCAACCCCCATTCCCCTGACCCCAAAATCCCCCAAATGCCTTCCAAACCCCACAAAAACCCTTAAAACCCCCCAAATTCCCCCAAAATCCCCCATACCGATATCCAGGGTCCACAAATCCCCCAGCCTGCAGCCGCTCATGCCCCCGTAGATGACAAGGCGCGAGCGCCGCCCGTCGCGCTCCGTGTACACCACGGCCGTGTGGGACTCCCGGGGAGGGGGCAGCACCCCATAAGTGATGGGGATGTCCCAGGCCAGCACCCCCGAGCCCGGGCGCAGCTCCAGCACGTACAGGTCGTTCAGGTAGCTGAGGAAAGGGATACGGGGTCAGGAGATCCCATTAGAGATCCTAAAAGGGTGGTTGGATGTGTGGGATTGCCCTAAAACATCCCTTAAATCCCATAAAATGCACCCAGGATGGCCCCAAAAACACCTGTGGCCATGTGTACAGGTGTTCAGATAGCTGTAGAGGGGATTCAGAAAGTCTGGAAACCCCAAAAAAATCCTAAAATGGTGTTTGGATGTGTGGGACTGTCCTAAAAGTATGACTGGGGACAAGGGATTGCCCTAAAACCCCTTAAATCCCATAAAATGTACCCAGGATGGCCCCAAAAACACCTGTGGCCATGTATACAAATGTTCAGATAGCTGTAGAGGAGACTGAGAAGGTCTGGACACCCCAAAAAAATCCTAAAATGGTGTTTGGATGTGTGGGACTGGCCGAAAAGTGTGACTGGGGACAAGGAATTGCCCTAAAACCCCTTAAATCCCATAAAATGCACCCAGGATGGCCCCAAAAACACCTGTGGCCATGTGTACAGGTGTTCAGATAGCTGTAGAGGAGATTGAGAAGGTCTGGACACCCCAAAAAAATCCTAAAATGGTGTTTGGATGTGTGGGACTGGCCTAAAAGGGTGGCCAAGGATATGGGATTCCCTAAAAGGTCCTTTAAATCCCATAAAATGCACCCAGGACGGTCCCAATGTCGCCTGTGTCCATGTCTGCAGGTGTTTCAGAAAATCTGGACACCTCAAAAAAACCCTAAAAGGGTTTTTGGATATCCAGGATTGCCCTAAAAAAGTGTTTGGGAACATGGGACACCCCTAAAGGAGTTCTTAAAACCCCTAAAATTGACCCAAAACGGTGCCAGTTCCACCTGCACCGCCGCTGGCAATCCCTGAATCCCCCCAATGTTTTAGGGTCACTCCTGTGTCCCCCAAATTAGGAAATGTCTCCAAGTCCCCCCATCCCAACTCTCTCCCCAAGGTTTTGGGGTGTCCCCCTGCCCTCCCCCTGCCCTCCCAGGGTTTTGGGATCATCTGTGTGGCCCCACAAGGGTCCCTGAGCTCCCCTAAAAATGATCCCAATGTTTCAGTCTCAACCCCGTGCCCCCCAAAAATCCCGGTGTGCCCCCGAACTCCCTTCCCTCCGGTTATCCTCGGGGTTTTTGGGGTGTCCTGGAGGTTTGGGGTGCTCCCCAGGTTTTGGGGTGCCCCCTAAATGCCATCCCAATGTTTCAGGCTCCCCCCCACACCCCCCCAAATTCCCTGTGTGCCCCCAAACCAGCCCCAAGCCCCCCTCCCCATTGATTCCTGAGGTTTTTGGGGTGCCCCCCAGGTTTTGGGGTGCCCCATACCGGGGGATGTTGTTTTTGGGGTCCTCGCTGTCGTTGGCCAGCCCCCCGAACAGGTAACACTTGTTGCCCACCAGGGAGAAGCTGTGGCCCAGGCGGGGGCAAGGGGGGGGCCCATTTTTGGGGGTCTTCGCCTTCAGCCGCTTCCACTCCCACCTGGAGGCCTGGAACGGGAGGGGGGTGTGGATTTGGGGAGGGGGTCTGGGACTGGGGGACACCCAGGGGGATGGGGGACCCCAAAACTGGAGGGTCCAGGTGTTCAGGAGGGTCCCAGGGGGGTTTCCAGGTGTTTTGGGGGGGTCCCAGGGGCATTTCCAGGTGTTTTTGGGGGGTCCCAGGGGCATTTCCAGGTGTTTTGGGGGGGTCCCAGGGTGCCTGGAGAGGCTCCCAGGGGGTCCCCAGGTGTTCCAAGGGGGTTCCTGAGGGGGTCCTGGAGTTTTTGGGAGGGTCCCAGGGGTTCACTCGTGGTTTGGGGGGGTTCTGGAATGTTTTGGGGTTGTCCTGGGGGGGTTTCCAGTTGCTCGTGGGGCGGTCCCCAGGTGCCCAGGGGGTTGCCCAGGTGTTCAGGGTGTGTCCCCAGGTGCCCAGGGGGTGTCCCCAGGTGTTCAGGGGGTGTCCCCAGGTGCCCAGGGGGTGTCCCCAGGTGTCCCCAGGTGCCCAGGGGGTGTCCCCAGGTGCCCAGGGGGTTGCCCAGGTGCCCAGGGGGTTGCCCAGGTGCCCAGGGGATGTCCCCAGGTGCCCAGGGGGTTGCCCAGGGGTGGTTCCCAGGTGCCCTGGGGGGATCCCCAGGTGTCCCCAGGTGCCATGGGGGGTGTCCCCAGGTGCCCAGGGGGTGTACCCAGGTGCCCAGGGGGTTGCCCAGGTGCCCAGGGGGTGTCCCCAGGTGCTCAGGGGGTGTCCCCAGGTGCCATGGGGGTGTCCCCAGGTGCTCAGGGGGTGTCCCCAGGTGCCCAGGGGGTTGCCCAGGGGTGGTTCCCAGGTGCCCTGGGGGGATCCCCAGGTGTCCCCAGGTGCCATGGGGGGTGTCCCCAGGTGCCCAGGAGGGTTCCCCAGGTGCCCAGGGGGTTCCCCAGGTGCTCAGGGGTACCTGCAGCTCGTAGAGGTCGTTGCTGTACTTGCCGTACTCCACCATGCCCCCGAACACCAGCAGCCGCGTCCCGTCACACACGAAGCCGTAGGCGGCGCAGCCCGGGGGGATGTCCCCCCGCACGGCCGGGATGAACCACTGGTTGGTGGCTGTGGGGACAGACAGGGGACAGGGACATGGGGGGGACAGGGACATACTGAGAACCATCCCCATAACCACTGGTTGGTGGCTGTGGGGACAGAGAGGGGACAGGGACATGGGGGGGACACTGAGAATGATCCCCCCAAACTTCTGGGATGAACCACTGGTTGGTGGCTGTGGGGACAGAGAGGGGACAGGGACATGGGGGGAGGAGGGGGACACCAGGAATGAGCCCCAATCCCATCCCAGTGGGGATCCCCTCTGTGCCCCCCATGTTGTACACCTGCAGCTCGTCCCCAGTGCCAGCCCCACACCCCCAGGTACCCCCAGGTACCCCCAGGTGCCCCCCAGGTACCCCCAGGTGCCCCCCAGGTACCCCCAGGTACCCCCCGGTGCCTCCCCAGGTGCCCCCTGGTGCCCCCCGGTGTTGTACATGTGCACCCCACGCCCCCAGGTGCCCCCAGATGCCCATCCTGTGTCGTACATGTGCTCCCCACGCCCCCAGGTGCCCCCCCAGGTACCCCCCAGGTGCCCCCCCTGTGTCATACATGTGCTCCCCACACCCCCAGGTGCCCCCCAGGTGCCCCCCAGTGCCCATCCTGTGTCATACATGTGCACCCCACGCCCCCAGGTACCCCCAGGTACCCCCAGGTGCCCCCCAGGTACCCCCAGGTACCCCCAGGTGCCCCCCGTGCCCACCTGTGTTGTAGACGTGCAGCTCGTCCACGATGCCCTCGTTGCCGCCCCCGAAGACCACGATCAGCTCCTTGATGGCCACGGCGCGGTGGCCGTGCCGGGGCCGGGGCACGGGCCCAGCCCAGCCCACCACCCGCTTCCAGCGCGGCTGCAGCGCGGGGGCGCCCGGGGGGGCCCGCGGTGGGGACCCCCCCCCGCCCAGGCCTGCCATGCGTCCCCCGCTGCGGTCCTGGGGGGGCACGGGGGGTGAGACAGGGGGGACACCCCAAAAACCACCCGAATTCACTGTCACCCCAAAAATCACTAAAATGAACTGACACCCCCAAAATCACTAACATTTACTGGCAGCCCAAAAATGGCTAAAATGAACTGACACCCCAAATTTCTCTCTTGGAGGGATATGGGTGAAGTCGGATGTGGGGGGACACCCCAAAAATCACCAAAATGTAACTGACACTTCTCCCCCCCCCCCCCCCCCACCTCATGGCATGTTTGGGGGGGGGTTTGTCCCCAAATTTGGGGGTCAATCCCCTTCTGCCCCCTCAAAAGTCTCCAGGGTCATCTCCGACTCCTCCCTACAATCACCCCAAGGGCTTGACACGCCCCCCCCCCCCAAAATCCCGCGTAGAATGTTTAATTACACCCCCCAGGGCAATTACCCCGAAAGAGTTAATTACCCCCCCACAGCGGGGGGTGTGACAATGGGGGAGGAGTCCACTTGAGGGGGAGGGGAGCATTTATTCCTCCCCGTTAATTAATTTCTTCATTATGTCTCCTCTTAATTACCCCTCCTCACACCGTGACGACCCCCCCCCCCCACTACCCAATTATTTACCTCCCTTAAGCTTCATCAAACCCCCCCCCCCAAATTTCCCCTCAGGCCGTGCCCCCCCCACTGTCAAACCCCCCCTACCCACAAATTATCCCCTCAGACTGTGCCCAACCCCCCCCTCCCCAAATTCCCCCCTCAGGCCGTTCTCCCCCCTCAAGTTCAACTCCCCCCTCCCCAAATCCCCCCTCAGGCCGTGACCCCCCCCCCAAAATGCCCAACCCCCCCCCCAGCCCTGCCCCTCCCCTCCCGCCCCCTCCCCCCCCTCAGGCCCCTGCGCGCCGCCATCTTGTCTCTGCCCGGGCGGAAAATGGCGGCCGCCTCCTCCCCCCCACCGCCGCCCCCCCCGCTCACCGCGGCCCCGCGGCCGCCTCCCCCTCCCGGCCCGCGGCCGCTCCCCGATTCCCGGCGGCGGCTCCGGGGGTCGTGCGGCTGCGGCGGCTCCCGGCGCGGGGCTGCGGCTGCGGGCGGAGAGCGGCAGCGGCGGCCCCTCACGCCGCCCTGGGAGCCGCCATCTTGCGCCTGTGTCCGGCGGCCGCTGAGGGTGGGCGGGAAGCGACGGAGTGGGCGGGGCCAACGCGGGCACGCCCCCTCCGGGCCCGGGCGGCGCCATCTTGGCCGGGGACGGGGGGCGACATTGTGGGCAAGACGGGACGGGAGGAGGCGGCGGCACTTTGGGAGGGGGACCGGGAGGAGTTTCACCGCCAACTCGGTGGCCTCCCCGGGTCGGGCCCGGTGGCGGAAAGGCTGGGGCGAGCAGTGAAGGGGCGCGGCGGGGACTGTACGGAGCCGCCTGAAGGGGCGCGGCCATGGCGCCAACGGAGGGGGTGTGGTCACGGAAGGGCGTGGCCACGCCCACTCTAACCGCCTCTTAAAGGAGCCGCCCCCCCAGCCCGCCTTTTACGCGGTTTTCCTTCCTCGCCAAACCGCCCCCCCCCCCCGAGCGCCGCCATCTCCCGGTGCCGCCCCCTCCCGGCCTTCCCGCATCCCCAGAATTGCTCCCCGGCATTCCCGGCCTCGTCCCCCCGCACACACCGAATCCCCCGCGGCCCGGCTGCCGGCGGCGCGGCCCGTTTCCCCTCGGCGCAGCCCTGTACGGAGCGCTCAGCCCGCCATGGGCGCCGCCATCTTGGGCACCCCGCCTCTCCTCGGGTGCCGCCCCCTCCGCAAACCGCGCCGCCTCCCCCTCTTCTCCTTCCCATGCCGCGGGGAGGCCTCGCTCTCCCCACCGCCCCCCGGAATTAACGGGATGCCGGAGCCGCTCTGAGGACTCACGGCCCCGCGGGTCCGAACGGCTCAAACGGGCCGGGGACCCCCGGCGCTGCCATCGCCCCCCGCCCCCCCACCCCGGACTCTCAAGATGGCGGCGCGCGGGACCCGGATGCGGCGGCGCCTCCCAGGACGGCGCCCCGGGGGCGGTGGGGGAAGGACCCGGATGTCGGCGCACGGCACCGCCATGACACCCCGCACGTCCCCTCCCAAGATGGCGCCGGCCAGCCGGCAGAACCGATGCTCGCTGTCGGCCCTCACGGGGTCCCCGCGCTCCCTACCCTCCCTCCCAGCGCTCTCCGCTTCATTCCGCCCTTACCGGGTGCGGCTCCGCTACCACAGCGGCTCCAAGGCGGCGGAGCGGCCGGTGCCCGGGTGCGCGGGGGAGGGGTCACAAGATGGCGGCGCGCTGCTGCGGGAAGGGGGGGGGTCCAAGATGGCTCCGCCCGGTGCCCGGATCTTCCTCCTCCTCCTCTTCCTCCTCCTCGCCGCTCGCACCAGATGGCGGCGCCTGCCCGGGACGGGAGCGGAGCTTTGAGCGCACCCCGCGCTCTCCGCTCAGGCCCCGCCGCCCCCTCCTCTTGTCCCCCCTCCGGAACGGCCCCGATGCGGCGCCCCAAGATGGCGCAGGTGGGAGCAGCAGCTCCGCGGCGGCCCAAGATGGCGGCGGCCGCGGGACCCGGATGCGCCGCTCTCCGCGCCGCTCCGCTGCCGCTCCGCACCTGCAGCCACCCGCTGCCCGCCGACCCCGTGCGCCGCTTGCCGCCGCCGCCGCCGCTCGCTCCGGGCCGCCGCCGCCGCGCTGAAAGCCGAGAAAAGCCCGCCCGCCGCGCCGGCTACTGGCGCTTGGGAGCCGCCATTTTGGACGCGTCTCCTCCACCCGCCACAAAGATGGCGCCCGCCAGTTCCCGGATGGTGGCGCTTAACGGCTGCGGTGCTCACTGCGCGTGCGCGACCGCAGGGGTCGTGATGGCGCATGCGCGGCTTCACATCGCATTTACGCATGCGCCTTTCCCGCCTTTCCCGTAACGGAATTTTGTTCAAACACCCGAATTTGGCGCTTTTCGCCACAGTTTTGCCCTTCCGGGACCCCAAAATGCTCTGGGGAGGTGGGGAGAAGTGAGGAGGGGGAGAGATTCCTCAGCAAGGGGTTCGGGATGAAGATCCGAGAGTTTGAGGAGGTTTTGGGGAAGATTTAGGGAGTTTTGGGGTATCCCCCCCCTCAGTCTCAGGTGTGAAACAGCCCCAGGTGTGACAATAAACTCCAGGTGTGACAATAAATTCCAGGTGTGACAATAAACTCCAGGTGTGACAATAAACTCCAGGTGTGACACGGATCCCCCCTGAGGGTCCGGGGAGCAGATTCGGCGTTCGGGGGATGTTTGGGAGGGGGTTGGAGCCCCTGCCCCAGCCAGAAATGAGTCTCGGGGTGCCTGTCCCTCCCAGTTTATCCCAGTTTGTCCTAGTCTGTCCCAGTCCCTCCCAGTTCCCTCCCAGTTTGTCCCAGTCCCTCCCAGTTCCCTCCCAGTTTATCCCAGTCCCTCCCAGTTTATCCCAGTTTGTCCCAGTCTGTCCCAGTCCCTCCCAGCCCCGCCCCCTCCATCCGGGAGGCCCCGCCCCCGGCGCCGCCGCCATTTTGGGCGTGGAATAAGCTCCGCCCCCCGCGGTTACCGCGGCAACGGCGCCATCTTGAGCGCGGCGGAACCGGGCCCGGAGGCGGCAAAGGGGGCGGGGCCTGAGCGCCCGCCCCGCCCCCTAGCCCGCGATGACGTCATCGGGGTGATGACGTCGTAAGGGAGAATGGCGTCGTGGGGTGACGTCAGAGCTTCCAGGGCACTCCCGAGGGCTGCGGGGGGGGGGAAAGGGCGGGGGGGACACCTGGGAGCAGGTGAGGTGCCATGGGGGGGTCAGTGACGTCATCGGAGGGGACCCAGTGACGTCATTGGAGGAAATCCAATGACGTCATCCAGGTGATCTATGGGGAGATCCCTGTTCCACCCTCCCGACCCTACACGGGGCCCCCAACCCCCCCTAGGGACCCCAAAATCAGCACCCAGGGACCCCAAAAACCATCGGGGGGTCCCAAATCCAACTGGGGGGTCCCAAATCCACCTGAGGGGTCCCACAATCACCTGGGGAGGGTCCGAAATCTCACCTGGGAGGTCCCAAATCCACCTGGGGGGTCCCAAATCCACCTGGGGGGGTCCCAGTTCTAACTGGGGGGGGTCTCACATCTACCTGGGGGGGGACTAAATCCACCTGGGGGGTCCCAAATCCACCTGGGGGGACCCAAAATCAACACACGTTGGGGTCAAAATGCACCCAGGACCCCCAAAATCAGCAGCCAGGGATCCTAAACCTCACCCGGGGGTTCCCAATACACCTGGACGGACACAGACCCACCTGGGCAGAGCCTAAAATCAACACCTGCACGGCCGAAAAGCACTCGGGAACCCCAAAATCCACCTGGGAACCCCAAAATCCACCTGGGGACCATAAAATCCACCTGGGTACCCCAAAATCCACCTGGGGACCCCAAAATCCACCTGGGGACCATAAAATCCGGCTTTGGGGACCCCAAATAAACGGGGGAAGATCCAAACACCGGAACCGCCACAGGGGGATTTGTGGGGGAAAGTTTTGGGGAATCTGGAGGGGATTTTGGGGGCGATTTTGGGGGATTTCTGGAGGGATTTTCGGGGGATCCAGGGGGATTTTGGGGGGATTTCTGGAGGGATTTTGGGGGGATCTGGTAGGGATGTTTGCGGGGGGATTTTTTGAGGGGATTTTGGAGGGATCTGGGCGGGATTTTAGGAAGATTTTAGGGGGGAATTTTGGGGAGGTTTTGGGGGGATGTGGGTCAGGATTTTCCGGGGGGATCCGTGCGCGGAGCCAAAGAAGCGGCGGAGGCGGCTGAGGGTTACACAGATTTATAATCGCTGGATCACGCGCAGCAGCAGCAGCAGCAGCACAGACACAGACCCGGGGGGGGGCGGAATTTGGGGTGGGGGGCTCTAAATTGGGGGGAGGGGCGGCGCCGTGGGACCCCCCCCCCACCCCCACCCAAAAACAACCGACACCGAGGGGCTTTTCCGGAACTTTATAAGGCAAAAACGTCTCGAGAGAATAAATAGGTGGGGGGTGGGGGGGGCCCCCCAAAATTTACCCCCCCCACGGTGGTGGCTGCGCCCCCCACACCCCCCGGGAACCCCTCCCCCACATGGACCCCTCCCCCTTTTTGGGGTTCGCTCTCTCTGGCCGCCCCTCCCCCCGTTATTGCCGTGAGGAGCGGGGGGGGGGTGGGGACCCCCGGGGGGGGCGATGGAAGAACGGGGGGGGCACAAAGGGGGGGGTGACCCCGACCCCTCCCCCCCCCAGAGTGGGTAAAGTGCAGGACGGGGACCCCTCCCCCACCCGGGACGGGGCTGGGGGGGTGGGTGGGGGAGGGGCAGAACGACCCCCTCCCCTTCCCCAGGGTGAAATGGATCGCCCCGTGCTCGCTTCTGATTGGCTCGGGACCAGATCCCGGCCCCGCCCAGCTCACTCCTGATTGGTTCCCGATCAGATCCCACCCACGTTTCTGATTGGCTCCGTACCAGATCCCAGCTCCACCCACGCTCGATTCTGATTGGCTCTGGACTGGATCCCAGCCCTGCCCAGCTCGATCATGATTGGCTCTTTACCAATCCCACTCTTGCTCCTGATTGGCTCCCGACCAGATCACACCCTCAATTTTCATTGGCTCCAGACTGGATCCCAGGTCACCCATTCTGAATCATGATTGGCCGTGGACCGGATCCCACCCTTGCTCCTGATTGGCTCCCACGATTCCCACGGCCTTTCCCGATTGGCCGCGACTGGATCCCACCCCTCCAGGGCCAAGCAACCCCATTGGGCGGGGGCCGGACCCGCCCCTCCAATCCAAACCACTCCTGATTGGATCCCGGCCGGGCCCCGCCCCCGCCCCCACAGGTCCTCAGCTCTGATTGGACGGCGCCGACCCGACCCGGTCCCCGATTGGCTCATGACTCGATCACACCTCCGTCCGGGGGGATCCGGAATCCTCCACACCCCCCTCGGGATCACGGCTCCTGATTGGCCAAACACTGGATCCCAGCTGAACCCAAGGCTGCTCCTGATTGGCTCCAAGCCCGATCTCGCTTCTCCTGATTGGCTCCACTCCAGATCGGCTCCCACAGAGCCGCTCCCATTGGCCAAAGGCCAGGCCCTGCCCCCTCCCAATCCTGCCCTGCTCCTGATTGGCTCCAGACACCAGATCCCGCACAGACTGGTAGCTGCTGATTGGCTCAAAATCCGACCCCCAATAAAATCACACCTGATTGGCTCAACACCAGACCCCCTCCTCCTCAGCCGCTCCTGATTGGTTCCACACTGGATCCCACCCCTGCCCAGCTCAGCTCATGATTGGCTCAGCCCCAGATCCCGGCTGAACCCATCGCTCCTCTTGATTGGCTCCACACCAGACCCCGCCCCCTGACACCGCACCCCCTTCTCCTGATTGGCTCCACGCTGGATCCCTGCCCCTGATTGGCCGTGGCCTCGACCCCGCCCCCCTCTTCAGCAGCGCCGCTCCCCATTGGCCGCTGGCCGGATCCCGGCCCCGCCCCCTCCCCTCCCCCATAGTGCAAATGGTTCCCACAGGCGGAAAACGCGAACGGAACTGGAAGAACGAGAAAAGCGGCGCCGGGGGAGGGGGAAAGACGCGGCCCCGCCCCCCCAAAACAACCCCCACCCCCAAACCCGCCCAACCTCGTGGGGGGGGCCCTGGAGACCCCCCCCCCAAAAAGTGCAAAGTGGGGGGGTCCGGGGTCCCTCGCTGTGCTTGTCGGTAATAAAAACTCGGGGGGGACGCGGGGGGGAGGGGCGGGAAACCCACGGGGGGGCGCTTCCGGTGGGGGAGGGGGGTCCCCGCTGCCTCGTGAGGGGGGGGTAGGGCGGGGAGGGGGGCCCGTCCGTGTGTCCGTCCGTCCGTCCGTCCGTCCGTGCGTCCCCCGCGGCGGCTCACAGTCAGCTGACCCGCTCGGGCACAGGCGTCCGCGTGTCCACCGGCTCCTCGCGGGCCGGGGGCCGCGGCACGGCCACGCTGGGGGGGGGGCGGGGGCGGCGGCGGCGCCGACGAGGACGACGAAGAGGAGGAGGACGAGGAGGAGGAAGAGGAGGAGGAGGTGGAGGAAGAGGAGGCAGAGTCTTTGTGCTCGGGCTCCCCTCGGTGTTTGTAGGGCGGCGACGGCGGCAGCGGCGGCGGCGGGGGCTGAGTCTTAGGGGGCTCCTTGGCGCAGCCGTCGGGGGCCGCGGGACCCCCCCTCTGCTCCGAGCACCCGCTCAAGTCCTGGGGGGCGGCGGCGGCGGGGGCGGCGGGGGGGGCTGGCGCTGTCCTTGGGGCCGCTCTGGGGGGGCTCCGGCGGCGGCGGGGGCGCGGGGGGCGCGGGGGGCGCCCCCCGGCCCTTGGGGCTGCCCTCCTTGCTGCGCCGGCCGGGGCTGCGGGCGCTGCGGGGGCCGCGGGGGCCCGGCGGGGTCGGCGGCGGCCGCGGCGTCGTCGTCGCGGCGGTCGCGGCGGCCGCCATCGTCGCCGGTTCCACCACCACCGTCTCCCTCGTCTTCCTCTTCTTGATGGGCAGCACGGTCTCCTGCACGGCCGGGGGGGTCGCCACCTTCTTGTCGGGGCCGCCCGGCCCCCCCGGCCCCGCCGCCCCCGCCGGTTTGCGCCCGCGTTTCTTGGGCACGGCCGGACTGTCTGGCTCGGCGCGGCGCTTGCGGCCTGGCCGCCGCGGGGCCGGCGGGGCCGCGGGGCCCGGCTGGCCCGGGGAGAACGGCATCTTGACCAGCAGCTTGCCGGGGGGCTTCTCCAGCGCCCGTTTGGCCGCGGAGCCCCCCTCGGACACGGCGGCGGCCGCCTTGGGCCGGGCGCCGCCGCCGCCGCCGCCGCTGCCCTTGGGCCGCCCGCGGCCGCGGCCGGTGCCGGGGCCTTTGGGCGATTTGGGCTTCTTGGGCGGGCGCTGCTCGCGGCGCGAGGGGCTGCCCCGGCCGGTCACGGTGAAGTCGAAGTCGTTGGGGTCCAGCGAGGTGTCCCCCACCTTCTCGAAGTAGGCGATCAGCTCCACCTTGGAGCGGAAGGCTTTTCCCTGCGG